GATTGATAAGTTAGTCTTTTTCAAATCACTACAGGCCAACCCCATTACAATTATTTCACTCACCTTCTCATTTTGTATTATCTATATGCAAACATAAATTATAATTCTTACTTAATGCCTTATGTGTTTAATTAGTATATCATCTAGGTGATTATAATTCAATAATTTTATTTATATATTTCAATTTCAGAATTTTTGGGACCCAATCATTAAAAAAAAAAAACTATTCAGTCTCTACTTGTAAATATTCCTTTTATTATATGAAAAAAAAAAAAAAATCTAGAATGATCTTTAATTAGGTACCATTCTCAAGGGTTCGTATGACATATATTATCTCGTCGGTGATAGTGAATGTTTGTGAATTATAATTAGAAAATAGATTCATTCCGAATTGGTCTGAAGCCGAAAATGAAAGGAATTCATAAATAAAACATTGAATGTTCTTGGCATGATTTATTGACCCTGCTTGATTTTCTTGATGATAGGTCAACAAGACCCGACTCAAGACCAATTGAGTATTGACAAGCTTTGTATTAAACATCGTGTGGTCAGTCCGTCAAAGGCCCATATAATGGGCTCTGTTGGTGAAGCTTCGCCATACTAAAATGACAGGGTCAAAAATATCACAAGCACATATCAACATTTAAGGGAAGCTGAGTAGTTGACAAAATTTTGACTGAATTTTGATGGATTATGGTTTGTTTCAAAAACAAATATCATTTTATATGGATTTAGAAAATAATTACAAATCTTAATGGCGTACTCATCAAGATTTATCATATTATGCGATTCTCTGTTCATAGCTTTTCCTTTTAACTTAAAAGTTTCAGTTTTTTTTAACACTTTAATTAAACCTTTTATTGGAAAAACAAAAAAAGCTGAACTTTATTTTGGCCCCTAAAAGTAAAGTTTATCTTCAAATACCACATGACGTTTGTCAAAACAGATATGCATACCACGCAAAGATGTTAAGGTTCCGTTGGTACGAATTTAAAATATTATTCTGATTTTCATAAAATAAATCTAATATATTTGATTCAATATTCGAAAATCTATTCTACTTTATTCATTTCACAAAAATTATAATTATTTTTCTTGTAAAGATAATCAAATTTAACTTTTTTTTTCAAAATATTATTTTAAAAATCATCCAATAATACACTAAATGAAACCTAAGTATTTAGGCAGTGTTGGCATTGAGTCGGTTACAACAGTTACAACCTTGTGATCCTACAGGGTTAAGCTTAAGATGAAAAGTCTCATCTCACCTGATAGTATGCAGTTGAACTTTAAAGAGAAGGTTAAACACAGTAATGTCGAATAATTCTAAATGACAATTAGAAATTAGAAATGCTTGTTTGAGTTGAGGAGCGAAAACTAGGGATGTGTGCAGCTTGTCAATTCTGACTTCTTGTCCAGTGTCGAGTACAGAACCCGTGTTTTACATCTTAGACTAACACAACCGAATCGTACACAATCTCTGAAGCAGGCAACTGTCTTTTCTCTTTTCTTTCTCTACAAGCACAGTCCTGAGATTTAAGACAAGAGTTAACATCTATTTACAACCAAACACTTCCTAAACTACGTCATCATCTCCGCACTAACTCTTTAACCCTTAAGTACCTTTAGTTTCCTTTTTTAATTTTTATTTTATAAAACCCATTTCATTTGATGTTGTTTTCACTTTTGACTATTGGCCATTTTTTATTTGGGCTCCAATCCGTAATAAAGCATAGCAAAACCTATTTCCAATCAGCCAACCCGATCAAGCACAGCTGCCAATCCCCATATCACACACCAGCGGCAGTATAATTAAAAGAAAGAATTGGTTTCTTCGAAAAGCTTCTTTCTCCACTTACGGCTAAATAGAAAATCCGCAGATCTTTGCACTTAATTCTTCATTTCAAACGTAAAACCTGACCTCTCTCAAGTGGGATTTGTTTCTTAAATAATCCTTTTTCTTTTTTTTTTTTTAAAAGAACTCCAGCAATTCGTACCTCTTCCTTTGTGTTATCCAATAGAGGTTCAGTTATCGCTACTGGTCTTATATAAAGAACAAAAGGGGTTTAGCATAAAGGCTCTTCGATGGTCTGTGAGCTTAAATACTAAGTTTGATTTTTATTTTGAGTGCTGTCGTTCTTCTCGGGGAGTGTAATAACATTGATAAAAGTTCAAGAAATTTTTAAGAGTTGCTAGCTAGGGAAAGTTTTTGGCAGAAGCAGAGTGATTCAGTTGTTGTTTTTGGTTCTTTTGCTGAGGTGGCTTTGGCTTTCTTTTATTGGTAAAGATGGGCCGCTGAGAGCGTTGTGTAAAGAGTTTGGACAGCTGAAGATGGGGAAAGGTCCTGCAACTGTGAAAACTATTGCCGGTACTATGTCTGTGATTCTTCTGTCAAGCTCACCAGCATTGTGAAGATCCAGAACAAAGGTGCGAAGCTGGGTACCATGTCACCTATGATCAGGTTCTGGAGAAATCATTTGCTGGAGGCTTCACTCATTGGTATGACTTGTCTCTCTGTATGTCTCTGTTTTGCGCTATCTTTCTTTAATTTATTTTCATCAGTATTTGTATTTGTGCTCATTTAGGTTCTCATTGGTATTTAATGACACTGGTTTAGATGGAAAGGATTGTGTTTTCAAATTGTAAAATAAGGGAAATGTCACCTTCTTTTGGGTTATGAACTATATGCTTTTAGAGATTGTGTTTTATATGGTAGATTAGTGACTGAACACAGAATGACAATACAACGTTTACTGTACGAACTTATCTGACAATTAAGTTTCAGATTTGTGAAGCAAAGTATTATACATACAACAAATCTGAAATAGGTTCAATTTATCAAACTCATGGTTGAACCCACATTAGGTGGACTGATACTACGCAGTTTTGGACACTGATGGACTATTGGCCAAGTGAGTGACAAATTCTGTGGTTTGTTTGAAGTTTCTGCCAAACATATGGTCTCTTTTGGAGAAAAATATCAAGAGAAGCAAGCAATTAAACAAAAATATTTCTAATTAGCCAAAGAACTCAAGCTGTTAACTTCTTTCAGAGGCCAACGGCCAACACTATTGGTTGACACAAACTACAGCTTGTTTTTCAGAGTTAAGGCTGTTCTCTATTTTTCCCCTGCTGGAACATAGATTGACAATATTTTCAATGTGATTTTGATGAGTTGTATCATGACTAATGTAAGTCATAGCTTTCTCTGTGTTTGCATCAATTTTTTCATAGTATGGATTTGAATTGTTTAATTTGCAGCTTCCCGGTATTGCTTTGAAAATGTCAACCACATACAATTACCATAAAACATTCATGCTTCCATCTCCATAAGTTACCTAGTTGATCAGCTCTTGTCTCTGTTATCATTTTATTTTCTTTGTTGTTTTTATGATTTATTTTCTCAACACTCTAATGTTTTGGATTTTGTTGAATGTGGAAGATTTTGTGAGTGATGGTTGCTGGGTTTCTTTGTAAGACTTGTTATACAAAGCAACATACTTTTAGACTGAAAACAGTGTCAGTTAGTGCATTAAGCATAAGATGAAATGTGCATAAATATGGTATATTGGATTTTGAAATTGGGGAGCATATAAGTGAGGAGGAAGCTAATGTACTAGAAAGAAAGGTGACTGGCTATTATTGACTTAAAACTACGGAGGGTGTCATGATTTGTCCCACTGGATGTGATCTCCTCTGATAATCTGACATAGAATGTTTATTGCTGAAATTTAGAGATTGATGTTAATTATGGTGCCTGAGCACTAGAAGTTAATGTTATCAGGCTTCATAAACAATAGGTTATCACAAAATGAATAATTAACTGCCATTTTTCTGTATATGGGATTCCTTGAATGTGTAGTACTCTTGTTCTTTGCATTTTCTAGTAATTTTTTTTCCTCTTGCTGGGGTGATAATAGTGCAGCTGTATGGCATCTCTCTGTGTAAACAGTTTAAAATGTGCTTAGGGTTTTGAGAGGTTTTCTCCCGTTTGAGATTCTCTGTGCGTGTTGCTTTCACCGGCTAGAGGTTACATTCTTGGGCATGATGTTTCGTGTAGGCTTTTGCTATCATAAAATAATTGAGGAATTCTCTTGTTGATTACGTGTATCAACTGAAATATCTGGTGATTGGATCCTGTATTTGGAGAGAAGCTCAACCATGGGGCCCAATAACATAGTCAATGTTGATGACTGAGCATATTTTGATAATTGTAGACTATAATTATATTATTATAGCTCCTTATTTTAGCTCTGTTACACATCTATAATGGCCTGAGCTCTATTTTGCAGGTTTTACCCTATTTCTTGGATTCATAATTGATCGCCTCCACCATTATCTTACAAAGCTTATTCAGGTTAAGGGTAGTGTGGGATCTTCAAAAGAGGAAGTTGAACGTCTACAAAAAGAAAAAATGCAGCTTACAGAGAAGGGAGAGAAAGCTTTGAAGGAAATGAAGCGGCTGCAAGATGAACTTTTAACTCTATCAGAGAAACTGAAGAAGCTAAAGTTGGAATGTGAAGAGAAGGACAAGAAGATTGAAACTGCTGAAGCTCATGTAATCTCCCTCCAGAAACAATCTGCAGATCTACTGCTTGAATATGACCGTTTGTTAGAAGACAACCAAAATCTTCAGAATCAAGCTAAAGGATACAAGAGTTGAGAAAATTTTGAATGACACCAACAATTCAAGTTTTGAAAATTACCTTTTCTCAATGGTGATGTTGAATAAACATCTCCAAATCTCGCAGATATGGCCACTGGTTGGTGATTCATAAAGGAGCTTAGGGGCCTGGGGAGTGTTTTTCGAGTATCCAGTGTTGTTGAAAATTTGTAATTCTCCTAATCTAGAATTCTAGTATGCTCATCTTTTGTTACCCTGTTATTACAGGATTTCTTTTTTCACAAAAAAAAGAAAAAAAAAAAAAAGAAAAAACACTTATATAGCAAGTTAGATTCCATTGAGATTCAAATCAGTTTTAACTGCTGCTTGAAATGTTGGAAATTGTCGGGTGCGCATTTTAGTTTCTTGTTTCTCGGATTCTCGGTGACTGCAATCAATCAAGCTCGAATTTCAGAAAGTCTGTTCTGAAGACGAAGTCTCATCATCGTTTTTGGATAAGACTTCAGAACACTTGGCCACTAATTTAGCAGACGGATTCGATAATTGACAGTGTAGCAAGTGTGGGAAGAGAATAAATAAATTATAACACACAAAATCGTCTAGCATCACTGGATGAAGCTTGATGGATTCGGCCGCAGATAACATTCCTTTGGAATCTTTATACTGATTTTGGTAGCCATGTTCCCTCGAGACTCGAGTGCATAAAATATAAAACGTTGATTAATTTTAGTATCGCAGGCTCTGTGTAATCTTTGTGAACCAGTCACACTGATGACGAATGTTCCTGAATTTTTAGGTTCTCAGCTTGAAGTATTGGTCCTAAAACAAAGCCAACCCAACAAGAGACCAAATCCTTGAACTATGAAAGTCTTCAAATTTCTCTCAAAAGTCCTCTATTACATTGTTTTGAAGGTGAACTTGGTTGCTTCACGGTTATCTACACCCATTTTAAGGTTCTTTTTAATCAGTAATCTGGTTCGTTCACTCTGATCAGACATTTTCGTTCAGTTTCTTGTCAGCTAATGCAATATTCAATCTCCGGAAGACATGCTTTTACTCTCATCTCTTGATCCAAGTTATCCAATAGATACGCAATATTTCCATATTGATGGTGGCTCTTATCTTCCATTATAAATGAATGGAGCTCCCCGTTCACTTCAACTGCACTATAGCCAGGCACTTTCTTCATCCCTGTCTTTCTCATTACCTTCCTTACTTCAGCCACTTCGTCCCACTTCTTTCCCATGGCAAAGAAGTTTGAGACCAGCGAATGAATTCCCAAGTCATCCGGACTTAACTCAAGGACCTTCTTTGCCACAATCTCTCCAGTTGACAACTTCCTATGATTACGGCAACCTGATAAGAGGGTAACCCAAACAGCAAGCCCAGGTTCATTGTTCATGGACTTTATAAGCTCAAGTGCTTCTTCCACTTGTCCGGCACGGGCCAAAAGATCAACCATACAAGCATAGTGCTTATCAGTTGGTCGAATTTTATATTCACTAACCATGAGATCAAACCAGTATCGACCCTCTTCCACTAGTCCTGAGTGACTAAGAGCTGAAAGAAGGGATGCAAAAGTAGAATGATCTGGTTTGAGCTTTGTTTCTATCATCTGGAGGAAGAGTGTCAGAGCTTCCTTTGCACGTCCATGGATCCCATTGCTATCAATTATTACATTCCAAGAGATTACGTCCCTAGAATCCATCCGATCAAAGACTGCACGTGCACAAGAAGGTGCTCCACATTTTGAATACATGTCAATCACTGCAGTACCTAAAACCTTATCAAAATCAAGCCTCCTGACAATATATCCATGTATGGACTTGCCCAATTTCAGAAAACCAATTTGTGTACATGCCAAAAGTGCAGTCATGAGAGACACCGAATTGGGTTCACACCCGCAACTCTGCATCTCAATCAACAGTTCAAGTGTATTTCCTGGCAAACCATTTTGAGCGAAGCCAGACATTAGTGCAGCCCAAGAAACAATTTCTTTATGGGGCATCTTCTTGAAAACACGAGAAGCAAGATTCAAATGTCCGTTCTTAGCATACATATCCACAAGGCTGGTTTGAACTATAACATCCAAATCAAGATCTTTCCTAATCGTATAACCATGAATAGAGAGCCCCACTTTCGAGTCCCCAAGATTAACACAAGCTTTAATCAACCCCACCATCACAACCGCATCTCCTTCAATCCCCTCCTTTTGCATCCTTCTATAAACATTGACTGCTTCGCATGGCTGGCCATTACACGCAAACCCTTTTATCATAGAACTCCAAGAAACAATGTCCTTTCTTTGCATCTTATTGAACACAATTAAAGCCGCATCCATTCTGCCACACTTGGCATACAAATTCAACATAGATGACCCAACAAACACATCGTTATCATAACCAAAATCCACTGCTTTACGCCAAACTTCTTCTCCCATGTTCAAGTTCATCAAGCTCACACACGCCTTAAGTGCAACAGTAAAAATTGAGCTATCAGGTTTGACACTTTCTTTTATCATCTGATTATAAATACTCAAAACTTCACATGGGTATCCCTTACGAGAATATGCTATGATCATCGCATTGAAGCTATCTACACTTCGTTGTGGCAATTCATCGAACACTTTACGAGCTGATAAGATATCGTCAATACGCGCATACAACGCTATGAGTCGGCCAATGGAGTTTCCATGTGCGGAGAGACTAGTTTTAAACATGAAAGCATGGATTTTAATTATGGTTGTCTTCTCTTTAGAGGTTAAGAGAAGGGCTTTTAGGTGCTTTGAAAATGTAAACATGCACATTTTGGGAAAGCAAAATCTTTAATCGGAACGTTTTAGGCATTGAGTTAGTTCATGGCCGTTGAAAAATAAAATAAAATAAACCCAAGTTTGCCTTTTGGTTTAGGAGGTTTGTTACTTCCTTCACTTATTGGGTTCAAACCATAAAACTTTTTAGCTCGATGTATAATTGTGTTTTATTTTAGATTTGTAAGGTATTCAATGAACTCCAAACGCTAATTAAAGTGCTAGTAAACTGGATTGCTCAGACACTCTGATTAAAAAAAAAGGGGAGAGATTAAGAATATGAGTTCATCACTTAATAGTAAAATGAGAATAAGAATTGATCAATTAATAGTTACAAGTAACAGAGCTGTAAATTCAAATGTTGTGGATTCCATCGGAAAAAAAAAATTAATAATAAAACGCAAAAAGTCTAATGTTTGAGATAAGTATTGTAGACGTAAAAATCTACCTGTATAGAAGGAGGGATTGATCACATGAGGTTGAGACCATTAGTGATCTGCTGTACCTATACACATAAGAGAAACAAACATGAAGCGACGGAAAACACCAGGGTGGTGTTTGCAGTAGGCACTCAGACGCTCAAGTCAGCAAGCTTGAAAGATGCTGATTTAGTGAGGGCTAGGGAGTTGAGAGGTTACTAGAAGTCTAGTCGGGGACTGTTATTACGGCTGTGATGTGAAGTTCTCAAGCTAGAACTTCGGGGTCTGAAGGTGTAGTATATTCTGCCTTGTGAGAGGGTTGGCCTCTGTTTAAATAGTGATTATCTGGTCTCCCAATCCTGGTGGGATTGGGAGTTCTCGTAGTAATTCGTTCCCTCTCGAGATATATCCTTTGGTCCCATTATCCCGGCGTGAAAGGGAGTCCAATATGACTTTGACACGGACCTTGGAGGATTTGGGATGATAGTGGACTACTTTATCAGTGTTCGAGTAGGAATGTGATCCGTAGGTGACCTTGGGCTCTAAATTCGATCATAGATCCATGAAGTATACTGGGATTAGGAGGCCTATGTCCAGGTGGTTTGGACCGACTGTACTTCGTATCAAATGGGCCTTATCCGAGGAGTCTTGGCCTGGGCAGCATTAGGATTGGACCTGAGCTTTTCCTTATTGTCGAATACCTTGTCCCATTTGGGCCGAGGACGGTTTTTTTGGCCCTAACAAGTATCACGTTATTATTAACTTAATCTTCCAAAAAGAGAGGAAAAAAAGAGAAATCATTATGCACTAATAAAATTCCATCTTTGCATAAAGAGGTTAAAGTTTACATTCCAAGAACGTTTTAAGAGTTGCTAGCTAGGGAAAGTTTTGGCAGAAGCAGAGATGATTCAGTGTTGTTTTTGGTTCTTTTGCTGGGGTGTTTGGCTTTTCTTTTTTGGTAAAGATTGGGCCGCTGAGAAGCTTGTGATAAAGAGTTGGACAGCTGAAGATGGGAAGGGTCCGCAACTGTGAAAACTATTGCCGGTACTATGTCTGTGATTCTTCTGTCAAGCCTCACCAGCATTGTGAAGATCCAGAACAAAGGTGCGAAGCTGGGTACCATGTCACCTATGGATCAGGTTCTTGGAGAACTCATTTGCTGGAGGCTTCAATCATTGGTATGATCTTGCTCTCTCTGTATGTCCTTCTGTTTGCGCTATCTTTTCTTTAATTTTTTTTCATCAGATATTTGCATTTGTGACTCATTTAGGTTCTCATCTGGTATTATGACACTGGTTTGGATGGAAAGGATTTGTTTTCAAATGTAAAATAAGGGAAATGTCAACCTTCTATTGGGTTATATGAACCATATGCTTTTAGAGATTGTGTTTTTAATATGGTAGATTAGTGACTGAACAATAGAATGACAATACATACGTTTACTGTACGAAGCTATCTGACAATGAAGTTTCAGATTTGTGAAGCAAAGTATTATACATACAACAAATGCAAATAGGTTCAATTTCATCAAACTCATGGTTGAATCCCACATTAGGGGACTGATACTATGCAGTTTGGACACGTGGACTATTGGCCAAGTGAGTGACAAATTCTGTTGTTGTTTGAAGTTTCTGCCAAACATATGGTCTCTTTTTGGAGGAAAAAATATCAAGAGAAGCCACAGCTCTACATTGGTTGACACAAACTACAGCTTGTTTTTAGAGTTAGGCTGTTCTCTTATTCTTTCCCCTGCTGAAACATGATTGACAATGTTTTCAATGTGTTTTTATGAGTTGTATCATGACTAATGTAAGTCATATGCTTTTCTGTGTTTGCATCAATTTTCTCATAAGTATGGATTTGAATGGTTTAATTTGCAGCTTTCCCGTGTGTGCTTTGAAAATGTCAACCACATACATATTACCATACAACTCATGCTTCCATCTCCATAAGTTACCTAGTTGATCAGCCTTGTCTCTTTACTAATTTATTTTTCTGTTGTTTTTATGATTTTATTTTCTCAACACTCTAATGCTTTGGATTTTGTTGAATGTGGAAGATTTTGTGGTACTGGTTGCTGGGTTTCTTTGTAAGACTTGTATACAAGCACACATACTTTTAGACTGAAAACAGTTGCAGTTAGTGCATTAAGCATAAGATGAAATGTGCATCAATATGGTTATATTTGTATTTTGAAATTGGGGAACATATAAGTTGAGGTAAGCTAATGTACTAGAAGAAGCGGTGACTGGCCATTATTGACTTAAAACTACAGAGGGTGTCATGATTTACTGGATGTGATCTCCTGATTAATCTGACATAGAATGTTATTTGCTGAATTTAGGGATATGATGTTATATGGTGCTGTCACTAGAAGTTTAATGTTATCGCGCTTCATAAAACAATAGGTTATCACAAATGAATAATTAACTGCCCTTTTTCTGTATATAGGATTCCTGAATGGTAGATACTCTTGTTCTTTGCGTTTTCTAGTAATTTTTTTTTCCTCTTGCTTGGGTGTATAATAGTGCAGCTGTATGGCATTTCTCTGTGTAAACAGTTTAAAATGTGCTTAGGGTTTTTGAGAGGTGTTCTCCAGTTTGAGATTCTCTGTGCTGTGGCTTTCACTGGCTAGAGGTCATTCTTGGGCATGATGTTTCTGTGTGGCTTTTGCTATCATAAAATAAATTGAGAATTCTCTTGTTGATACATGTATCAACTGAAGATATATGGTGATTGGCATCCTGATATTTGGGAGAGAAGCTCAACCATTGACCAATAACATAGTCAATGTTGATGACTGAGCATATTTGATAATTGTAGACTATAATTATATTATTATAGCTCTGTTACACATCTAAATGGCCTGGCTCTATTTTGCAGGTTTTACCCTATTTCTTGGATTCATATGATCGCCCCACCATTACTTACAAAGCTTATTCGGTTTAGGGTAGTGTGGGATCTTCAAAAGAGGAAGTTGAACGTCTACAAAAAGAAAAAAGCAGCTTACAGAGAAGGGAGAGAAAGCTTTGAAGGAAATGAAGCGGCTGCAAGATGAACTTTTAACTGTATCAGAGAAACTGAAGAAGTAAAGTTGGAATGTGAAGAGAAGGACAAGAAGATTGAAACGCTGAAGTCATGTAATCTCCCTCCAGAAAAAATCTGCAGATCTACTGCTTGAATATGACCGTTTGTTAGAAGACAACCAAAATCTTCAGAATCAAGCTAAAGGATACAGAGTTGAGAAAATTTGAATGACACCAACAATTCAGTTTTGAAAATTACTTTTCTCAATGGTGATGTTGAATAAACATCTCCAAATCTCGCAGATATGGCCACTGGTTGGTGATTCATAAAGGAGCTAGGGCCTGGGAGTGTTTTTCGAGTATCCAGTGTTGTTGAAAATTTGTAACTTCCATCTAGAATTCTAGTATGCTCATCTTGTGTTAACCTGTTATTACAGGATTTCTTTTTTCACAAAAAAAAAAAAAAAAAAAAAAAAAAAAAAAAACAAAAAAAACTCTATAGCAAGTTAGATTCCATTGAGATTCAAATCAGTTTTAACTGCTGCTTGAAATGTTGGAAATTGTCGGGTGCGCATTTTAGTTTCTTGTTTCTCGGATTCTCGGTGACTGCAATCAATCAAGCTCGAATTTCAGAAAGTCTGTTCTGAAGACGAAGTCTCATCCGTTTTTGGATAAGACTTCGGAACACTTGGCCATAATTTAGCAGACGGAAAGATAATTGACCGTGTAGGAAGTGTGGGAAGAGATAAATAAATTATAACACACCAAATCGTCTAGCATCACTGGATGAAGCTTGATGGATTCGGCCGCAGATAACAATCCTTTGGAATCTTATACATGATTTTGGTAGCCATGTTCCCTCGAGACTCGAGTGCATAAAATATAAAACGTGATTAATTTTAGTATCGAGGCTCGTGTAATTTTGTGACCAGTCACACTGATGACGATGTCCTGAAATTTTCAGGTTCTCAGCTTGAAGTATTGGTCCAAAACAAAGCCAACCCACAAAGAGACCAAATCCTTGAACTATGAAAGTCTTCAAATTTCTCTCAAAAGTCCTCTATTACATTTTGAAGGTGAACTTGGTTGCTCACGGTTATCTACACCCACTTTAAGTTCTTTTTAACAGTATCTGGTTCGCTCACCTCTGACAGACATTTTCGCTCAGTTTCTTGTCAGTAATGCAATATTCAATCTCCGGAAGACATGCTTTTACTCTCATCTCTGATCCAAGTTATCCAATAGATACGCAATATTTCCATATTGATGGTGGGCTCTTATCTTCCATTATATGAATGGAGCTCCGTTCACTTCAAATGCAATATAGCCAGGCACTTCTTCCCCTGTCTTTCTCATTACCTTCCTTACTTCAGCCACTTCGTCCCACTTTCTTCCCATGGCAAAGAAGTTTGAGACCAGCGAATGAATTCCCAAGTCATCCGGACTTAACTCAAGGACCTTCTTTGCCACAATCTCTCCATTGACAACTTCCTATGATTACGGCAACCTGATAAGAGGGTAACCCAAACAGCAAGCCCAGGTTCATTGTTCATGGACTTTATAAGCTCAAGTGTGTCTTCCACTCGTCCGGCACGAGCCAAAAGATCAACCCTACAAGCATAGTGCTTATCAGTTGGTCGAATTTTATATTCACTAACCAGAGATCAAACCAGTATCGAACTCTTCCACTAGTCCTGAGTGACTAAGAGCTGAAGAAGGGATGCAAAAGTAAATGATCTGGTTTGAGCTTTGTCTACATCTGGAGGAAGAGTGATGAGAACAAGACCCGACTCAAGACCAATTGAGTATTGACCAAGCCTTTGTATTAAACATCGTGTGGTCAGTCCGTCAAAGGCCCATTTTATAATGGGCTCTGTTGGTGAAGCTTCGGCCATACTAAAATGACAGCGTCAAAAATATCACAAGCACATATCAACATTTAAGGGAAGCTGAGTTAGTAGTTGACAAAATTTTGACTGAATCTTTGATGGATTATGGTTTGTTTCAAAAACAAATATCATTTTATATGGATTTAGAAAATAATTACAAATCTTTCATGGCGTACTCATAAAGATTTATCAGATTATGCATGATTTTCTGTTCATAGCTTTTCCATTTCTTAACTTAAAAGTTTCAGATTTTTTTTCTTAACACTTTTAATTAAACCTATTTATTGGAAAAAAAAGCTGAACTTTATTTTGGCCCCTAAAAGTAAAGTTTATCTTCAAATACCACATGACGTTTGTCAAAACAGATATGCATACCACGCAAAGATGTTAAGGCTTCGTTTTGATACATAAATTTAAAATATTATTCTAGTTTTTCCAATAAAGTTAATCGTAAAAATGTATTTGTTTCAATATTCTCAAAATCCTATTATACTTCATTCATATCACAAAATATTAATAATTATTTTTCTCGTAAAGATAACTCAAATTTACTTTTTTTTTTTTTCAAAATTCTATTCTAAAAATCTTTCAATAATAAACTAAATGAAACCTAAGGCTCCCTTTGGTACATAGTTTGGGAATACTATTATAGTATTCCCAATAAAGTTAAACACAAAATTTGTGTTTGGTTCACTATTATGAAAATATTATTTTAAATTATTCAATTTTTTTTTAAACCCTCTAAATTTGTTAATTTAACTAAACAACACCAATTTTTCTTTAAAAAAATTGATAAAAACACCCAAACAACCCACATTTACTAGATTCTGACCACCACTACAGGAAGCTGGCCGGAATCTGGTGTAATGGCGCACTACCGGCTGAATCTGGCCAGTAGCGCCGATCTAGCATTTTCTGGTCAGATCCACGGTGGATTTGGTTGGAAAAGGCCAGATCTACAGTCGAAGATTTGGCTGTCAATAGCCAGATCTTTGGTCGTAGACAGTCGTCAACGATAGTCGTATCTTTGGTCATCGTTGACGACCAAATACTACCAAATTTAGTCGTAGATCTAGCATTTTCTAGCTAGATCCACGGTGCATGACAGACAAGATCCAGTCGGTCATGCGTTGATACGACGACCCACCCTCCGACGGTGGTGGCCGACTGTTCGTATTTAATAAGTGGGTTTGGAATATTTTTGTTAACTTTAAATATTTTATTATAGGGGTATTTAGTAAATAAACAAATATAAAAAATATTTTTGTTAATTTTTAAAATTCTTCATCTAATACCTACCAAATTTAACCTCTTATAAAATATTATTTTAAAAACCATCAAATACCAAACAGACCCTCAGTATTTTAGGCAGCGTTGGCATTGAGCAGGGTACAACCGTTGCAACCTTGTGATCGTACAGGATTAAGCTTAAGATGAAAAGTCTCATCTCACCTGATGGATATGTAAGTTTGAACTTTAAAGAGAAAGGTTAAACACAGTAATGTCTGAATAATTCTAAATGAGAAATTAGAAATGCTTTGGTTGAGTTGAGGAGCGTAAAACTAGGGATGTGTGCAGCTTGTTCACTTCTTGTCCAGTTGTCGAGTACGGACACCGTGTTTCTGCATCTTAGACTAACACAACCGAATCGCTACCAATCTCTGAACCAAGCAACAGTCTTTGCTCTTTTCTTTCTCTACAGGCACAGTATTGAGATTTAAGACAAGAGTTAACATCTACTTTACAACCAAACACTTCCTAAACTACGTCATCATCTCCGCACTAACTTCTCTTAACCCTTAAGTACCTTTATGTTTCCTTTTTTAATTTTTATTTTATAAAACCCCATTTCATTTGATGTTGTTTTCACTTTTTGACTATTGGCCATTTTTTCTTTTGGGCTCCAATCCTGTAATAAAGCATAGCAAAACCTATTTCCAATCAGCCAACCCGATCAAGCACAGCTGCCAATCCCCATATCACACACCAGCGGCAGTATTAATGAAAAGAAGAATTGGGTTTCTTCGAAAAAGCTTCTTTCTTTCCACTTACGGCTAAATAGAAAATCCGCAGATCTTTGCACTTAAATTCTTCATTTCAAACGTAAAACCTGACCTCTCTCAAGTGGGTATTTTGTTTTCCTTAAAATAATCCTTTTTCTTTTTTTTTTTTTTAAAAGAACTCCAGCAATTTTCCGTACCTCTTCCTTTGTGTTATCCAATAGAGATGGTTCAGTTATCGTTGCTGGTCTTATATAAAGAACAAAAGGGGTTTAGCATAAATGCCTCTTCGATGGATCTGTGAGCTTAAAATACTATAGTTTGATTTTTTATTTTGAGTGCTGTCGTTTCTTCTCGTGAAGTGTAATACACATTGATTAAAAGTTCAAGAAATTTTTAAGAGTTGCTAGCTAGGGAAAGTTTTTGGCAGAAGCAGAGATGATTCAGTTGTTGTTTTTGGTTCTTTTTGCTGAGGGTGCTTTGGCTTTTCTTTTATTGGTAAAGATTGGGCCGCTGAGAGAGCTTGTGATAAAGAGTTTGGATCAGCTGAAGATGGGGAAGGGTCCTGCAACTGTGAAAACTATTGCCGGTACTATGTCTGTGATTCTTCTGTCAAGCCTCACCAGCATTGTGAAGATCCAGAACAAAGGTGCGAAGCTGGGTACCATGTCACCTATGGATCAGGTTCTTTGGAGAACTCATTTGCTGGAGGCTTCACTCATTGGTATGATCTTGCTCTCTCTGTATGTCCTTCTGTTTTGCGCTATCTTTCTTTAATTTTATTTTTCATCAGATATTTGTATTTGTGCCTCATTTAGGTTCTCATCTGGTATTTAATGACACTGGTTTAGATGGAAAGGATTGTGTTTTCAAATTGTAAAATAAGGGAAATGTCAACCTTCTATTGGGTTATATGAACCATATGCTTTTAGAGATTGTGTTTTAATATGGTAGATTAGTGACTGAACAACAGAATGACAATACATACGTTTACTGTACGAGCTTATCTGACAATGAAGTTTCAGATTTGTGAAGCAAAGTATTATACATACAACAAATCTGAAATAGGTTCAATTTCATCAAACTCATGGTTGAATCCCACATTAGGTTGGACTGATACTACGCAGTTTTGGACACTGATGGACTATTGGCCAAGTGAGTGACAAATTCTGTGGTTTGTTTGAAGTTTCTGCCAAACATATGGTCTCTTTTGGAGAAAAAATATCAAGAGAAGCAAGCAATTAAACAAAAATAATTTTCTAATTAGCCAAAGAACTCAAGCTGTTAACTTCTTTCAGAGGCCAACAGGCCCAACACTCTACATTTGGTTGACACAAACTACAGCTTGTTTTTCAGAGTTAAGGCTGTTCTCTTATTCTTCCCCTGCTGGAACATAGATTGACAATATTTTTCAATGTGATTTTGATGAGTTGTATCATGACTAATGTAAGTCATAGCTTTCTCTGTGTTTGCATCAATTTTCTTCATAAGTATGGATTTGAATTGTTTAATTTGCAGCTTTCCCGGTATTGCTTTGAAAATGTCAACCACATACATATTACCATAACAACTTCATGCTTCCATCTCCATAAGTTACCTAGTTGATCAGCTCTTGTCTCTGTTACTCATTTTATTTTTTCTGTTGTTTTTATGATTTTATTTTCTCAACACTCTAATGTTTTGGATTTTGTTGAATGTGGAAGATTTTGTGAGTACTGGTTGCTGGGTTTCTTTGTAAGACTTGTTATACAAAGCAACATACTTTTAGACTGAAAACAGTTGTCAGTTAGTGCATTAAGCATAAGATGAAATGTGCATCAAATATGGTTATATTTGTATTTTGAAATTGGGGAGCATATAAGTTGAGGAGTAAGCTAATGTACTAGAAAGAAAGGTGACTGGCCTATTATTGACTTAAAACTACGGAGGGTGTCATGATTTGGTCCCACTGGATGTGATCTCCTCTGATTAATCTGACATAGAATGTTTATTTGCTGAAATTTAGAGATATGATGTTAATTATGGTGCCTGTTCACTAGAAGTTTAATGTTATCAGGCTTCATAAAACAATAGGTTATCACAAATGAATAATTAACTGCCATTTTTCTGTATATAGGATTCCTTGAAATGTGTAGATACTCTTGTTCTTTGCATTTTCTAGTAATTTTTTTCCTCTTGCTTGGGTTGTATAATAGTGCAGCTGTATGGCATCTCTCTGTGTAAACAGTTTAAAATGTGCTTAGGGTTTTTGAGAGGTTTTCTCCAGTTTGAGATTCTCTGTGCGTGTTGCTTTCACCGGCTAGAGGTTACATTCTTGGGCATGATGTTTCTGTGTAGGCTTTTGCTATCATAAAATAAATTGAGGAATTCTCTTGTTGATTACGTGTATCAACTGAAAATATCTGGTGATTGGATCCTGATATTTGGGAGAGAAGCTCAACCCATTGACCAATAACATAATCAATGTTGATGACTGAGCATATTTTGATAATTGTAGACTATAATTATATTATTATAGCTCCTTATTTTAGCTCTGTTACACATCTATAATGGCCTGAGCTCTATTTTGCAGGTTTTACCCTATTTCTTGGATTCATAATTGATCGCCTCCACCATTACCTTACAAAGCTTATTCAGGTTAAGGGTAGTGTGGGATCTTCAAAAGAGGAAGTTGAACGTCTACAAAAAGAAAAAATGCAGCTTACAGAGAAGGGAGAGAAAGCTTTGAAGGAAATGAAGCGGCTGCAAGATGAACTTTTAACTGTATCAGAGAAACTGAAGAAGCTAAAGTTGGAATGTGAAGAGAAGGACAAGAAGATTGAAACTGCTGAAGCTCATGTAATCTCCCTCCAGAAACAATCTGCAGATCTACTGCTTGAATATGACCGTTTGTTAGAAGACAACCAAAATCTTCAGAATCAAGCTAAAGGATACAAGAGTTGAGAAAATTTTGAATGACACCAACAATTCAAGTTTTGAAAATTACCTTTTCTCAATGGTGATGTTGAATAAACATCTCCAAATCTCGCAGATATGGCCACTGGTTGGTGATTCATAAAGGAGCTTAGGGGCCTGGGGAGTGTTTTTCGAGTATCCAGTGTTGTTGAAAATTTGTAATTCTCCTAATCTAGAATTCTAGTATGCTCATCTTTTGTTAACCTGTTATTACAGGATTTCTTTTTTCACAAAAAAAAGAAAAAAAAAAAAAAGAAAAAACACTTATATAGCAAGTTAGATTCCATTGAGATTCAAATCAGTTTTAACTGCTGCTTGAAATGTTGGAAATTGTCGGGTGCGCATTTTAGTTTCTTGTTTCTCGGATTCTCGGTGACTGCAATCAATCAAGCTCGAATTTCAGAAAGTCTGTTCTGAAGACGAAGTCTCATCATCGTTTTTGGATAAGACTTCGGAACACTTGGCCACTAATTTAGCAGACGGATTCGATAATTGACAGTGTAGCAAGTGTGGGAAGAGAATAAATAAATTATAACACACAAAATCGTCTAGCATCACTGGATGAAGCTTGATGGATTCGGCCGCAGATAAAATTCCTTTGGAAATCTTTATACTGATTTTGGTAGCCATGTTCCCTCGAGACTCGAGTGCATAAAATATAAAACGTTGATTAATTTTAGTATCGCAGGCTCCGTGTAATCTTTGTGAACCAGTCACACTGATGACGAATGTTCCTGAATTTTTAGGTTCTCAGCTTGAAGTATTGGTCCTAAAACAAAGCCAACCCAACAAGAGACCAAATCCTTGAACTATGAAAGTCTTCAAATTTCTCTCAAAAGTCCTCTATTACATTGTTTTGAAGGTGAACTTGGTTGCTTCACGGTTATCTACACCCATTTTAAGGTTCTTTTTAATCAGTAATCTGGTTCGCTCACTCTGATCAGACATTTTCGCTCAGTTTCTTGTCAGCTAATGCAATATTCATCTCCGGAAGACATGCTTTTACTCTCATCTCTGATCCAAGTTATCCAAGTATACGCAATATTTCCATATTGATGGTGGCTCTTATCTTCCATTATAAATGAATGGAGCTCCCCGTTCACTTCAACTGCACTATAGCCAGGCACTTTCTTCATCCTGTCTTTCTCATTATCTTCTACTTCAGCCACTTCGTCCCATCTTTCCCATGGCAAAGAAGTTTGAGACCAGCGAATGAATTCCCAAGTCATCCGGACTTAACTCAAGGACCTTCTTTGCCACAATCTCTCCATTGACAACTTCCTATGATTACGGCAACCATAAGAGGGTAACCCAAACAGCAAGCCCAGGTTCATTGTTCATGGACTTTATAAGCTCAAGTGCTTCTTCCACTGTCGTCCGGCACGGCCAAAAGATCAACCATACAAGCATAGTGCTTATCAGTTGGTCGAATTTTATATTCACTAACCATGAATCAAACCAGTATCGACCTTCTTCCACTAGTCCTGAGTGACTAAGAGCTGAAGAAGGGATGCAAAAGTAGAATGATCTGGTTTGAGCTTGTTTCTATCATCTGGAGGAAGAGTGTCAGAGCTTCCTTTGCACGTCCATGGATCCCATAGCTATCAATTATTACATTCCAAGAGATTACGTCCCTAGAATCCATCCGATCAAAGACTGCACGTGCACAAGAAGGTGCTCCACATTTTGAATACATGTCAATCACTGCAGTACCTAAAACCTTATCAAAATCAAGCCTCCTACAATATATCCATTATGCTTGCCCATTTCAGAAAACCAATTTGGGTACATGCCAAAAGTGCAGTCATGAGAGACACCGAATTGGGTTCACACCCGCAACTCTGCATCTCAATCAACAGTTCAAGTGTATTTCCTGGCAAACCATTTTGAGCGAAGCCAGACATTAGTGCAGCCCAAGAAACAATTTCTTTATGGGGCATCTTCTTGAAAACACGAGAAGCAAGATTTAATGTCCGTTCTTAGCATACATATCCACAGGCTGGTTTGAACTTAACATCCAAATCAAGATCTTTCCTAATCGTATACCATGAATAAGAGCCCCACTTTCGAGTCCCCAAGATTAACACAAGCTTTAATCAACCCCACCATCACAACCCATCTCCTTCAATCCCCTCCTTTTGCATCCTTCTATAAACATTGACTGCTTCGCATGGCTGCCATTACACGCAAACCCTTTTATCATAGAACTCCAAGAAACAATGTCCTTTCTTTGCATCTTTTTGAACACAATTAAAGCCGCATCCATTCTGCCACACTTGGCATACAAATTCAACATAGATGACCCAACAAACACTCGTTCATAACCAATCCTGCTTTACGCCAAACTTCTTCTCCCATGTTCAAGTTCATCAAGCTCACACACGCCTTAAGTGCAACAGTAAAAATTGAGCTTCAGTTTTGACACTTTCTTTTATCATTGATTATAAATACTCAAAACTTCACATGGGTATCCCTTACGAGAATATGCTATGATCATCGCATTGAAGCTATCTACACTTCGTTGTGGCAATTCATCGAACACTTTACGAGCTGATAAGATATCTCAATACGCGCATACAACGCTAGAGTCGGCCAATGGGTTTCCATGTGCGGAGAGTTAGTTTTAAACATGAAAGCATGGATTTTAATTATGGTTGTCTTCTCTTAGAGGTTAAGAGAAGGGCTTTTAGGTGCTTTGAAAATGTAAACATGCACATTTTGGGAAAGCAAAATCTTTAATCGGAACGTTTTAGGCATGAGTTAGTCATGGCCGTTGAAAAAAAATAAAATAAACCCAAGTTTGCCTTTTGGTTAAGAGGTGTTTACTTCCTTACTTATTGGGTTGAGCCATAAACATTTTACCTCGTGTAAATTGTGTTTTATTTTAGATTTGTATGATATTTAATAGACTCTAAATATAATTAAAGTGCCAGTAAAATAAACGAGCTTGCTCACACTCTAATTAAAAAAAAAAAAAGGAAGAGAATTAAGAATATGAGTTCATCACTTAATAGTAAAATGAGAATAGATTGATTAATTAATAGTTACAAGTAGAAGTAACAGAGCTCTAAATTCAAACGTTGTGGATTCCATCGGAAAAAGAAAATTAATAATAAAACGCAAAAAGTCTATGTTGAATAGGGTGCGTTTGGCTCCCTGTTTTTATCCATATTCCCAATCCTATTCTCCAAATAATGTTTGGCACACTTCCAGAAATTTATCCTATTTTTTTATTACTTTTAGACCCCATAAGGTTATTATTTCACTAAATGCCCCCTGATTTTTTTTTAAAAAATTAACAAAACCCCCCATCAACCCAATTTGTCAGATTCCGGCAACCACGCCGTGATAGTCGGAACTGTACAACGGCCTAAATTCTGACCTAATGGTCGGAATTACACCGATCTGGCCTTTTTCGGCAAGATCCACCACGGATCTGGCCGGAAAAGGCCAGATCTGGCCGTCGTTGACGGTCACACCGTCCAAGATCTTTGGCCGTCGCTGACGGCCAAAGATGGCCGCGTTTTGGCCTTTCCGGCCGTCGACGGCCATAACAGGCCCTTAGACTGGCCTTTTACGGCCAGATCCGTGTGGATCTGGCCGAAAAGGCCATAATGATCGTTACGCACAGATCCGATCGGTCTTGCCGTAATGAAATTTTTCGGCCAGATTCCGGCGGTGGCGCCGAAATCGGACACTGCAGGTGGTAGGGGTGTTTTTGTCATTTTATATAGTAGGGTCTTTAATTAAATTAGTAAACCTATGGGCTTTTTGATAAATTTTTCAAATTACCTCGTAATACTCCCTACCAACAATCCAATATTATCCTCAAAATCCATCCAAAATACTACACACCAAACGCACCCATAGTATTGTAGATGTAAAAATCTACAGTGTACAAAGGAGGGATTGATCCCGTGAGGTTGAGACCATTAAGCATCTGTTGTACCTGCACACATAAGAGAACACAACGTGAAGCGTGAAAAACATCGGGATTGTGTTTGCCGTAGGCACTCAGACGCTCAAGTCAGCAAGGTTGAAAGAGACTAATTTAGTGAGGGCTAGGGAGTTAGAGGTTACTAAAGTCTAGTCGGGGACTGTGACTACGGCTGTGATGTGAATTTCTCAAGCTAGAACTTCGGGTCTAAAGGTGAATATATTCGCCTTGTGAAGGGCTGACCTCTGTTTAATATTGACTGTCTGGTCCCCATCCTGGTGGGATTGGGAGTTCTCGTAGTAATCCGTTCCCTCTCGGGAATATCCTCTAGTCCCATTATCCTGACTGAAAGGAGTCAAAGTATGACTCTGACACGGACCTTGGAGGATTTGATGGTAGTGGACTACTTTATCAGTGTTCGAATAGGAATGTGATCTGTAGGTGACCGTGGGCTCTGAATTCGATCATAGATCCATGAAGTATATTGGGATTAGGAGGCCTATGTCCAGGTGGTTTGGACCGACTGTATTGTATCAAATGGGCCTATCCGGGAGTCTTGGCCTGGGAAGCATCAGGATTGGACCTGAGCTTTTCCTTATGTCGGATACCTGTCCCATTGGGCCGGTGCGTTTTTTGGCCCTAACAAGTATCACGTTATTATTAACTTATCTTCCAAAAAAGAGAAAAAGAGAAATCATTATGCCTAATAAAATTCCATCTTTGCTAAGAGGTTAAAGTTTACATTCCATTCCAATCATTAATTATAGATTCCCGTGGCAAGCAGGTGTTGTAGCTCTTTCTTTTCTTCTTATTGTGCTGTGGTTGAACATATTCATGTTCCACTCGCTTCCTCTTTTCCGCTGAGTTGCTGCTAATTAATTAAGTGGTAGGTGGATTCTGATTCTGATTCTGATCTGACTCTTCCCACTTCCTCCTTTAACTAGTGACAAACCCAGGTAGATTTTCCATTCAAAAGAGACGAATACTTACGTCAAGAGAATACTTTCATTACTTCTCTGCTCAAGCATTTGTAAGTATCACATATCACTAATCTTTTCCGCCTTTAGATGAAATAATAATTCAAGAAAAAAAATATGATGAATTTAGTATAGAAATTCAAAAAAGAATTGCATAAATTCTGAATTTATTAGTCATGATATGTTCCAATTACCATTTCTTAAAACCGTTGATATTCATAAGTGAAAGTTTGGGGAATCAAAACCCTACTTGCTTTCTACATACTAATCTTGTTTAAGAGAACTATATACTAAAATCTATGAATTTTAATGTTATAAATCTTTTATGAGAATTGATTATAACGTCTCAACTACAAAGTCTCTTGCTAGTTACTTCTCTAATCCTCTGAAATACCGTGTTTCAGTTACTTCTCTCTGTCGCAAGCTGAAACAATCTCGTTTACAAACCTTGTCTCTCTCTGTGGTGGTTTCTATGGAGGATCAACAACATGAGAGTGAAAAAAATAAGAAGGAAGCAAAGGTACCAATACCCGGAAAAAGAAACATACTAATAACCAGCGCCTTGCCTTACGTCAACAACGTTCCTCATCTTGGCAACATCATTGGCAGTAAGTAAATAAACTAAGAAACTTCCTTGTTCCTCTCTTTTTGATTTGCTTGTTTCTTCTTCTCATAATTGCGTCACTTGCATATATACCAGGCGTTTTAAGTGCTGATGTTTTTGCTCGCTACTGCCGACTCCGTGGCTATAATGTTATTTACATATGTGGAACTGATGAGTATGGTACGGCCACTGAAACTAAGGCTTTGGAGGAGAATTGTTCCCCGCAACAGATTTGCGATAAGTGAGTTCTTATACATATACACGCATCTACTCTTTTAAGGCAATTTTTTCTTTGAAGGTTTGATATTGACACTTGCTTTTTTGGTTCATGAACTATAAGACTGGTATGACTGATTTAGAAAATATATATGGTCAATGGTGTAGAGATATAAAGTTAACATAGTTTGGGGTATGTCCATTTTTGATTTCTTGAAGATGTTGTTCTGTTTCTTGATTACTTCTTTGATTGACAAGTTATGGCTATGTTAATCCTATACATACATATGTCTTCTGTTCCTTGTTAAGTTGCTTTAGCATCATGTTGAAGTTAAGAATAGGTTATTCCACTTGTTCTAATGGTTTAAACAATTTCAGTCCATTTCTTTTACCTTGTGCTTCCTGCCTGTGCAGATATTATGCAATACATAAAGCAGTTTACAATTGGTTTAATATAAGTTTTGATGAATTTGGACGCACATCAACTCCTCAGCAAACGGAAGTTTGCCAAGCAATTTTCAAGAAATTGTTGGAAAACAACTGGCTTTCTGAAAATAAAATGCAGCAGGTAAGTAGTTAGGCAACGAAAAGATGCTGTTTTGGTTTATGGGTTCATAAAAATGTTCCTGCAATTCAAAGTTCAATGATTAATGTTCTCATATCTTTTCTTGGCAAAAAATCTGCTTATCTACTAACCTGGAGCTAAATTACTCTTTCATGAACTTGGATTTGAAAATTGTTGCAGCTTTACTGCGATGCATGTGAACGATTCTTAGCTGACCGGCTTGTGGGAGGCACCTGCCCAACACTTGGCTGCAATTATGATTCTGCACGGGGAGATCAATGTGAAAAGTGCGGAAAACTGTTGAATCCAACAGAACTTATAGATCCCAGATGCAAGGTACACATACCCCTCTCATTTATACAATTCTAACCTGTTCCTATGATGAGTTCTCAAAAGAATTTGTTGATTTAACATTATTATTGATTCTGCTAATCATAATTCTGAAACATAAGTGTCAAACATATGTTTTGTTCAAACACAAGCTTGTATTATCAACAGGTATGTCAGATGACTCCAAGAATTCGTGATACGAACCACTTGTTTCTGGAGCTCCCACTGATTAAAGATAAATTGGAAGAATATATCAATAACATGTCAGTTGCTGGATCTTGGAGCCAGAATGCTGTGCAAGCTACATATGCATGGCTCAAAGAAGGGCTGAAACCTCGCTGTATTACCAGGGATCTTAAGTGGGGTGTTCCTGTTCCACATGAAAAATTTAAGGATAAGGTTGGCATAAAATTTAGATACCTGAGATTGGCCCTTCTCTTGCAATTCAACCACAGAAATTTAGTATTCTAATCTTGTTTAAAGTTGATTGATCAAACTTTTCCAATCACATAATTTTTAGGTCTTCTATGTATGGTTTGATGCGCCTATTGGTTATATCTCTATTACTTCATGCTATACTTCTGATTGGGAGAAATGGTGGAAGAACCCTGAAAATGTGGAGCTATATCAATTTATGGGAAAGGACAATGTACCATTCCACACTGTAAGAGTTTTCTCTTAATTTCTGTGATTGTTTTCTTCTTACTAGAACTGCTAATTTGAGTTTCACTAAAGGAATATGGGAAGAATTGTACCAGGGGAATACTAATCGATCCATGATAGTGTTTTAAGTAATTAAAGGTAATATACAAAGCAACTTTGAGAATCCACCTCTTGAAACTAATTAACTCACAATAGACAAATGATATACCCAAAAAAACCACACCTTCCAACCTTCGTTATGGTCATAACGTTTATTAATCTAGGTTTTCTATATAGTTGAGAGATAAATGGTTGATGCAAACAAAATAGTTAAACTAATGAATCTGCTAGAGGCTTGTATACGTATAGGTTGGTAAATGTTATCGTATTTATATGCTAACTTGGAGTTTGATTTATTTGAGATAGTTGTTTGCTTGAATTTCTGATTCTAGGTGATGTTTCCGTCCACACTTCTTGGGACTGGAGAAAACTGGACGCTAATGAAGAGCATTAGTGTTACAGAGTACTTAAACTATGAAGCAGGTATAGCGGTTGTCTTAAAAGTAAAATTGCCTAATAATATTTCCTCATAGTCATGGTCGTTGGGGGCCGGAAACATCCAATTTTTTTAAGCTATGAGACTATGATATTTTGGTTCTTCAATAAGATACATTTTGTAGATAGTCTATTCAGAATATATTGCATGATACTACAGGAAAGTTCTCCAAGAGCAAGGGAGTAGGAGTTTTTGGCAATGATGCCAAAGATACAAATATCCCTTCTGAAGTGTGGAGATATTATTTGCTAACTAACAGGCCAGAGGTGAGTTCAATAGAGGCAGCATTTAATTACAGCTTTAGTTTCTACTTGCTGATGCAGATGAATTTGTTTTGTTAGGTCTCAGACACACTGTTTACATGGGAGGACTTCCAAGCAAAATTAAATAGTGAGTTGCTGAATAATTTGGGCAATTTTGTTAATCGAGTACTGAGCTTCATTGTCAAACCTCCAGGTTAGTTAGCTGCCTCGAGACATTAAGTCCTTCAGTCCTTTCTAAAATAATATTTGCAGATATTCAGTTCTGTTCAAGACATTGATGTCTGGTTAGGTGGGAGATTAGGGCATTTGACTTTCCTTCTCTGTAGTCTAGTATTGTTTTACTTGTTACACTTTGAATCTTTTGGTTTATAAAATCTTTCCTTACATATAAGTTGGTTATCTGCAATCATTTCATTATAAAATCAGGACGAGGATATGGATCTGTCGTTCCTGATGCTCCAGAGGCAGATTTACACCCCTTAACAAAGGTGTTAGCTGAAAAACTTGGAAACTACGTTGACCAATACATAGAAGCCATGGAGAAGGTGATTAATTTAAACATGACAAATATCGCCTGTTGTAATTCAATTATAGTCCTCAGAGTCATGTGAAAACTCTTTGTGCTGTATTCATTTCTAAATAAGGGAAGTATCCGTTTTGGACATAGGTTAAACTAAAACAAGGACTGAGAATTGGAATGAGCATCTCTAGTGAGGGGAATGCATATCTTCAAGTAAGTCCATCAAAACTCGGTTAATGCTTAATTCATGAATGCATGAGTATGTTAGTAATCGTTTTTATCTTTATTAATGTTCATTTCTTGAACTTTCTGATATGGTATTCAGGAGAGCCAGTTCTGGAAGCTTTACAATGAAGATAAAGCTTCCTGCTCTGTTGTTATGAGAACTTCAGTGGGGCTAGTGTATCTTCTAGCATGTTTGTTAGAACCTTTCATGCCTTCATTTTCTCTTGAGGTAAGCATTCTCTACATTTCATGTCATAACATTCTGAAACTAATAATGTTCTTGGTGATTCTAATGCATTTCTTTTGAACTGTCAAGGTACTGAAACAGCTTAATTTTCCAATTGATAAACAATTTTCACTTTCTGATGAAACTGGAGGTCTTGAGAGGGCAAGAAAGCCTTGGGAGCTTCTACCTGTTGGTCATCGAATTGGGACACCATCCCCACTATTTAAGGAACTGGTATAAACTTTCTTCAATTCAACTTGTTTGTTTGTTCCTCTTAATATGAGCATATTTTTCTGCCAACTAATTGCTGAGTCTTAGCAATTATTACTGTTTATGATATACAGAAAGATGAGGATGTGAAGTTACTGAGGGAGAAGTTTGCTGGAAGTCAAGCTGATAGAGCTGTAAAGACACAAGCTGAAGCGAAGAAGATAACAGAAAAATTGAAGAAAACAAAAATCTCTGCACCATCAGATTGATTTAGCACTTTGGGAAATAAAACATCATTTGTATTGTCTTGTTAGAGTAAGACGAAGCAATTATGTTGCAGTTTATTATGTATGAAACCAAAGTAAACATGTGATTAGTACAAAATGTATGAGAGATGATCTGCTTATTTTTACGAGCAATGCTAGTTTTACAAAGACACATACAAAGGGGGTATACAAAGACAATCCTCACCCTTGATTTTCATGATTTCTCTCTCTCTCTTTCTTTTTTTCCATTTTTTCTTTGTTTTTTTCTTCTGAATGATGTCACTTTGTAACCCTCTTTGTATGAGTCTTTATAAGGATATCATTTTTCTATTTTTATATGTCTTGGGATCCCACTTGTGATTCTGTGTAACATATCAATTAAGGTTGATTATGAACATGAATATACTTTTCTCATAAATAAAAAACATATCACTCAAAAGTTGACTATGAACGCATGACTAAGTACTTTTTTCACATAAATTAAAAAAAATGAAATCAACAAATACTTTTCTTCTAAAGTATAATTAAAAAAAAAAAAAACCACTATAAACATGAATAGTACTATCTGAAATAAATAAATAAATCAAAATCATTAAAAAAAAAAAAAAATTTACAGTATGACATGAATAAGTACTTTTCTAAATAAAAAAAATCAAAATCACAAAAAATATCAATAATACTATATTATAAATAAATCTTACAAAGATTTTTATATAAAGTGATATGACAAAAAATGAAAGGAAAAATATTCTTTCATGTATTTTCCACCACATTATTTTGTATAGACATCGTTGTAAAATTTTTTTATAACTGTAGTATTACTAAAAAAAATATATTAAAATTAATAAATGCCCATATACTATGAACATGAGAACTACCTTTCTCACAAAATCATGAAAAATATATCAAAATCAAAACATACTTCCTCACGTAAATTAAAAAATCAAAATTATGAAAAATAAATCAAAATGGATCAACAAAAAAATAAATCAAAATCATGAAAAATAAAAATTAATAAACACCAAAAAAGAAAAAAACAGACAATCGCCGTCTGTGGGAATCGAACCCACGACCACATGGTTAAAAGCCATGCGCTCTACCGGCTGAGCTAAGACGGCGCTGGTTTTTAATTGGTAAAAGTAATACTTTTAAATTATTCAATTTGTGTCTAATTTAAATAACAGTGAACAGGGCCCGAGCTCAACTGAAAACGAGCTTCAGAACTTGAAAAATGTCGGAAATCTCACACGAAATATCGGAACCTTCCGATAATAAAGCTAAAGAAACCGTTGAATCATCGGAACTGGACCTCAAAAGCGTGCGCACCACCAAACCTGGGAAGAAGCGGCTTTTCCTGACACTATCCGTCCTATTCTCCTTCCTCCTAGGTAATAATCATGACATTCACTTATATATACATTTACTTTACGCTTTATTTAATTGTTATTATAATTCCATTCAGGTTTTCCGTTCTTATGGAAATCGGTGGAAATCTACCGCTCCTCGCTTCCATTTACCGAAATATCGGAAATGGAATCAAATCCATCTTTGTTATTCCCATGCCGGTTTCAAGCTATACTTTTGAACTTCAATTCAAATCTCAATCCTAACCATCTCCAACTTTCGATTCTTAACCAAATTACCAAACTCACCTCCAACCCCTCCCAATGCGGTTCCTGTACTAATAACCTCAGCCTCTCTGTCACCGTTGACTCCAATTCTCAGTGTGTTCAAACAAATTTAACTGATGATCTCTACCGATGTGGCACCATCAATGTCGTCGATTTCGATAGTAACGGGAAACATAAGAATGATGAAGATGTTGATGAGTTTTTGGAGTCGGTTCTGAAAAGGAAGAATGTTTATAGTATGGTGGTGGTGAATGGGGATGGAGTTGGAGAGGGAGTTAGGGCAGTGGTGGGGAAGTATAGACATGGGTGGATTGTTGGGAGGGTTGATGAGGAGGAGGCAGAAGTTGTGTCGAAAGTTGCGGAGATATTTGTGAAGGTGTTTGTGAATGGAGGGAGGGAGAAAGGGTTGATTCACGAGGAGTTTATGCCAGTGGGTGCTGATGGCAGGATTGTGCTTTCATTTAATTTGCTCAATGCTGAACCCAATGATTGGGTTTATGATTGGTATGATTCTTGTTCTTTATCATCTGTCTTCTTCAATATGCTTTTGTGTATTGTGGTTCTAGTTTAAGTGCCGTATATTATGATTAAATCAGGAAGAATAAGAAAAATCTGAAATGGATTGTCACTCATGACTTAAAATATAGTTTTCAATTGGATAATTCACTGTGTAGTTAAAATACTTATTTGTTTTATTTAATGGAAAAAGTCAAATCATTCTACGATATACCAAGAAGCTTGGATGGGATACCACAAACATGTTTGAACTTAAATTCAAATAGTTTTCTAGCAAATTTTCATCTTCTATCCCCTTGTGTCTGTAGGGATTTCCAAAGAATAGAGGAAACTCTGTTGACCCCTATAATTGAAGTTTTGGGACCCATTGCGAACATAGGTGTAGAAAGTCAGGTAATATTTCTTTCCACCTTTTTTAATGTATGTTTTTTATTTTTAATTTGTTCATTATTTGGTATTATATTCCTTTATGTGCTTTTGACAGTGGTTTCAGTTTTGTTCTTTCTTCTCACTTTTAGGTTTTATACCATACACCAAAATCGTCATTTTCATATTGGGATGAAAAGAAGAAGAGCTACATCTTTAATACTAAGGATCTTCCTTTCTTTGTATGTTTCTTTTCTTGACCTGTTATTTCTGAAAGTTTACTGGAAATATTGGAACTATGTTAATGTTAAACAAATGCCATGCACACACACATACACACATACAAGAATGGTTTTTATCATTATCATGCTTTAATAAGTACAGATTTTATTCTTTTTACTAATAATGTTACTATTGACATTCAATAGGTAAATTCAAATGAGTGGCATCTAGATACCTCAATTGCAGCTGGCGGGCGATCAAAGATATTGCAATTTGTGGTGTATATCCTTTAACTCATTCTTCATTTATCTAGTTATTCGTATTAATGTATAAGTCCAGTTGCTATAGCATGATTTTATTGAATTGATATGAATGGATGATGGTGTCTACATAGCCTAAATTACGCTTACCAGCTGTACCTTCATATAATTTATTTCTGTTCTCTCTCTTATGCTTTTGTAATTTCACAGATGCCACTGGCAAAAGCATCTCTGGTATTTTGCAACTTCTGTTTTTTTGTACGATTGATCTTTATAAAGACAGTCATGGGACCACTTCTAATTGGATGTGGTAGTGACTTATGACTAAGTTTCTGTTAGGATCCCACATTGAAAGGGAAAAGGGTGGGCATGTGGGTTATAAAGGCTTGGGCACCCTCCCTTAGCAAGCTGATTTTCCAAGGAGAGTTCGTCCCAAGCCCATGAAAGACCCATGGCCCAACCCAAATTGTTGAGTTATTGAAGTGTGTTCCTATCAATTGGTATCAGAGCATGATCCTGCGCCTATATGGTAGCGCACGCGTGGTAGGCTGACCTTGGGCCTGAACTGCTACCCCGAGAAAGGCATGGAGGCCCGAGGGAAAAGGGGATCCGCGTAGTCACTTAAGGGGTAAAGAGGCCGACGTGGACGTCGGTTGCAGAAGCGTGATGGAATGTTAGGATTCCACATTGAAAGGGAAAAGGGTGAGCATGTGGGTTATAAAGGCTTGGGCACCCTCCCTTGGCAAGCCGGTTTTCCAAGGAGAGTTCTACCCAAGCCCATGAAAGACCCATGGCCCAACATAAATTGTTGAGTTATTGAAGTGGGTTCCTATCAGTTTCTTTGGATGGGTTTTGAGCTCTATGAAAGAGTAGATTTTGCATCATGTTAATAGTTGTCTATATAAGTGGGCTATATATTCAAGACATTTTTGTCTTTTTTTTTTTTTTTTTAAATTTCATCATCTTCAAGTGCTTTCTCAATTTGTTTAGTATTTGTTAATGAGAGAGATGCTGAAAGTATGTTATCACTTATAAGAAGAATATTTATCTCATTTCAAAGTTCATCATATCAGCTTTCCTTCCCTGTGCTTCCAGATATATACCATCTGCAAAGGAGTGCCCTCTTCTCTTACAGCTTCCAAATGGAGAAATTTCTAGTACAAATGGTTTTATATCCCCAGTAAGTTATATTTTCATTATTATGATATTCATCGTTTTCCATTTAATATAATTATGAAATTTCTAATGCTAAAACATTTATGATGAGAACTTATAGATGTGGGGAGGTGTTATTGTCTGGAACCCTCAAAGCTGTTTAAAAGATTCTGAAAGTAAGCATACTGCCAGGCATAAAATGTCCCCTGAGGTTAGATGTTTATCCATGGTGATTTTGAGTATATCATTCTAATATCATTTCTTAAATGAGCTTTAACTTTTCAATTCTGTATGGAAGCTTACCAGAGCTTAGCTTTGTTGGATTTATTCATAATTTATTGTTATACTATGATTTCTGCTAAGTTTAGAAGGAAAAACAAGTGTAAAATATATTTTAAGCTTACTGAATAATATGGTACTATATATGCCTGATTGATCAGACTATATTATTTGTCACACACACACACACACACACACACACACACACACACACACACATATCTTTAAATAACTAGAAATCCATTTCCAGTAGTTGATTTTAATTTTCTTAAAATTGATGCATGCATATTGAGAAACAGGATCTTCGGGAGGTATTTGAAGTTTTCATGGGGCAGTTCCGGCAGCTTTTTGGTCTTAAATCTGACAACCTGTATGTAGGTGCATCAGACAAGTTTCACCTTTTACCCAGTGAAAGAGGCTTCACAGAATGGTAAGGATAACACCTGCTCATATAATTTTTTCATATTAAATTTTTTTAGCAAGTGTAATGTTGATTGCAGTTGATCTCATGCATATGCTTTACAAAACAATATTGTTAAGAGGAATTTTGAAGGCAGTTGAGTGCAGTCAATATATTATTCTTATTCTTATTCTTATTATTATTATTTTTTTTTGTTTTTCTGTAGGGAATTGGATGTCCTGTCACGGCAGCATTCATGCTTTAATCTTCATTCATGTGCCACAACACTTGGGTCCCTTTCTAGATTGGTATTTGCAGCATTAATAAAATAACTCTCCCTCTCATTTAGCCAGCATTTCTGATGCAAGTATGATGAACTTGATTTTTCAGGTTCAATCACTTCCAAGGATGATTATTATGGATGAAATAGGAAAACAGGTGAGTTGTCAAGATGGCTTTGTTGATTGAATGGCTATATGAATTTTGAATCTGATCCATGAGTTTAGACAATTAGGAATTTATTACATGTTTAACTGTTAAACATGTGTTCCAATCTTTTGGGAGTAAATATAAAAAGAAATGAAGAGAAAAAAGAAATTGCTAGTTAAGAGCAATGGAATTATAGATTAAATAAAAATACAAAGCAAACATATATTTCTTATGATTGATGCAGAAAATATCATTGTTTATTGTCCTTTACTTTTGCTGAATCAGATTTTAGGTTACTTTGTGATCTATAATTCTAAGTTAATTGCACATTGTCCTTTCTTCATTACCTAGGGTTTTAGTTGCATGTGAATTTAGATTGTTGCCCGGATTGAGTTGTCAAGATGTAATATTCTATGTCTAAACTCTATAGGAGCTAAGTTTACTTGAGTTTTGGTCTGAGCTATTATTCTTGTTATGTTTGAATCCCTGCAATTTTGGTTTATTTATGAGAGCTTGATCTTTCAAGTTTTTGTTCTGACATGGTCAAGGAGCTAATTGCATGTTTATCTGTGTGATCTCCATGATAAGGTTAAATTTTCTCTCAAGGCAGCAAAACTGGCTCAGAATAATGCCTCTTTAGGGGTTTATGAAGCTTCAGCCAGTATGTTTCTCTTCTACTTTTAGGTTCTCATTTGTTTTGGGCTTCAATTTTGAAGACTGCCTCCACATTTCCTATCAGCAACGAATGAGCCTAACAAATTTTATACCATCACTTTCATCAGTTTCTTCAAGGGAAGCAAGGTCTCTGGCAGAGGATGCTTTTTTTCACCCGTCTATTATGTCCGTCAGTTACTACTCATTTGAGCACTGTTTTGCAGTCTACTCGGTTAGTTTCTCAAAACCATTTTGTCCTGGTTAAGTCATGGGGAAACCATATAAACAACTTAAGTATAGATAAATACTCAATAGATAATATCAAAAGATTGCATGTACTCAAATCTAGTTTGCATTACCATGGATAAGTAAAAAGCTTTGCATGATCAGTAATAATTTCATTTTTCTTCATATTGATCATTAATGGTGTGGAATGAAAATGAGGAAGAACTCCTGAGCTAAATGGAAGTTTTAGAACCTATTGCATCAAGAGAAATATACTTGAATGTATTTATTGTTATTTTATAAAAACCCTTTTAATTAAGAGCAACTATCCTTTTGCTTCCCATTAGGTTCAAAATGTGGCCAAACTTGTTTATCTTCAAAAAGTCAAGTCATGCTGCTTGAGTCCAAATTTTTTTGATCTTTAAGCGTGGCAGTTCTTTTTACTTTCTTGTGCATGTAAAATTTGAACATACCCAATTACTGAACTGTTACCTTAGAAAAACAGAGTACTAACAGGAAATGGCTTTGAGTTAATCTTGGAGTGACTCATTGAATATTTTCTTATAACATGCCTTTTTCTGGTTGACTATTCTGTTATGATGTGCTTTTTCACATGTGTTTGCACAGCCCTTCTTTTTGCCAGTTTCGATGCATATTCTCCTTGCTGCCCTGAGAGAATGGAAAAGATACAAGCAAGAAAAGGCCAAGTACTTGGCATGGAAAGCCAAAGAAAAGGCAGTGTCTTAATCATTTCCTTGAGCTTTTAACTGGAGAAATAGATGTCTTATCGTGAAACAAACTGAATTCAGTCAGCAGCCATGTAATTTCACATGAGAAATTTTTTCAACGATTTGATGATGTTGATAAATTGCTGGTAGACTTGAGAGTGTACCAAGTTTTGAAATAGTGCGCCTGGGTAGTTGTTTACATTTTTATGGAGTAAATTTATCCCAGTATGTCCAATTTTATTATACATATATCATTTTCATACAACATTTTCCATACAACATTATGTGGCAAGATATGATTGGCTAATTTAAAGTTAAAATTAAACTTTCATTCAATCATATCTTGTCACATAATGTTGTATGAGAATGATGTATGTGTAGTATTATTCATTTCATTATGCATGTATTTGGCTTATAAACATGGAAAACAGCTGCTAATTAATCAAAAACAAAAGACTAAACAATCCAACATTCTACCGATTACAGGTTAGATCGCGGCTGAGGGAGGCGATTCCGAGTTAGCCAAAGGTGACGGCTCGCGCCGTCGTACAATGGCCTGGCGCGACAGGCCAGCCTTAAAAGCCACCCAGCTAATCGAGTTTAACCATTACTAACAGCCACCGCCGATCGCGCGTCTGGTGGTTCCTAAATTCCTTCACCACTCTCCACTCTCATCTCTCTCCAAAATTACCAATTTCGGCCTCAGGTCAGTGGCTCCGCGTTGCACGTGGTGGTTGGTAGCTGCCTTTTTCAACTCCTACTATGGTCTCTGCTGTTGGGATTGAAGCTATAACGAATTACGGTTACATGTTGGGGTCTCGGTTTGCTCAGTTTCACGAGTTTAGGTTTGGTTATAATTTTAATTTTTTCTATTTTTCTGCCATTGGTTCTTCCTTCACATGGCAATGGCCGTCCGTCAAGTTCGAGTGATCGAGTCTCATGTCCTGTGAATACAACAAAGCTACGGACACCGATTATTTTGCATTGAAAATGTGTACCAGCCTACGTGTATCCAGACGTCTGATTTTTCTATAAATATTTTTTTAGTGAGACGGTCGTTCACTCACATGGACAGACGGCCTTTGCTCGTCCATAAATAAAATACAATAAAAAAATTTTATAAACATTAGGGATGACCGCCCATTTCTTTTAAACGAGCGCCCACAAATAATGGACGTCCGTCCTTTACCTAAATATGAAAATTAAAAAAAAAAACTTTGGGGACGGTTGTCCATAAATTTTGGACGGATGTCCCTTACGTTTGGACACGCTCATCCATACTTTAAAAAAAAAAAAAAAAAAAATTCTAAACAAAACTCTTCTTCTTCCTCTTCGTTTCCCATCTCCTCTCTTTTTCTTCGTTTTCATTCCCCATTTTCTCTCTTCTTCTTCGTCTTTGTTTTATGAGATAGGCGTGTCAAATCCAAAGGCTCTAAAACCCAGAAAACTATAGAAGCAAAACAGGGAGAGCTTAAACATTGTACCTATGTATTTACCCAAAAATGCAATTAAAAATAACTCTTTTTCATAATAGGAGTCAGTGAAGAAATCTCCGGAGCGTGAAAGAAAGGTACATGAGAATGGAACAAATGGTACTAATACCCATGAAAGGCTTGTCAATGAGATAAAGGAATGCCTGAAGAAGGGCTCTTCTGCTAGCCAACTCAAATCGTTCCTGAGTAGACTCACTGGGACTCCACAAGAAATCATGAACGCCTTGTTTGCAGCTCTCTTTGATGGTGTTAAGAAGGGATTCGTTAAAGAGGTGTTGAAAAAGAACTAACTGGCAGCTGCAACCCAAGAGGAGGGATCCCAAATGGTTCTCCTGCACTCTATTGAGTCTTTCTTTGGAAAGGCAAATCCTGAGGTGGTGAAGGAGGTAGCATTGGTTCTCAAAGCGCTGTATGATAAGGATGTGCTGGAAGGGGAGTTTATACTAGAGTGGTACCAGCAGGGCCTGATTGGTGGCAATAAAAACTCTGGTTTGGAAGAATTCGAAGCCATTTATTGAGTGGCTTCAGAGTGCCAAGTCCGAAGAGGAATGATTATGATAGCAGAATTTAATTGTTCGTGTGTAATTTGCTTTTTCTTTTGCCTTGTCATGGTGTGAAATAAGTTTGCGAACATTGAGCGGACTCCTATTCCTGCTGGTTAGTGGTTATTTTATATTGCTATATAGCCGTTATCATTGGAGTTTTCTGAGCTTTGGAGCCTTTGGATTTAGCACGCTTATCTCATAAAACAAAGATGAAGAAGAAGAGACAAGATGGGGAATGAAGATGAAGAAAAAGAGAGGAGATGGGGAATGAAGACGAAGAAGAAGAGTTTTGTTTAGAATTTTTTTTTTTTTTTTTAAAGTATTGACGGGCGTCCATTCCGTCCAAACGTAAGGGAAGACCATCAAAAATTAAAACGGCCGTCCCCAAAGTTTTTTATTTTCATATTTGGGTAAAGGACGGGCGTCCATTATTTGTGGGCGTCCGTCCAAAAGTAATGGACGGCCATCCATAATGGATGGACGGTTGTCCCTAATGTTTATAAATTTTTTTCATTGTATTTTATTTATGGACGGGCGTCCTTTAAATGGGGACGCCCGTCCGTCGTATATGGACCCCCGTCCATATAATATGGATGAAAGTCCATGTGAATGAACGGTCATCCATATTTGATGGACGGCCATTCACTAGAAAAATATTTATAGAAAAATCAGGCGTCTAGGTACACGTAAGCTGGTACACATTTTTGGTGCAAAATAATCGGTGTCCGAAGCTGTTTTGCCTGTGAATAACATGGCAATGGAGTATGTTTGTTTTAGTATTTTGAGTAAGAATTTTTGAAATATTATTGGTAGGTAGAGTTTGATGATTATTATGAGGTAAAATTTAAAAATTAATAAAAAAACCGCTAGGTTTGTTAATTTAACTAAACACCTTAATATATAATTTTTTTTGTAAAATAACAAAAACACTCTCACTAACCTACAGTGTCAAATTTCAGTCACCACTATTGTCACCACTATTGAAATCTGGTCAGAATCTGGCGTTACAGCTCATAATCGATTGGATTTGATCGGTCATGCGTTGATCTAACCTTTTTCGGTTAGATTCACCACAGATCTAGCCAAAAACAGCCAGATTTGGCTGTCGACGGCCGAAAAAGGCCAAATTTGGCTATCGACGGCTAGAAAATGCCAAATCCAAAAATATTGACGATCAACGACGGCCAACTCTTGGCTATCGTTGATCGTCAACGAAGACCATTTCTTTGGCCGTGGTTGACGGTCAGATCGACGCATTACCGACCAGTTCCGATCGATAGTGCACCGTTGTGACAGATTCCGACCACCATCGACGATGATTTTTGGAATCTGACAACTATGGATGGATAGGAGTGTTTTTGTTAATTTATAAAAAAAAATGTTTGAGGTGTTTTTGTCAATTAACAAACCTAAGGGGGTTTAAAAATAGTTTTTTTAATTTAAGATCGGATTTTGAAAATAAATAAACCAACTTGTATTTGTATTTGGAATAAGGATAGAATAGTGATAAATAATGGAACAAACGATTCATTAACGCCCTTAGTTTTGGAGGTATTTAATAATTAATAGTATTTGTAATTGAAACTAGTAAACGAAACACTGAGGTTGTATCAAGTCTTTTCACTGAAGTTTTAACACTTTCTGTTTCCATGAAATCGAATGCATGAATGTGGATTCATGGCAGTAAAAGAGTCATCGTAACACATCACATATGCTACGCCTACAATATCAGTCTCCACACTTTGAATATTAGAATAACAGCAACGAGCTAATATAACGCGGCAGTAAATTCATCAATTAAAAGTTTCTACTAATTCCCAAACTATCAATTCCACTTTAGTTTCATATAGATGACAATCTTGTCAAAGCTACTTTTAGCATACAACTGATAAATAGAGGAAAATATAATAAATAAATAAAAGGAGAAAATGTTATGCGCAGTCTCATATCAACCAAAACACGAAGTATACAAATTTGAAGACCAATAAAACATGTTTCAGACTTTGAGATCTACGCAAACATTAAGAACCAGCTACATTCCAAAATGTCAGCCTCTAGATTCCAGTGCCAACAGTATCTTCTTTCTTGGACCCTGAAACCGCCAAAATGAATTTAAAAACTTCTATTAATTATCAGGATAGAAAAGAGAGAACAGGGCATCAATAAAGACACAACCACCATGGATGTCAACTATGCCTTATCTTTCATGACAGACAAGCACAAATACAAACAGATGTAGCACAGACTCGGGTATGGAGGGAATTGGGTAGGTACAAGCTTGATGAAGAACAAAGAAAGAAGACCAAGGAACGCACTTATAAGGAGAAATAGTAAGCAACAAACTGAGAGCTCTGTGATTTTAGACAAATGCAAAGCATCTAGTATACGAAATCATGCTTTAACTTTAAAAAAAAAAAAAACCTCGTCTGGCACTGAAGAGCTAATCATACAGAAATGTTTAAGTATCTAACGTATGACTAAAAGACTTGACCACCAAACCGAGTATCAAAGCAGGTTTACAGCTTAGATGGATCAAGGGCGGGCCGGCCCATTATAACCTCCCCTATTGCCATCCCTGAAAGTATAGCAAGCAATCCACAGCTTATTTAACAAACAATAAAAATCCTTGAAACCAAACAAAATATTATCAACAAAGGAAAAGAAGTTGATACTATCAGTACCTTTCAAAGAAAAAAAATAGATGGTCCTATTTTTTAATCCTAAGATAAGTCCTTGCATCTTTAAAACCAAAATTCCAACCATTGAAGCTATCCCAGGAGATTTTCAATTCACTACTCTTTCTGTAAAACGGATGTAATTTTCTTGTATTACCATTACAATTTTCAGATAGTATAAATAAGCATGACAAAACCTTTGAAAACAAATAATCATAACCTGGAAGATATAGAACATATGTTCATAGTGCCAGTATTTCAAGACAGCAATCAAATGATGTTTAGAAAAGAATTAGACCTTTCCAAAATTTGGTCAGGTCCACCACCCAAAAGTTGGTGATACAATCACATACCAGAACAGGAACTTTAAGAAGGCAGGACTTCTTCAGAAAACAGATTCCTGTATCTTAAGAGACATGAATTTGCTTAAATTACTTTAATGAGTCTTCTGGGCCTAGCCACTGAAGAGGATAGTTTTGAGTGGGAGGGAGGCATTGAAAGCATTACCGGGTAGATGCTGCTCAAGAAAGGGAGATTGGCTGTAACTAGATGTTAAGCAATTGACCAGGAATGACCAAAAGACAGGGTAACTCAAATTCTTTCTCACTTTCAGCCATTATATATCTAGAATGGAATTTGCTCGTATCATATAATTGCTGTACTGGAATTACAAAACCACACATGTTGCAGCTGAGAGTCCAATTTAAATTTACCATTGGTATTCCTATAGCCTTGAGGTCCTCATCAGACATGTGTACAAGAGCCGTCATATCAACCTACAGAAACAGGAGCATGTCACAAAGTATAAGATAACATTCCATAGGGTGATGAATTGGAAATAACAAATAATATCAACAAATTTACACAATCTAGGAGAATGCCTTAGATTTACATACTTCCTCGGCTTGAAAAGTAATGGAATACTTCTCAAGACCCAATGACCGCAAAAATCCATCAACCGATGTCTCAGCCTGCATGAAAAGAAGCAGGGCTTAGAAACTAAAAAGCAGCATTAATAATTACTGCACCTGTTTACATGCAGATAATGTACTGCAGGGATCATTACTTATATTTAAATCATTATAACATGAAAAGAAAGATTCTTTTCTACTCAAAGAAATTTAGGTGTAAAGACAGTATAAACTGTTCATTAGTAATTACTAAGTAACAACATATATAAAACACTATTGTATACTGCATGTACAGATGCAAACATAACCACCCATGTATTAGCAAATAATGCACATGAACTGTCATGCAATTCCTTCGTAATACAATAATAGACAGGATTATGTTTGACTCTCAAGGAATTTTGGCCAGAAACTGTAACCTAAAATTGCACATAAAACTGACCTAAAGCAGCAGTCATCCTAACAACTTAGTAGTGAATGCTGAAAATTAATATTAAAAGGAAACAGAATTTATGCCTTCTGCTGAACTTTCTTTCTCAGAGTTGGATCAGCAACTCTTTTGGTGTCTGTCTCGGGAGCTTCAACAGCAACACTCTTTCGGGACGGTTTAGCAGCCAGCAAATATGGTTTTGGCGGATCAGAGTTCAGTGGTTGCGAATTCATTGTCCCAGATAACTTTTCACGAAGATCTCGCACACCTGAAAAAGTACTCTTTCCACCTTGAGATACTTGTTGTACACTTTTCTTTTGGAGCTTTAAACGAAGATCTCGGACACCAACTATGCGATCTTCACAAGCCATTAACACAGTCAAAATCAATTAGAGATCATATAGTCGCATTCAAGAATAGTAGCAATTTTTAGTATTGTTTCACAATCAATCCATACTTGAAATTTGACGTTCATCATTGTCATAAAGATCATGTTCCCACTTGTCATCTTGCCTCAACCTGCAAAACAGAATATCATGTTTTGAGTTATAAACATCAATTTGACCTCAAGATTGTAAGTGAAGAACCAATTTTGCTAATAAGAAGAAACAACTAAAATTTGTAAATTCATCATACAGCAAAAGATAAGAGATTACAATTTAGGCATCTAGGTAACTTACTAAGTAGGATTAAGAACAAATTTTATGAAGAAAGAAGAAGACCAATTCGCTGGGTTTTTTTTTTTTCCTTTTCTAAAATAAATACTCAGAATTAAAAAAAAGGAAAAAAAAAAAGCGACTGGCATCTTTCTTAATTCTAGTCTGATCCACATCTGGTCCTAAATCGTAGACAATCTAAGAGAACTACAAGGCCTTCCAATATATGACCTATCACTTCTAAGTTTTTGCACTTATCTGATGCATGGGGCAAATTAGACAACATATCACCTGTAAACTAGTAAAATCAAGTCAAATGGTCACTCCTAAAGGCAATATCAAAATAAACAAAGCAACTTGTAATCATTCTATAGTATTTTTAGAATAAGATCAGGTCATTATCATAAAAATGGACTAATTGCTTAAATACAGGTGAAGTTAAATAGCCCGACATATAATGGCTCTGAATAGAAAGAAAACGAACCTTTTGCCAGTGATTGATCGCCTGCGAGTAGAGTCGTCAAGGATGGAATTGCCGTTTAGACGGTCCTTAACTGACCTCTTAGCTGCAGCCTCCACTCGATCAGCGTACATCTTCGTATCTTTAAACTCAAACCCTAACAGGAACCCTAAAGCTGATTGGGGTAACAAGTGCACATGAAATTGAGATTCTAGAGGGAGAAAGACATAAAACCCTTATCCAATATGTGCTAAAACGTAATGCAGAATAAATAATTTTGTTATAGGGATTTTGAGTGAGTGGTGAAACTTATTAGCAGCTGAACTGTTCCAGAGTTCACACCGACAACGGCAACAATTGGAGAAATTGGATTAATGCATTGCTCCGCTTTCGAGACGTGGATGTTAAAGAAAGGGACGCTTTACTCTTAAAACTGCGAGCAATAATCAACTGATACGCACCGTTTTGTAATTTTATTTTTAATAAATATTTTAACCTAGTACAGTAAAACCTCTCTATACTGATACTCTATATAGGAATAAACTTTACATATTCATACAAAATTTTAGTTCTAATTTGGGATAGTTATAAATAAGAATAAACTCTACATTGTAATAAGTTATAATTTTTTTAATTCCTGTCTTAAGGAAAGTTGCCTCTACATAATAATAATTATCCGTATATTGCAAAAAATATATGTTATGTAAAATTAAAGGTTTAAAATAAAATAAAATATTTATTTAACACTGTTTGGGGCAATGATTTATACTTTAGAGTTGTTATCACATTTAGAGTTATTATCACATATTATCTTATGAGTACATAATAGCTCGTTAGCATGGATACCTTTTTATTGAAGCCAAAATATTTTTAGTTTCTCAAGCATGTTTAGAGCTTTGTTAGGGCCAAAAATGGTCCTTGGCCCAAGTAAGAAAATGGGTGCGACGCTAAAGAAGAAGCCAAGCCCAATCCCGATATGACCTTACCCGGTTAGGCCCATTCGGTACAATGTGTAGCCGGCCCAGACCACGTGGGCACGGGGCCTCCTAATCCCAGCCCATTTCCCAAGAAACATGGGTGAGTATAGAGCCCACGATCTCCTCAGAATACCTTCCTATTTCTGATCGCTTTCCTATTCGGAGTCAATCTCCTAATTAGAATCACCGTCCTACTCGGACACGGGTAAGACGGCTTACCACGACCCTAATTCTTCTAGGGATTGCATCAGAGTCACACTAGGACTCCTACTTCTACCAGGGTTGGGAGACTAGAAAATCACTATATAAGCAGAGGCCAGCCCTCTCACAAAGGACATCGACATTACACCTTCACACCCTAAACTCTTACTTGAGAGTTTCGCTCCATTGCCGTAGTCACAATCCCCGATTAGACTTCCGGTAATCTCTCACTCCCTAGCCCTCACTATATTAGCCTTTCAGCCTTGCTGACTTGAGCGTCGGAGTGCCTACAGCAAACACCACCCCGGTGTTTCCCGTTCGCTTCACGTGCGTTTCTCTACGTGTGCAGGTACAGCGGATCGCTATTGGCCTCAACCTCACGGGATCAGACCCCCCTTCCGTACAGGTAGATTTTTACATCTACAAGCTTCATGGCACAAGACTTTTTGTATTTCCATACTATTATCCTTATGATTATTTCCTTTCTCTTCTTGTCTAATTGAAACAATGATTTCTCCTTTAGTTAAACCATATACGATTTGTTGCTCATTTGGATAATCGAAGAAGACATTAATATTCATTTTATTAGTGTAGTGAAGTTGTCGAATCTGATCACTCAATTCTATAGTGACTCTTTTATTCTCCTTATCCACTTCATTTATAACTTACAATTCATTCACATTAGTGGTCCTAATTTTGCAATGCTTAAAACCATTGACAATTGTCTGTAGCTTCACATCAATTAACCAAGCATCAATTGCATTTACAGTTTCATCAATGACACTTATTTTTACTGATTCTAAGAAACGATCTTTTATCAGTTTCAAAAGTAGACAATCAAAGCGCTGAATTGAAATCTTAATATTACTAAAATATGAATTGAAATTCTAATACTGTACTACTAAAACATAAATTATAAAATAAGAAATCAAAATTATAATTTTTGTAACTACACCTCCATTAAGTTATAACCTCCTTATAGTAATAAAATTAGTTTGTCCCACCATTATGGCTATAGAGAGGTTTTACTGTATAATAGAGTAAACGATTTTTTTCCTATCCAAATATGGTTTAATAACATTTTCTTACTCACAAACTTTTAAAATATCATTTTATTACCTAAATCTATAATCTGTTTTTGATTTTGGTATCACTGCGACCCCACATCACCACTATTCTCTTCCTCGATCATCACTCATAGAAACCTCTTAAACCCTACTCCCGTTGACTCTGTCAGTCGTTGACAATCGAGCAATTATTGTTTGCACAATCACCCATTCCAAGTCAAATTCTGATCAACCCTAACCACCAAAATCAAAACTTCACCATCAAATGACCCATCAGTCTCCCATCTTCAAAAACTATCAATGGTTTGGACCGAGTTTACTCTCTAATCATCGTCGAATATAAATTTAAGTAATAAAATAGTATTTTAAAAGTTTATGAGTAAAAAAAATATCATTAAACTATTATTTAGATGGGAAAAAGTTGTTAACTCAATATAATATAACAAAAGAGTTGTAAAATTTGTTTGATGGTTAAAATGCTGTTGAGATACTCCATTAAACCAAAAACACTCTCAAACTGAACTCACCTTTTAATTGCAGGATGTTTTATATTAAAGTCAAAACATTAAATTCTTATTTATTTAAATGCACATAAATATGCTCATTCAAGTTACATAATATCCAAATTTAGGCCGACAAAACCTTTTTCCATTTCCCAAACTTATCTGTACTTTTGCACATGGCTCATCTCAACAAAATTAAAATGACCCTCCTTTTCAATCAACGGACCAGCAGGAACTAAAGCCCATTATAAACTAAAATTGCCCCTTCAATTTTTGTGACTCTCTACATAATACAAATTAAAATAAAAATAAAAATTATATATATAATATCTAATATATATATATATATATATATAGTAAAACCTTTCTATAGTCATAACGGTGTGATGAATTAATTTTATTACTATGAGGAGAATATAACTTAATGGAGGTGTAGTTACAAAAATTATTGTTTTGATTTCTTATTTTATAATTCATGTTTTAGTATTACAATATTATGATTTCAATTCATGTTTTAGTAGGGTTAGAATTTCAATTCAGCGCTTCAATTGCTTACTTTTGAAACAGATAGAAGATCGTGTCTTGGAACTAGCAAAAATAAGTGTCATTGATGGAACTGTAAATGCAGTTGATGCATGATCAATTGATGTGAAGCTACAGACAATTATCAATGGTTTTAAGTGTTAGTGTATGCCCTAGGAACCAATCGTGTCGTCAGTTCCAAGGCATTATGTTTTGTATATATATGTTAATGCATATATTTTGTATATACATTTTATCTTATTAATAGAAGAAACTGTTCTTATTTCACATGTGGTTTATTGCTTTATTTATATATATGTATTACATGTGAAATGTCCGGATGATACAAATCTTTAAAAGATTAAAATCATCAAAGCATTCCCTACATAGGTAATATTAATTGGGCAATAATATTACATAGTAGGCATGTTGAATGCCTCCGTAGAATATCATATGATTGTATTAGTGTGGGTGATTATAAAAGTTATATCACTAGAGCATTAGCATGGATAAGCGGTTAGTGAACTGTTTATCGAATATGGCCATTTATGATGCATCACATGAACATTTAAAATGTAGTCAATGATTTATCATAAGATCTTACTAGTGTATTATTAATCCTTAGACTTGAGATATCGCAGTTGGATTCTACATAAACGCATATGGTTCATATGGTGTATAAACACGAGGCTAATTATATTATGTGTTAATAAGCCGATTTGGCCATGTGTTGTTTATGTGTGAGGACAAGTGATAGTCAAGATGGGATCCGTTGACTTGGTATAGATTGATATCAAGTTCCTAGACAAATGTCAAGATACATTGGAAAAGGGAAATCTCTGGCCGGAGTATATAAAATGTTACTTGAAAGGTTGTTTCTTGGTGACACGTTCCATATGTTTTGATTGTCAATTTGATGTAAAATTGAGAAAATGATTGATATACCATGAATCCATTCTTAATTAGGATTAGACAATAGAAGGATTTGATTATACAACGTGTATGATTATAAAAGGGTTCGTTGGAGTATATCTTCATTGTGATTTAGGGGTTATGGAGCATTGCTAGATGCCTACCATAATCAGTGAGAGTTTTGTTCATAAAGATTTATGACAAAATATATCGAAATAGACTGTGATATTGGGCCCACGGCTAGGCTACAGTGAACCTAAGAGGTTACACATAAAAACTAAGGGGAATGGAGAAATAGCCAAAGAGAGTTGATTATCCAAGGTTGGCTAGCACCTACCAAGGGTAATAAAGTTATTTATATTTTATCATTGGATTAGATTCAATTGAGTGTTATATTAGTTATTATGAATAATTTAAGAGTTAAATTGCTAATTGGAATTCAATTCCAATTCATAATTAATCATTTTCTTTATATGAAATTGGATTTAATAATGGGTTGTAATTGTAAACATATGAACAATTTAAGGGTTAAATTGTTATGTAAACAATTTAAGATTTAAATTGTTAATTGTGGTTAAATGTTAATCCAATATTATTATTTAAAGAAGTTTAACAACTTCATAATAATTATGGAATTATTTACAACTCTAAAAAAAATTATGGAATTGTTTAAAGAAGTCCAAAACAATTATTGAATTGTTTACAAGGCTTCATATATAAAGAAAATGATATATCAATTTTAGGGTAGAGATCAAAATCTCTAAGAACCCTAAATCTCTCTCTTGGCCTAGTTCTTCTTCTACCTTGGTGTGGATACTCTTTTGTTTAATTTCTCTTGAAATTAAAAGTCTCCAAGGTTGCTAAGGACTTAAGGTAACATGTTATACCTTACTTATTTTCAATTTGATTGAATTTTTTTTTTTCAAACTATGAATATACATGTTATAGTATCACATGAATCATTCTCCATGTATTCCATCTTACATTAAGCATTGCAAAATTAGGACCTCCGATGTCGATGAATTGCAAGTTACAAATGAAGTGAATGAGGAGTAGTGTTGGAAAAGTAACCCGCTCGACTCGGCCTGCGGCAGGTTAGGGGTTTTGGCGGGTCGGGCCTAACCCAGCCCGCCACTTGGCCAGAAAGGCTGGCCTAGCCCGGCCCACTAACCTTAACCTGACGAGTTATGCTGCGGGTCGGGCCGGGTTAGCCCCTCTTTTTTTTATATATTTTTTCTTTTCTTTTTTTTTTCTTTTGTTTTTAGTTAACTTTTCAAATATCAATAATTCAATTAAATTATTTTTTGTTTGTTAACATTTCAAATATTAATTCAATTTTAATACAATAAAATTGTAATACAAGAAAAATTAGATATATTCATTTATCAAAAAATAAAATAAGAAATTACAACAATTATTACCTTGTTAAAAACCTCACCAAGAAAAACTCAATGGGCAAAAACTTGGTAAAGAAAAAAGAGTGTAATAATTGACAATTAATTTACAAGTTACAATTTACAAAACAACCAATTTGGGGGTTGACTAGGACCTCCCTCATCCGTATCATCTATATTACAAAATTGAAATGATTCTATTAAAGTATCGTTGACAACCTCGTATTAATCTTCATGGCGCCACCGTTCCCAATCTCGAAGACATATGAGGACTTCAATCATTTTTGGTGAAAGTTTAGTCTTCCTTTCATTTAAAATTCTTCCACTTGCACTAAATGTTTGTTCGGATGAGACGGTTGAGACAGGAATAGCGAAAACATCCAAGGCAAGTCTTGATAATACCGGAAAAATACATTTTCTGGTCTTCCAATATTCTAAGACATCAAAGTTGGCTCTTTGTTGTAGATCTGCTGGTAACATTTTGGGGGTTCCCAAATATTGGTGAAACTCATTACTTTATCACTGCATGGAGGACAGTATATTCGTTATTGGTGCTTCTGAATAAGAGATTGTGCTTTGGGTTCGGGTCCTCTTCGGCCTATTAAGTGCATTCTAGGAGTAAAAGTCTTCATTTGTTTCTTCTTATGCAACTTCCCTGGGTATTTCGCCTCTTTGCTGGTTCCCATACCTGTTTTTATATTGCAAATATACATCTGCAAGACACTCTCTTACCTCTCCTAGTTGATTGGCATATGCTTCGTTTTATAAATTTTCAGTTAATGTGTCTAAACCATTTTCTAAACCTGCTACTTTAATTCTAAGATCAAATAAAGCACCTAAACAATAAAGAAAATGAATGAGTTTCCAATATTTAAAAAAAAAAAAAAAGTCAATTGCCTTTATTGGTCCCCCTAAAATTTTATTGTTTATATTTTTTTCTAAATAACTCTGAAATTTTTATAATTATATGTATTATCAATGGACTAGTAGGATAATATACACCAGAAAGTTGTAAAGTGGATTGGTAAAAAATTAAAAAAAAAAGAATGAAATATTTTAGCTATATGTCAATCATTTTCTACCAAATAATGAGGACCTCTATTATTTCCTACAAAATAACTAATTAAATTTGCATAAGGTAAACATGAATCAAGCATTAAATAAGTACTATTCCATCTAATAGGCATGTCTAATGTAAAAGTTCTAGGAGACATATTTGATTTTATATAAGCATCTTGAAATTCAACATTTCTTTTATTATTACTAGTAATCCAAGCAAAAGAATCCCTAATTTTATCAATATTATCTTTAATTGTTTTCATACCATTTTTCACAGTTAAATTAATAATATGACATGCACAACGTTGGTGAAAAAACTTCAAATTGTTATAAAAAGGATAATAAATTTTAAAAAAATCTATAACTGTACTATTAGCACTTGCATTATCCAAAGTTAACCTTATTACTTTATTAATAACATCATAATCTTCTAAAACTTCGACAATTTTATTATAAATCTGTTGATCACTATGATCTATATCTATTAATTTAAATCCTAATAAAGATTTATTTAATTTACATTTGTTATCAAAATAATGACTAGTCACACGAATATAATCTTGTTTAGCTCTACCACTCCAAATATCGGCAGTTAGAGCCATACTAACATGACAACTATATATTTTATTTTTTAATTCTAATTTCATTTTGCCAAACAATTTTATTAAACCATTTCTAGTTGCAGTGAATAACTTTTAAATCCTGGAAAAAATGAATTTTTAATAAATCTTTCAAAATATTTATCTTCAACCATATTAATAGATTGATCAGTTGCAGCAATATATAAAGTTAATTGTTCCCTATATACATCAGAATTATAACGTCAAGTAGTACCCATATTAGTTATTTGAGTTTGATTGATTTCTCTATTTCCACGTTGAGCAATATGTTTATTAGCATGTCTTTTAAAGTACTAGTACCATTACCTGAATCAGCTTTATAAATATTTCCACAATACTTGCATCTTACTTTCTTCACTTGAACTCCATTTTCTGTCTCATAAAACTTATCAAAATGCACCAAAATATCTGATGTGTGTCTGTCCTCGGTTTTGACAGCAGTTGATGAACCCGTTTAAGCTTGAGATGAAGTTGGACGAGGACGACGATTACGAGGACGACTTCTAGAACCACCGGGAGCTGTAGCAGCATGGGGAGGAATCGGGGGAATATTATGAGGTGTATCAGATTCTGAGACTAGGAAAGCCGGACTATTTGAATCTACTGCATTTATGTTAGTAAATTCAAGGGGACTAGGATAGTAGTTTCCTTCATCATCGGAATTGACGGGATGGAAATATCTATCCATTGTAGTTAAAAAAAAAAATTGATATAGAAGAAATAAAAAATTAAAGAAGGAGAATTGGAATTTGGAAATATGAATTGAAAATTGCAAAAACTAATAAAAATTAAAATGAGAGCAAATTGACAACAAAGAGAATAATTGAGAGATTTCAATAGAGATTAGATAAAATGAGAGAATTTGGGATGTGAGAAAATATGAGAGTTTAGGGCCTATTTATAGAAAAAAATGAGAAAAGAAAATGATGAAAAAGACTCCTTCAACTGCTATCAAAAGGCTATATTTCAAGGGTAAAAGGGGTATTTGCAAAAAAAAAAAATATATATATATATATATTTTTTATTTTTTTTGGGCCAACCCGCGGGTCAACCCAGCCGGTTGATCGTTGGTTTGCAACGGCCAACCCGTCGGGTTGAAAATTCCCAACTCGTCGGGTCGCCGGGTTGCGATATAACAACTCGGCCTGCTCGAGGGTTGCATGCGAGTCAGGTTCAACCCAGCTCGCCTTATAGGTGGTCCGGGTTGAACCCTCTTTAATGCGGGCCAGGTTAAGGTTGACCCGCCTAACCCGACCCATTTGTTCCACCTCTAATTAGGAGAATAAAAGAGTCATTGCAAAATTGAGTGATCAGATTCGACAACTTCATTACACTAATCGAATGGATATTAATGTCTTCCTCGATCATCCAAATGAGCAACAAATCATATATGTTTTAATTAAAGAATAAACCATTGCTGCAATTTAATAAGAAGAGAAAGGAAATAACCTTGAAGATGATAGTATGGAAATACAAAAAGTTTTGTGCTATGAAGCTCTAAACATGCTTGAGAAGCTAAATATATTTTGGCTTCAACAAGAAGATATTTATGCTAGTGAGTTATTACGTACTCACAAATTAAAAGATGTGGTAACAACTCTAAAGTATAAATCATTATCTTAAACAACTTTAGATAAATATTTTATTTCATCTTAAACTTTTAATGTAACATAAAATATATATTTTTGTAATATACATATAATTATTACTATGTGGAAGCGACTTTCCTTAAGGTGGGAATTAAAAAAATTATAACTTATTACAATGTAGAGTTTATTCTTATTTATAACTATCCTAATTGGGACTAAAATTTTCTATGACTATGTAGAGTTTATTTTTATATAAGGTATCACTATTGAGAGGTTTTACTAATATATATCATAAGAATTAAGGGCATAATACACTTGTTTCTCATAGTCCAATTTCTCTTGAAGTTTCTGGCTTCACCGGCCCTCAATTTCCGAAATAGCAGATACACTTATTGAACAACTCTCTTGTTCACCCCTCAGTAAATTTGCCTCCGTCAGTTTTTGTTGAGTGTTAAATGCTGTTTGTTTTGGTGTAGGAAGTGGCACCGTTTCATTGAAGAGCATAGAAATGACATCAGGCATAGTTGGCCTATCCACTGCATATTCTTGTACGCACAAAAGACCCACATGAATGCATCTCAGGACTTGGGACCTGACGCAGGAATCAGCCAGTGTTGGATCCATTAGCTCCAGGATTCTTCCTTCTCTCCATAGCTGCCAAGTCTGCAACAACCAGAACATGTTTAGAAAGCTTAAACATGACAATATATATTGCAATGAATGTATATTGAGATATTGAGGTAGCTTACAAATCCCACTAAATTCATGGGGCGATCAAGATCATGATAAATGGCACTGTTTTTTCTGCCACTGATTATCTCCAACAGCAAGACTCCAAAACTGTATACATCTGACTTCTCTGAGAAATTGCCCTCCATCGCATACTCAGGGGACATGTAACCGCTGCATATCAAACATTAAAAACATTTTACTCCCAAAAGCTTCAATCAAGAAATGGAAAAGTTTTCGTAATTCTTCATTGGTGGATTAAGGTTAACTTACTATGTTCCGACAACTCTATTTGTATTTGCATCAGATTCATGTCGACCAAAAATTCTGGCCATGCCAAAATCAGAAATTTTGGGGTTCATATCATCATCAAGCAAAATGTTACTTGCTTTAAGATCTCTGTGGATAATTCTGAGTCTGGAATATTTATGCAAATAAAGTAGTCCTTGAGCAATTCCATCTATAATATTGTAACGTCTCTTCCAATCCAAGAGCTCCCTTTTGGTTGGTTCTGCAGAAATTACAGTCATTTAGTATTTTATTTTATTCCAAGTACAACTAAACAACAAAGCTAGAAATGATGTTGAAGTTTTGTGCGAACCAAAAAGGAAGAAGTCCAAGCTTTTGTTGGGCATGAATTCATAGATAAGCATCTTTTCGTCTCCTTTAACACAACAACCCAAAAGTCTAACGAGATTCATGTGTTGGAGTTTTGCTATGAGTAATAGTTCATTCTTGAACTCCACCAATCCTTGAACGGAACTCCTTGAGAGTCTCTTTACCGCTATTTCTAGCCCCTCTGGCAATTTTCCCTGTAATAATATTAATAACACAATAAACCCAGTTAAAATCATTAATCAGAACATGCCTGCCAATTATTCTTTTTTTTTTTTTTTTTGTTAATAGATGCATCAAGATTTACCTTATATACAGGACCAAAACCACCCTCTCCAAGTTTATTTTCAGTTGAAAAATCATTTGTTGCGGCCGTTATAGAAGCAAAAGTGAAGACTTTCAAATCATGATCTTTCTTCCCATCATTCCCTCTCTCTTTTGTATCATTAGCAATTAATTCCAATAATATAATTTCTTCACTCCTTTCCTTGTCCCCTGCATTTTTTTTCAGAAAAATGGTTAGAACCACTACTTCTCACATCGACAAATACATTGATATTATTTGTGAATGGATATTAGTACATACTTTGGAGTTTCTTCCTTCTCAAATAGCATAAGAAGCCCACGCTAAGTATTACCAAAACACCAGCAACTGCAATGATGAGCCACATCCACCATTTTCCTAACCAAAATGAGCATAGTTTTTATTAGAATTAGGACAAAATTAACCATGCAATGTGGGTGCAATTCTCCGGTTTGCAAAACTATGGGATGAGAAAGACACTAAATATTACCATTTTCTGATGAGTTGTTTAATGATGATGGCAATGCTGAACTTAGAACATAAGGCATTCTCCCATTAGTTTCAGCTGTTGTAAAGTTTACATCTGTATTCCAAAATTCACATCCAGTTCCATCTGTGTTAAGAGTATTATAACCAATACAAGAACATTCATTCCAGCATCTAGTCCAACAATCGCTTAAACCAATGCTCACATTGTCCTCAGACAAATAAGATCCTCCATCAAAAACACCTATTTGTGGCAAAAAGTCATCTTCTTTACTTCTGCAGGTAGGTTCTGACATCGCACAACCTAGATACCCATAGCATACACCGTCTATAAGAAGATTGCTAATTGCCCCTTTTTCATCCAAGACCAACCTCGAAGTACTCCCATCAAGAACAGAATAAGTGAAGTAGCTCTCATTCTGGTTAGAAACATAACTAAAATTGAATTTATCCTGCGACCCACGAACGTTCTCAAAGGTACGACTGTTCAAGTTCAAGCTCCCACTTGTCCAGTAGATATCTCCACGGCGTCTGGCAACGATTTGTCCAGTACCAGAACTGTTGTTCCACTCAAGGGAAAAAGTTCCAGGGGTAGCTATTTGTTGGCTTAACCAAGAAGTAAGCAACCAAGTTTGCCCAGTTCGGAAGTTAACCCCTAGTTTCATTCCAGGAAGTAACGTGTTAGTAGGAAAATCAAAGCTTTGCCACAAAACCTGCTTGGGAGATCCATCAGGATTCAATTCTGTCAATACAAAATTGCCAGAAGTCTCAAGTGTTGCTGTCGAGTTCTTAGCCGCTTGATTGGAATTCAACGCAATTGTGTTCCCTCCACTCTGCATAATCTTCAATACGCCGTCTGAGTCCATAGTGAGGTTGCCACTGCTTCCGTATACGGGACTGGTTCGTTGAGCAACCCATACAACATTATTGGGGTCATCTTTAAACCAGATTCCCAAGTAACGGTGAGCAGCATTTAAGGGGTTGAAAAAGCCTAAAACGAATCTGCCATCAGCTGAAGTAAGTTGGTCAGAGAATCCAAGCATTTCCCCAGTCTTAATGGTATCTCTAACAGTACTCTGTGCATGAACAGAATAAGGCGGTGCTATGCTGAAACATAGCAAAATGAAGAGGGAAACTGTAGTGTTCAGGCATAGTTTACTGGTAGCCATTGTTGGAAATTTGGAATGGCTTTAGTACGATTTCAGGTTGATTCAGTTGTTTGATGCCTTTATTATATGTTAAATGGTTTGACGTTATAATTGACTAACCAATTTCTGGTCAATTTTTGAAAAGTAGACGAAGAATTTTCAATATCAGTGTTTTAACGAGTTAAGTAAGTTTTTTGTTTTTAAATAATTAAAAAAGCTGCCGCCACATATGATGCGGCGTAATACATTGCATCCAGAAGCAGTGAATTTAGACTATATGATATTAAAATTTTATTTTTCATCTTCATTTGACTGAAACAAGTCACACATGGAAAATAATACAAAGCATATCAATTTATACAAACTGTGGATGATAAAATTGGAGGAGTTAAAATGAGAGATGAATTAATAAAAATTGATTCTATATACTAATAGTAAAGTCAAGCATGGGAAATTAATAGATTATGTCCCCAAAGACTTTGAAAAGTATTCTGGTTGGTTCTCGACGCGGAATTATAAATCTCACAAATTATTAGTATGATATGAAGTATGAACTCAAATTTTCAAAGGCATCAGTGCTAGTCAACTCCCTACCAGTTGGTTCTAAGGAATTTGACCTTAATTTCCAACGGCCTGTTGATGTTCAGAAATTGCGTAGAAGCTGATAATGTAAGTTTAAACATTGCAACAGGTGTATCATGTCGTATCGTAGTTTGCATCTTTCCCATTCAAGGCCAAGGAACCCTAGTCAGTGGTCAATGGCTGTCTCATCCATTCCTACTCCCTTTTACTGTTCCTTTTTTATAATTTCGATTTAGGTTTGTTCAAATATGTCGACACTAGACAATTAAGTTGATGGCAAATAGAAGTACGTCACCGTTTCATCACTAATAATATACTGACATAAAAGAGGAAAGTGTAACTAGAGAAGAAGAATTAATTTTCCTGGGAGGTGAAATTTTACTTTCTTTTTCCGAATATTAGAAGCATACACAATATGGTAGTTAATGAAAGATGCATAGTTTTCTGTATCCAGTTTTCTTCCTGGTTTTTGGAGCTAGTTAATAATACAGATGTCTCTTATCCACTGAGAAGTCCGAAGAAAGGATTTGTTATTGCAGATCTTATTAGGGACCCAGCTGAGTTTAATGCTGCCATGTCAACCTTGTCACGGGGAAGAAACAAGAAGTTGTCCCCTTCAATTCTCTCGAAGCCGCAAAGCTCAAGAAACTCAATTCCTCCCTCCAAACTTCCAACTCGTTGCTGTAACATGTATAGAAAGCTTAAACATGACAATATATTGCAATGAAGTATATTGAGATATTGAGGTAGCTTACAAATCCCACTAAATTCATGGGGCGATCAGATCATGATAAATGGCACTGTTTTTTCTGCCACTGATTATCCCAACAGCAAGACTCCAAAACTGTATACATCACTTCTCCGAGAAATTGCCCTCCATCGCATACTCAGGGGACATGTAACCGCTGCTAATCAAACATTAAAAACATTTTACTCCCAAAAGCTTCAATCAGAAATGGAAAAGTTTTCGTAATTTCATTGGTGGATTAAGTTAACTTACTATGTTCCGACAACTCTATTTATTTGCCTCAGATTCATGTCGACCAAAAATTCTGGCCATGCCAAAATCAGAAATTTGGGGTTATATCATCAAAGAAATGTTACTTGCTTTAAGATCTCTGTGGATAATTCTGAGTCTGGAATATTTTGCAAAAAAGTAGTCCTTGAGCAATTCCATCTATAATATTGTAACGTCTCTTCCAATCCAAGAGCTCCCTTTTGGTTGGTTCTGCAGAAATTACAATATTTAGTATTTTATTCCAAGTACAACTAAACAACAAAGCTAGAAATGATGTTGAAGTTTTGTGCGAACCAAAAGGAAGAAGTCCAAGCTTTTGTTGGGCATGAATTCATAGATCATTTTTCGTCTCCTTTAACACAACAACCCAAAAGTCTAACGAGATTCATGTGTTGGAGTTTTGCTATGAGTAATAGTTCATTCTTGAACTCCACCAATCCTTGAACGGAACTCCTTGAGAGTCTCTTTACCGCTATTTCTAGCCCCTCTGGCAATTTTCCCTGTAATAATATTAAAACACAATAAACCCAGTTAAAATCATTAATCAGAACATGCCTGCCAATTATTCTTTTTTTTTTTTTTTTTTTTGTTAATAGATGCATCAAGATTTACCTTATATAAGGACCAAACACCACCCTCTCCAGTTTATTTTCAGTTGAAAAATCATTTGTTGCGGCCGTTATAGAAGCAAAAGTGAAGACTTTCAAATCATGATCTTTCTTCCCATCATTCCTCTCTTTTGTATCATTAGCAATTAATTCAATATATAATTTCTTCACTCCTTTCCTTGTCCCCTGCATTTTTTTTCAGAAAATGGTTAGAACACTACTTCTCACATCGACAAATACATTGATATTATTTGTGAATGGATATTAGTACATACTTTGGAGTTTCTTCCTTCTCAAATAGCATAAGAAGCCACGCTAAGTATTACCAAAACACCAGCAACTGCAATGATGAGCCACACCACCATTTTCCTAACCAAAATGAGCATAGTTTAGAAAAACGAAATAAAATAACAAAAACAAACTGAATCAAGATTCATCATTGAAAAACAAGCAAAAGATGGAGAAATCTTCTCTAATTTGAAGCTCAAATCTTCAATAATCTTCTCCTTCCATGAGCTGCCTCCCAAATGACGAACCAAGACCTCTTTTTCTCTTCCTTTTCGCTCTAATTTATACCTCTCTCACTTAAGGATCAAGCCCTAGCAAGCCAAAACGCGTCGTTTTATTTTTACATCTGATGCAGGTTTCGCCGCGGCAACGATTTTTCCTTGCCATGGTGAAGAATTTCGGGCCAAATTTGAGCCTGATAGAGTCTTAATCTGGAAACGTGTTAAACATACGAATTGTAGCCCTTTCAATTATATTTCTAGTCGTTCAAGAATCAGCACAATCCGAGGTTTACAGCTTAAGTTATGACAGAAATACTGAAGCACGTCTAAAAACATTTTTCTTTAGTTCCCAACGTACTCTTCACGACTTCAAGCCAAGTTTTCACCATTGTCCAGTCAGAATTAGGAAAAACCCAAAACATGAAAGTTATAGCTCTTCTTCTTAGCTTTCAAAATCTTCTAAATTCAGGTCATTCTGAGTTTCCAAGCTCAAGTTACATAATTTACGCTCAAAACTGTCATTTATGCTAAAAATCATTGTTTAGGCCTGCAAAGACAAATTAATAGAATTGGGTAGCAATTATGGCCCAAATTGTATGAAAAGTATCATAAATCCTATCAAAATTCAATGCAAAATCATAGTGTAAAATATGATTATCAGCAGTTGATGAACCCGCTTCAGCTTGAGATGAAGTTGGACGAGTATAACAATTACGAGGACGACTTCTAGAACCATCGAAACCTGTAGCAGCATGGAGAGGAATCGGGGAAATATTATGAGGTGTATCAGATTCTGAGACTGGGAAAGCGAGACTATTTGAATCTACTGTATTTATGTTAGTAAATTCAGGGGGACTAGGATAGTAGTTTCCTTCATCATCGGAATTGACGGGATGGAAATATCTATCCATTGTAGTTAAAAAAAAAAAAAATTGATATAGAAGAAATAAAAAATTAAAGAAGGAGAATTGGAATTTGGAAATATGAATTGAAATTTGTAAAAACTAATAAAAATTAAAATGAGAGTAAATTGACAACAAAGAGAATAATTGAGAGATTTCAATAGAGATTAGAGAAATGAGAGAATGAGAGAATTTGGGATGTGAGAAAATATGAGAGTTTATGGCCTATTTATAGAAGAAAAAAAAGACGAAAAAGACCCCTCCAACTGTTATAAAACGGTTATATTTCAAGGGTAAAAGGGGTATTTGTAAAAAAAAAATTAATTTTTTATTTTATTTTTTTCGGCCAACCCGCCGGGTTGCCATATAACAACCCGGCCCGCCATGGGGTTGCATGCGGGTTGAACCCTCTTTAATGCAGGCCGGGTTAGGGTTGACCTGCCTAACCCAGCCCATTTGTTCCACCTCTAATGAGGAGAGTAAAAAAGTCATTACAGAATTAAGTGATCAGATTCGACAACTTCATTGCACTAATCGAATAGATATTAATGTCTTTCTCGATTATCTAAATGAGCAACAAATCATGTATGTTTTAACTAAAGAATAAACCATTGCTGCAATTTAATAAGAAGAGAAAGGAAATAATCTTGAGGATGATAATATGGAAATACAAAAAGTTTCGTGCTATGGAGCTCTAAACATGCTTGAGAAACTAAAAATATTTTTGCTTCAACAAGAAGGTGTTCATGTTAGCGAGTTATTACGTACTCACAAATTAAAAGATGTGGTAACAACTCTAAAGCATAAATCATTATCTTATACAACTTTAGATAAATATTTTATTTCATCTTAAACTTTTAATGTAACATAAAATATATATTTTTGTAATATACAGATAACTATTATTATGTGGAGGCAACTTTCCTTAAGATGAGAATTAAAAAAATTATAACTTATTACAATGTGGAGTTTATTCTTATTTATAACTATCCCAAATTAGGATTAAAATCTTTTATGATTATATAGAGTTTATTCCTATATAAAGTATCACTATAAAGAGGTTTTACTTTATATATATATATATATATATAAAAGAATTAAGGGCATAATACACTTGTTTCTCCTAGTCCAATTTCTCTTGAAGTTTCTGGCTTCACCGGCCCTCAATTTCCGAAATAGCAGACACACTTATTGAGCAACTCTCTTGTTCACCCCTCAGTAAATTTGCCTCCATCAGTTTTTGTTGAGTGTTAAATGCTGTTTGTTTTGGTGTAGGAAGCGGCACCGTTTCATTGAAGAGCATAGAAATGACATCAGGCATAGTTGGCCTATCCACTGCATATTCTTGTACGCACAAAAGACCCACATGAATGCATCTCAGGACTTGGGACCTGACGCAGGAATCAGCCAGTGTTGGATCCATTAGCTCCAGGATTCTTCCTTCTCTCCATAGCTGCCAAGTCTGCAACAACCAGAACATGTATAGAAAGCTTAAACATGACAATATATATTGCAATGAATGTATATTGAGATATTGAGGTAGCTTACAAATCCCACTAAATTCATGGGGCGATCAAGATCATGATAAATGGCACTGTTTTTTCTGCCACTGATTATCTCCAACAGCAAGACTCCAAAACTGTATACATCTGACTTCTCTGAGAAATTGCCCTCCATCGCATACTCAGGGGACATGTAACCGCTGCATATCAAACATTAAAAACATTTTACTCCCAAAAGCTTCAATCAAGAAATGGAAAAGTTTTCGTAATTCTTCATTGGTGGATTAAGGTTAACTTACTATGTTCCGACAACTCTATTTGTATTTGCATCAGATTCATGTCGACCAAAAATTCTGGCCATGCCAAAATCAGAAATTTTGGGGTTCATATCATCATCAAGCAAAATGTTACTTGCTTTAAGATCTCTGTGGATAATTCTGAGTCTGGAATATTTATGCAAATAAAGTAGTCCTTGAGCAATTCCATCTATAATATTGTAACGTCTCTTCCAATCCAAGAGCTCCCTTTTGGTTGGTTCTGCAGAAATTACAGTCATTTAGTATTTTATTTTATTCCAAGTACAACTAAACAACAAAGCTAGAAATGATGTTGAAGTTTTGTGCGAACCAAAAAGGAAGAAGTCCAAGCTTTTGTTGGGCATGAATTCATAGATAAGCATCTTTTCGTCTCCTTTAACACAACAACCCAAAAGTCTAACGAGATTCATGTGTTGGAGTTTTGCTATGAGTAATAGTTCATTCTTGAACTCCACCAATCCTTGAACGGAACTCCTTGAGAGTCTCTTTACCGCTATTTCTAGCCCCTCTGGCAATTTTCCCTGTAATAATATTAATAACACAATAAACCCAGTTAAAATCATTAATCAGAACATGCCTGCCAATTATTCTTTTTTTTTTTTTTTTTGTTAATAGATGCATCAAGATTTACCTTATATACAGGACCAAAACCACCCTCTCCAAGTTTATTTTCAGTTGAAAAATCATTTGTTGCGGCCGTTATAGAAGCAAAAGTGAAGACTTTCAAATCATGATCTTTCTTCCCATCATTCCCTCTCTCTTTTGTATCATTAGCAATTAATTCCAATAATATAATTTCTTCACTCCTTTCCTTGTCCCCTGCATTTTTTTTCAGAAAAATGGTTAGAACCACTACTTCTCACATCGACAAATACATTGATATTATTTGTGAATGGATATTAGTACATACTTTGGAGTTTCTTCCTTCTCAAATAGCATAAGAAGCCCACGCTAAGTATTACCAAAACACCAGCAACTGCAATGATGAGCCACATCCACCATTTTCCTAACCAAAATGAGCATAGTTTTTATTAGAATTAGGACAAAATTAACCATGCAATGTGGGTGCAATTCTCCGGTTTGCAAAACTATGGGATGAGAAAGACACTAAATATTACCATTTTCTGATGAGTTGTTTAATGATGATGGCAATGCTGAACTTAGAACATAAGGCATTCTCCCATTAGTTTCAGCTGTTGTAAAGTTTACATCTGTATTCCAAAATTCACATCCAGTTCCATCTGTGTTAAGAGTATTATAACCAATACAAGAACATTCATTCCAGCATCTAGTCCAACAATCGCTTAAACCAATGCTCACATTGTCCTCAGACAAATAAGATCCTCCATCAAAAACACCTATTTGTGGCAAAAAGTCATCTTCTTTACTTCTGCAGGTAGGTTCTGACATCGCACAACCTAGATACCCATAGCATACACCGTCTATAAGAAGATTGCTAATTGCCCCTTTTTCATCCAAGACCAACCTCGAAGTACTCCCATCAAGAACAGAATAAGTGAAGTAGCTCTCATTCTGGTTAGAAACATAACTAAAATTGAATTTATCCTGCGACCCACGAACGTTCTCAAAGGTACGACTGTTCAAGTTCAAGCTCCCACTTGTCCAGTAGATATCTCCACGGCGTCTGGCAACGATTTGTCCAGTACCAGAACTGTTGTTCCACTCAAGGGAAAAAGTTCCAGGGGTAGCTATTTGTTGGCTTAACCAAGAAGTAAGCAACCAAGTTTGCCCAGTTCGGAAGTTAACCCCTAGTTTCATTCCAGGAAGTAACGTGTTAGTAGGAAAATCAAAGCTTTGCCACAAAACCTGCTTGGGAGATCCATCAGGATTCAATTCTGTCAATACAAAATTGCCAGAAGTCTCAAGTGTTGCTGTCGAGTTCTTAGCCGCTTGATTGGAATTCAACGCAATTGTGTTCCCTCCACTCTGCATAATCTTCAATACGCCGTCTGAGTCCATAGTGAGGTTGCCACTGCTTCCGTATACGGGACTGGTTCGTTGAGCAACCCATACAACATTATTGGGGTCATCTTTAAACCAGATTCCCAAGTAACGGTGAGCAGCATTTAAGGGGTTGAAAAAGCCTAAAACGAATCTGCCATCAGCTGAAGTAAGTTGGTCAGAGAATCCAAGCATTTCCCCAGTCTTAATGGTATCTCTAACAGTACTCTGTGCATGAACAGAATAAGGCGGTGCTATGCTGAAACATAGCAAAATGAAGAGGGAAACTGTAGTGTTCAGGCATAGTTTACTGGTAGCCATTGTTGGAAATTTGGAATGGCTTTAGTACGATTTCAGGTTGATTCAGTTGTTTGATGCCTTTATTATATGTTAAATGGTTTGACGTTATAATTGACTAACCAATTTCTGGTCAATTTTTGAAAAGTAGACGAAGAATTTTCAATATCAGTGTTTTAACGAGTTAAGTAAGTTTTTTGTTTTTAAATAATTAAAAAAGCTGCCGCCACATATGATGCGGCGTAATACATTGCATCCAGAAGCAGTGAATTTAGACTATATGATATTAAAATTTTATTTTTCATCTTCATTTGACTGAAACAAGTCACACATGGAAAATAATACAAAGCATATCAATTTATACAAACTGTGGATGATAAAATTGGAGGAGTTAAAATGAGAGATGAATTAATAAAAATTGATTCTATATACTAATAGTAAAGTCAAGCATGGGAAATTAATAGATTATGTCCCCAAAGACTTTGAAAAGTATTCTGGTTGGTTCTCGACGCGGAATTATAAATCTCACAAATTATTAGTATGATATGAAGTATGAACTCAAATTTTCAAAGGCATCAGTGCTAGTCAACTCCCTACCAGTTGGTTCTAAGGAATTTGACCTTAATTTCCAACGGCCTGTTGATGTTCAGAAATTGCGTAGAAGCTGATAATGTAAGTTTAAACATTGCAACAGGTGTATCATGTCGTATCGTAGTTTGCATCTTTCCCATTCAAGGCCAAGGAACCCTAGTCAGTGGTCAATGGCTGTCTCATCCATTCCTACTCCCTTTTACTGTTCCTTTTTTATAATTTCGATTTAGGTTTGTTCAAATATGTCGACACTAGACAATTAAGTTGATGGCAAATAGAAGTACGTCACCGTTTCATCACTAATAATATACTGACATAAAAGAGGAAAGTGTAACTAGAGAAGAAGAATTAATTTTCCTGGGAGGTGAAATTTTACTTTCTTTTTCCGAATATTAGAAGCATACACAATATGGTAGTTAATGAAAGATGCATAGTTTTCTGTATCCAGTTTTCTTCCTGGTTTTTGGAGCTAGTTAATAATACAGATGTCTCTTATCCACTGAGAAGTCCGAAGAAAGGATTTGTTATTGCAGATCTTATTAGGGACCCAGCTGAGTTTAATGCTGCCATGTCAACCTTGTCACGGGGAAGAAACAAGAAGTTGTCCCCTTCAATTCTCTCGAAGCCGCAAAGCTCAAGAAACTCAATTCCTCCCTCCAAACTTCCAACTCGTTGCTGTTCAAAATTGATAAGAAAAGAAAGCGTTAACGAGTCTTGTAGCAATAATAGAATAATTGTTTAGTTGTGCTTACACAAAGACAAAAACATATCGGACGTCTAAGATTGGCAGAAAACTTGAAAGATAGATATTGCTTATAAAAATAAATGGCTAACAAACTAACAATCATACTTGGAGAAAGCTCAAAGAGCAATAGTACACTTTCAACTCCCAGCAGCATTTGAATCGATGGATTCCTTAACCGCAGTACTTAAAAGAAAGATAAATGCAGATGAAGCAAATCTCAAGATATATACTGAATTCAACTATTATGGAAGGCTTTTGGTCCTATATAAAAGGATACCCTTTTTTTTCCTTTTAAGAAAAAAGAGCCAAAAGACAAGGGAAAATTAATATAGTCCATTTCGAAGAACATATCTGTTGTCTCAGTTAAATCTTGTGACAACAAACAAACCTACAAGTTTCCTTGAAATTGACAACTTCAATCTCTAAGGAGCTTAAAAGTAGTCGGTATAAACTTCAGTCAGTTACAGAAGCCAGGATAAAGTTTTATCAACAGAATCAACCAGTGGAATCTCAGCTTACCTGGAATAATGGGTTGCTTAATCGAATCTTCCTGAATTTTTCCTCATTAGGATTCTTTACAACGTTTCCGACATAAATCAACAGAGTTTGGAAGGCCATTTTGACTCTTGCATCCTCATCCTATTCCCAAAAACCGATAAATGAATGATAAAAATTGAGAAGAAGAATAAGGCTATTGATAGCAATATGTCAAATAAGAATCCAACATAACAAACAAAGCAGCATATGTAATTATATATGTTTGCAAGATATGGATAATGGAATTGCATAGAGCCCAAAGAATCAACTAAAAACCAGACATAGTTTACTTAAATATGAGGGGTGTTGAAATTAGTTGAGGCTTCTTACTTTTTCATCTGGACATTAAAAAAGACTCAGTTACTAAGTCATAACCATCTGTGTTTATGCTAAAATTTAATAAGATTCTTCGCAAAACTGGATGTGTCTTAGAAGTTCACCATCTATTTTATGAATATCAAAATAACCTCACAGTCACGAGAAAATTTTTATTGTCCTTGCAGGCCAAGCACATGCATCTAGTTCCATGCGGATGACTTCCCAACTCTTCAGCTTGCTTTAACTACCAATACAATATGATGGACAGATGCCATTTACCTTGTAATTGCGTCTGAGATGCCTTAAACATTCTCTCATATGGTCAAGCTTCGTCATATGCAAAACAGGCAAAGAGTTCTGCGATTTTAACGAGACCCAAGGAACACTTTGTCAGCTCATGCTTTGGGATGAGAGAATTCCATAAATGCAAAGATCTTTTTTTTTTTTTTTTTTTTTTCTAGCCAACCATACCATTTTATCTTGCACAACAGGCGTCGAGCGATCAACACCTGCACGGTTTTCTGATGGAAGTCCAAGCTTCTGCCTTCTTTCTAACTGTGAAGACATGCAAACAATTTTTAGAGCCACAACAATTTTGAGAGAGTCGAAACAGTTACTGCTTAAATCAAGATCAATATATATCAACAGTAAATGTTAAGTTCGATCTCGACGATAATGCACATTATTTGTTTCAAATGCATTTTTCGACAAGCATATTAACTTCGGATACTCTGTTCGTTACCTATTTAAAATTTTTATGTCACCATCCAGTGCTTCTCGACTGGAAAAACTCCATATATTTTTTTTCCTTAGAACCTTGTTTGTGACTTCCTTTCCTTCTTTTTTTTTTCCAATATCTTTTCCTGTTTTCAACTTTTGCAGGGTCTTTAGTTATTTAAAATCGCAATTTGCATTACTCTAAAATATTTTCAAACAGAAATAAACATTCTCAGCATAAAAATGGACTGATAGATCCAATAGCAAAGGTCTTTTAAAAATCTGAAACAGATAAAATTTTAAATTTTTATCTACTAAGAGTGAAATCTAATTTTCACGCAGTCATGAAAAGTATACATAAAAAGTGGTAAGAATTCGACAAACACCTTGTCCGCTTCTAGTTTTTGAAGAACTTTCTCCCTAGCTCTTTTCTCTTCCTCTTTCTCTGCTTTCTTTAGGGCTATGAAGCTGATAAAATTTTACCTCCAGAAGTCAAAAGAAAAATAATAATACATGCTAGATAGGAAGGCATAAAACTGTATGCAAGCAGAAATTATTAGAACAAGACATACCGTTTTCTTTCATTGTCCTCTGCAATTCGCTTTGCTTCAAATAACTCTTTACCTGCTCGAATCCTTTCCTGTGAAATATATAGTAGGTAGTAAGCAAACTAAAAACCCTTGATGCTAGGAAGCTCAAATTAGCAAAATAAATGACGGAATTTTCAGAACAGGTCAAACATTCTAAGCTGAACTGCAAAACAGACTACAAAATACCAAATTGATATTTACAAGCATGGTGATGAGTAGTTATTGAAAACACATCCAACTAAATTTAACAAATTATAACATACTGTAATAAGATTATAGAGGAGGGTAGCATTAGCCATCACAGAAATCCTAAAAGTAAAACAATCTTAGAAAAGAAAATCTCTCTACAAATAACATAGGTCCTAACTCCTTTAAGACTGCATTCTTCGGAAATGGAAAAGGCAAGAGAAATATTGAATTTGAACACTGCCAAGAAGCTAGTCATCTTATCCTACTCAATTCTTGTTCATGCATACTTGATAAAGACAGAGACAGAGAGAGAAAGAAACAGGGGAGCATTACAGCTTCAGGAATATCAGATAAAGGATTTATCACGTAACAAAAGGTATAAACATCTGCAAACTACCTTCTCCCTTTCTCTGTCCAATTTCTTTTCTTCTTCTTCTTTCTTCTGGCGAGCTCGATCCCTAAGAACAAGCAACATTATTGACAATGAAAAAAGAAAGAACGGGAAGTAGTATATGTCTCAAAATATCGAGAAAAATTTTGAGGGTAGAAAACCAGAGAGTAAGTGTGGAATTAGACATAATGTGAGAATAAAAAGCTGCAAAGGCATTTATTAAAAGAAGAAAAAAAAAACCTTAATTCCTGTGCTTTCATTTTGATTTCTTCTGTTGTACGGTCAGGTTCAAGAGACTCAATTTCTATGTTGACTGCTACCTGAATTGAATTGAACATATGAGACAAGTAGCATCCTGAAACAGTACAAGAAAGATTACATATTCTAAAAGTCTTATGCTCTATTAGTTGATATTAATTTTTGAACCTAATAACCTTTCTCAAACTTTTTATGCATTTCCTTTGACAGAAGACAAGATCCTCTATTAAGCCTTACAAAAAAGCAAACCTTCAAATTTGGAACCATGAACCAAAACAGACAAGCAGCATGATACAAACAAAGTGGGAGCTAAGAAAAAGGAAAACTATTAGCAGACAAGTTAGTAAGAAGCTGCTCTGTTTTTCTGAAGTTAGTCAGGAGCGTTTTGAATCTTTTGATGATTCCTCTATTTGCTGAGAAGAGCTTTGCAGCCGCCCATGGTTCTTAATTGTGGTTAAGATGCCTTATCAGTCTTTTACAAGATGTATTTATAGCTTTTTCAGTAATCTTTTACTTTGTTAGTTTGTTACTATAATCTAAATTAACCTAGTTGGGAGCTAGCTCTTCCATCCTAGAATATCACATATGAAGTACCACAGAATTAGACCTTATCTACGAAAAGGACAGTGCAGTGTAAGGAAGGAACGAGATTGTCAAGATGACAAAAAAAACATACCAAGGGCATTTCATCAATGTCTGCATCATTCTCGTGATTAATGATCCAATTTATAGCATCCTCAAGACTAGAATTTCCTGATAAAAGGAAAATAAAGAAATTCTATCTTTCAAATTAAATAGAAAGTAATCTAAGCCCAAAAGGCATGTGAAAGTTACACCTCTTAAAGTAAAACGCTTATAACATACTCATATAAGATCTGTCATACTCATAGAAACTCAAATCTTATTTAGGCTCATGAGCTTTGAAGCCCGTTCGGCTTCATATTAACATATTACTCTCATATTATATCTACATTGTGAAGACTCACCAGAATAGTGAAGGGCTCGTGCTGATCGGGCCAGTGAGAATCCAAACTCTTCAAGCTGCCGGAGAAGCTTCTGGTTTACTTCCAGAACAGGCGTTTCTACGTGAAAGTATAATAACGATAGTTAATGAAATATCACACATTTGTCTCCCTAAATCACAATGAGATTAAAACAGTGGCAAAAATCGAAAATGATTCTCGAATAGCCAATCAAACAAGTCTAAAATTGTTATTGCAAATTCACGCCAAATTAAACCAAAAATATTTGTTATCAACTGCCTCTGAATAAAACAGTTGGCTCGATCATTTTGACGAAACTTCTTACTAGCGGCAGGGAAAAACAACTTTTACAGAAAGACTCGTACCTTGTTCGGACGGCATTGGAAATGAGATGTGGAATGACTTCGATTGGTAACAAAAAGGAGATTGAAATGGCGTGGAGAGGCTTCCAAGCTTAGGGGATCGACAGAAACCTTACAGCGAAAGTAAAATTTATAATGCAAAGCCATTGAAGATTTATTCTTTACTGATTCTAAGTTGTAAGGAAAGAAAGCTGAAAGCCCCAGAACCACTCCCGATTCTTCTTTGTATTTATCCTTTGTGGCTGCCTTCTTCACAAGTAAAGAACTTCAGTCCCTGCGCGGTTTTCTTGTGACGTTTTGTCTTCGTTGTGGAGCCCTTTCGATGTGCAGCACTCGTGAACTTTCTAATTTTCATCCAAGGGTTTTGGTTTTGGGATATTTATTTTAAATCACATTTTTGAATTGAGGACATATTTAATGCAATCCAACGGCAACGAGGTATTTCATTGTAATATGTCAATTATTTACTATATTTTTATGAATAAAGTAGGTAGATAAACACCACAAATGCGACATGGCGAAATTCATTTTTGGGCAATCGAGACTCACGTGAGTTAACTAATTTCAAGCTAACATTTTATAAGAGAAAGTTAATAAGAAGTATTGGTTAGTATGATATTACTCTATTTTTATTTGAATTACAAAAATGAATGTAATAAAATAATTTGGTTAACTGTAGTAGAGAAACTAAGAAAGTTGTCACTTTATTTTATAAATTTGAATCCAACGTAATTGAAATTAGATTAAGTAAAACTTTAAGAGATTGGACTGATGATCAAGGAAGATTGCTCTTTTTCTTAAGTTTCTAGATTCAAACTTTAGGATTATATATCACAATAATATTATGGACTTCTGGTTTACCTGATCCTTAATACTGTAAAAATAGTCTTTATGTGACAGCTCTCAATTACGTAGGCGGAACCCATTGTTGAATAAACAAGACCCATTATAAATTGATTAATTACGAATTGTCATATCAAGATCGTAAGAAAAAGTTAATGAGATTAGATTGTAAGTGTAATATTATACAAATAAGAATTATTTTGACCAAATATGTTCCAAATGGAATCAATAAATATTTTTGTTCTGTTTTGGTTTATTGTTTTAATACTTTTTAGAATAATATTTAAAAAAAAAGTAAAATTAAGTTATTTTTATGATAAAAATAATTATTAATATTTTAAGAGTCGAATAAAATATGATTAAATTTTAAAAATATTGAAACAAATATATTTTTTTGATTTTTAAATTAAGATAATTGAATAGGGTAGAATAGTAATAGTCAGCCAGTCATCAAACAAAGTAAGGAACGGTGCTTCTCATCAGTCATCACGGCGCAGATATTAAAATAATAATTAATGATAATACACTAGAGAGTTGAGACGGTTCCAGAAACCGTTGGAACAATGAGCAGAAAGAACAATAAACAGCATGACAGATTCTAAAGAAGAGAGACTCAGAGAGAAAATTATAAGAATCTTTCAATGAGCAAACCCAGAACAGTAAAGCTGTTCAGCCCGTCACTATCGAGAGTCGAAACAGTTACTGCTTAAATCAAGATCAATATATATCAACAGTAAATGTTAAGTTCGATCTCGACGATAATGCACATTATTTGTTTCAAATGCATTTTTCGACAAGCATATTAACTTCGGATACTCTGTTCGTTACCTATTTAAAATTTTTATGTCACCATCCAGTGCTTCTCGACTGGAAAAACTCCATATATTTTTTTTCCTTAGAACCTTGTTTGTGACTTCCTTTCCTTCTTTTTTTTTTCCAATATCTTTTCCTGTTTTCAACTTTTGCAGGGTCTTTAGTTATTTAAAATCGCAATTTGCATTACTCTAAAATATTTTCAAACAGAAATAAACATTCTCAGCATAAAAATGGACTGATAGATCCAATAGCAAAGGTCTTTTAAAAATCTGAAACAGATAAAATTTTAAATTTTTATCTACTAAGAGTGAAATCTAATTTTCACGCAGTCATGAAAAGTATACATAAAAAGTGGTAAGAATTCGACAAACACCTTGTCCGCTTCTAGTTTTTGAAGAACTTTCTCCCTAGCTCTTTTCTCTTCCTCTTTCTCTGCTTTCTTTAGGGCTATGAAGCTGATAAAATTTTACCTCCAGAAGTCAAAAGAAAAATAATAATACATGCTAGATAGGAAGGCATAAAACTGTATGCAAGCAGAAATTATTAGAACAAGACATACCGTTTTCTTTCATTGTCCTCTGCAATTCGCTTTGCTTCAAATAACTCTTTACCTGCTCGAATCCTTTCCTGTGAAATATATAGTAGGTAGTAAGCAAACTAAAAACCCTTGATGCTAGGAAGCTCAAATTAGCAAAATAAATGACGGAATTTTCAGAACAGGTCAAACATTCTAAGCTGAACTGCAAAACAGACTACAAAATACCAAATTGATATTTACAAGCATGGTGATGAGCAGTTATTGAAAACACATCCAACTAAATTTAACAAATTATAACATACTGTAATAAGATTATAGATGAGGGTAGCATTAGCCATCACAGAAATCCTAAAAGTAAAACAATCTTAGAAAAGAAAATATCTCTACAAATAACATAGGTCCTAACTCCTTTAACACTGGATTCTTCCGAAATGGAAAAGGCAAGAGAAATATTGAATTTGAACACTGCCAAGAAGTTAGTCATCTTATCTTACTCAATTCTTGTTCATGCATACTTGTGAGAGAGAGAGAGAGAGAAACAGGGGAGCATTACAGCTTCAGGAATATCAGATAAAGGATTTATCATGTAACAAATGGTATAAACATCTGCAAACTACCTTCTCCTTTTCTCTGTCCAATTTCTTTTCTTCGTCTTCTTTCTTCTGGCGAGCTCGATCCCTAAGAACAAGCAACATTATTGACAATGAAAAAAGAAAGAACGGGAAGTAGTATATGTCTCAAAATATCGAGAAAAATATTTGAGGGTAGAAAACCAGAGAGTAAGTGTGGAATTAGACATACTGTGAGAATAAAAAGCTGCAAAGGCATTTATTCAAAGAAGAAGAAAAAAAACCTTAATTCCTGTGCTTTCATTTTGATTTCTTCTGTTGTAAGGTCAGGTTCAAGAGACTCAATTTCGATGTTGACTGCTACCTGAATTGAATTGAACATATGAGACAAGTAGCATCCTGAAACAGTACAAGAAAGATTACATATTCTAAAAGTCTTATGATCTATTAGTTGATATTAATTTTTGAACCTAATAACCTTTCTCAAACTTTTTATGCATTTCCTTTGACAGAAGACAAGATCCTCTATTAAGCCTTACAAAAAAGCAAACCTTCAAATTTGGAACCATGAACCAAAACAGACAAGCAGCATGATACAAACAAAGTGGGAGCTAAGAAAAAGGAAAACTATTAGCAGACAAGTTAGTAAGAAGCTGCTCTGTTTTTCTGAAGTTAGTCAGGAGCGTTTTGAATCTTTTGATGATTCCTCTATTTGCTGAGAAGAGCTTTGCAGCCGCCCATGGTTCTTAATTGTGGTTAAGATGCCTTATCAGTCTTTTACAAGATGTATTTATAGCTTTTTCAGTAATCTTTTACTTTGTTAGTTTGTTACTATAATCTAAATTAACCTAGTTGGGAGCTAGCTCTTCCATCCTAGAATATCACATATGAAGTACCACAGAATTAGACCTTATCTACGAAAAGGACAGTGCAGTGTAAGGAAGGAACGAGATTGTCAAGATGACAAAAAAAACATACCAAGGGCATTTCATCAATGTCTGCATCATTCTCGTGATTAATGATCCAATTTATAGCATCCTCAAGACTAGAATTTCCTGATAAAAGGAAAATAAAGAAATTCTATCTTTCAAATTAAATAGAAAGTAATCTAAGCCCAAAAGGCATGTGAAAGTTACACCTCTTAAAGTAAAACGCTTATAACATACTCATATAAGATCTGTCATACTCATAGAAACTCAAATCTTATTTAGGCTCATGAGCTTTGAAGCCCGTTCGGCTTCATATTAACATATTACTCTCATATTATATCTACATTGTGAAGACTCACCAGAATAGTGAAGGGCTCGTGCTGATCGGGCCAGTGAGAATCCAAACTCTTCAAGCTGCCGGAGAAGCTTCTGGTTTACTTCCAGAACAGGCGTTTCTACGTGAAAGTATAATAACGATAGTTAATGAAATATCACACATTTGTCTCCCTAAATCACAATGAGATTAAAACAGTGGCAAAAATCGAAAATGATTCTCGAATAGCCAATCAAACAAGTCTAAAATTGTTATTGCAAATTCACGCCAAATTAAACCAAAAATATTTGTTATCAACTGCCTCTGAATAAAACAGTTGGCTCGATCATTTTGACGAAACTTCTTACTAGCGGCAGGGAAAAACAACTTTTACAGAAAGACTCGTACCTTGTTCGGACGGCATTGGAAATGAGATGTGGAATGACTTCGATTGGTAACAAAAAGTAGATTGAAATGGCGTGGAGAGTCTTCCAAGCTCAGGGGATCGACAGAAACCTTACAGCGAAAGTAAAATTTATAATGCAAAGCCATTGAAGATTTATTCTTTACTGATTCTAAGTTGTAAAGAAAGAAAGCTGAAAGCCCCAGAACCACTCCCTATTCTCCTTTGTATTTATACTTTGGGGCTGCCTTGTTCACAAGTAAAGAACTTCAGTCCCAGCGCGCTTTTCTTGTGACGGTTTGTCTTCGTTGTGGAGCCCTTTCGATGTGCAGCACTCGTGAACTTTCTAATTTTCATCCAAGGGTTTTGGTTTTGGGATATTTATTTTAAATCACATTTTTGAATTGAGGACATATTTAACGCAATCCAACGACAACGAGGTATTTCATTGTAATATATCAATTATTTGTTATATTTTTAAGAATAAAGATAGTATGACAAACACTTCTCACTAACACTCTCTCACAAACGTAATATGATGAAATTTATTTTTAGACTGACAAAACCCATATGAGTTAACCAATTATAAATTGACATATCGCGTTTATGAGAGAGAGTTAATGAGAAGTATTTGTTAGTATGGTATTACTCTATTTTTATTTAAAATACAAAAATTAACATATTAAAATAATTTGGTTAACTGTAGTAGAGAAACTAAGAAAGTAGTCACTTTATTTTATGAATTTGAATTCAACGGAATTGAAATTAGATTGAGTAAAACCTAAGAGGTTAGATTGACGATAAAAAAAGTTTGCTCTTTTCCTTAAATTTTTAGGTTCAAACCTTAAGGTCATCTATCACAATAATATTATGGTCTTATGATTTACCTGGTCCTTAATATTGTAAGAATAGTCTTTATGTGGCAACTCTCAATTGCGTAGGTGAAGCCTATTGTTGAACAGATAAGACCCATTATAAATTGATTAATTACGAATTGTCATAATAAGATCGTGAGAAAAAGTTAATGAAATTAGATTGTAAGTATAGTATTACCCAAATAAGAATTATTTTGATCGCATATGTTCCAAATGGAACCAGTTAACATGAATGCTAATGTTTTTTAGAATTGTATTTTAAAAAAAAATGTAAAATTGAGTTACCTTTACGGGAAATATAATTATTAATATTTTGAGAATTGAATAAAGTAAAATTTAATTTTGAAAATATTATATTAAATGTATTTTTTAATATAAGATAAATGAATAGGATATATATAAACAAGTTTTATAAAGATTAATGTATAAACGGGTAAATACGATGAATTTGAATTTTTATATTAACTGTTATATTATTTTTATGACACATCAAATTTGACATAAATTTTTGTCAGATTTTTATACTTTTAATAATAGTGAAAACAAGGGCGGTCATCAAACAAAGTCAGGAACGTCGCTTCTCGTCAGTCATCACGGCGCGGATATTAAAATAATAAATAATGATAATACACTAGAGTTGAGAGGGTTCCGGAAACCGTTAGAACAATGAACAGAAAGAACAATAAACAGCCATGACAGATTCTAAAGAAGAGAGACTCAGAGAGAAAATTATAAGAATCTTTCAATGAGCAAACCCAGAACAGTAAAGCTGTTCAGCCCGTCACTATCGAAGCTAGTCCAGTTGGTGGCATGGGACGAGCAGAGACTGGACGTTGGGTCCATAGCCAGAGCTTTTGGTCTTCACCCATCAACGGTGAAGCTCAATGGTCACTTTATCAGCAGAGGGGTCGATCTTGTATCCACTTCTGTTACTTGGAGATCGCTGCTCAAGTTTTTCTCTGCTAAGGGATTGTCTACGGGAAAAGATGATCAGGACGCACTTATTGTGGATGGCAAGCTCTGTAAATTAGGAAGTAAAAGTAAGTTGTTTGATTTTTTTTTATTAGGGTTTAGTTTTTGTGTCTGCGAAAGGGTCGGAAAATTAAAGGAAATTCAACTCTGTTTGCTACTCTTCAGGATCACATGACTCTCAAGATGCTGTAGATAAGGAAATTAGCAGTAGTCATAAGCCACCGTCTGAAGAAATCAACTCGCTCAAGAATAAGAAGCTGAGAGACGGCAGCTCAGGTAACGATTTTTTTATTTTTTTTAACTAAAATCAAAATAATATTTCATGTTGTAGAATTGTCTCATGAACAAGCTGAACATAGAGGGGAAGATATATGTTTTTGTTGTCACAACTATTATGTGAGGAATAGCTGATTTTAGGTGTGAATTTGTAATTTTAGGAGGTGATCAGAATCATAATGCGTCCATACCCATAAGCAATGGAATTGGCTTCAAGAGAAAGCAATTGCTGGAAGATGTTGGTTTGCTGAAGAAGTTAAAAATAAATGAATCAAGTTCAGGTACATCACGTAAATGTCTACTGTGTGATTTCTATTTTAAAAATAGAAGCATAGTTTCATACGCCTGTCGGTTTGGTCTCTCTTTTATTTCATTGAAATCAATACATTTTGTATGCTATTTTCAGATTTTCCGGGAAAAGGAGCTAACTGCTCTAGCACCATTTCAAGTACACAACTAAAATGCAGTTACTTGAGTGAGAATGTGAAACGACCTAGGGAACACGAGGTGATCGTTGCCACTCCTTGCAAAAGAATACGATGAGACTCCTGTTTGCCCATTGACCTTAAAATTTGTAAAATCTTGTGATGTAATGGATGATAATATGTCTTTTATAGAGCCCGAAATGTAATGTGAGTGATTTGCTGAGAATTGGTATGCGGTTATTAGCTTCTTTATCAATTTTTTTTTCTTTTCCTATCATGTTAATCTGTAGTTTGTGATTAGTCACTCACACTCAAATGATCCTTCAGTGCATTGCCAAAACCCGAAAATCGTGGCAGCTAAACAGAAACTGCATGTACTAGTTTCCAGAATGAGTTAACAGAAGTGTCTGCGAACCCTCTGAAGCTGGAAAAACATAAACAAAGCAAACTGATGACTAATCACAAACTAGTTCAAAACGTAAACAATTAAAACAATGGAAAACAAGGTGTAAATGACTAAGAAAATAATACAAAATTGGGGTACAATCTGGAGACACTTTTTCGTGGTAGAAGAATATCATTTTCCTGATCTCTTAAGTTCAGTATTGTTTTCTTTTGCACATATGGTACATTGAAATACCTAATCGACTAACTAATTAAATCATCAGAAATAGTATTGCCAAGCAACAGCAATGCAAGCTACTACTAAGATTTTGAATATTACTTTATGACTAACAAAGGATGATGGAGCTGGAGATGATGGAAGTGGCTCCTGTGGTCTACGCCTAAGCTTCGCAATCAATTTGGATAGCAGCTGAGAAAGCCGACCAGTTTTCTTGCTAGCTGCAAGCAGAAAAATTTAGAAAGAAACATCCGGAGTTGGTTTAATGCTTTCTCACAGAGGATACTAGAACTTTAAGAGATTAGATACTTTATTTTTCTTTTCTTTTTTTTTATAAGAGTAATCTCTACCTTTAAGTAATCTTTCCTCCTCACCAGCACGCTTCCGAAGAATGTTGAGCAGAGATCCAAAATACAATGCAAATACTGTGCATGTGATTGTGAGGACATTGTAAGGCATGCTGAAATCAGGAGTTGTCAAAGGTACAAGTAACACTTCTGTGTAAGAAAGGACACGACTCCTTTCCTGCATTGCACATTGAGACAATTAAGTTCAAACTATACAAAAGATCCAAAATGGAGATATTAGAAGCTTACATAAAAATATCACACCTGAAATTTAGACAACAAAGGTGACTTTTTCAAAGAATCGTCCTGAGAAAAATGCATGCTTGCATCGGAGTTGGGAAAGCTTACAACTGCTGAAGGAATGTCAAACCCTTGATTGGCATCAGGAGGATATTCATCAATGTGCAAGAAACCCTGTTGAGATTTTTTTAAAGTATAAGATAAGAAAACCAAGTACTTAGAAACAAATTGAATCCATATAATCTCAGCCTAGTGACTGCCGATTACAAAAAATAACATTATAGCTCCTATTTTGTGAAGAGATTGAATATATGGAATACGATGGTTATTGTCCTAAACCAAAAGATGCCTTTGGTCAGGATCATAACAATAGGATCTTTAGCACTCTTTTAGAACTACTCAAGGAAAGTTGGCGTCACCAATTAGAGGAGCAAGAGGCTTTTTGACAAAGTTATGAAGAAAAGCAAGATATAGGAGTGCAGGACCTATCAATGTGATGATTTAATTTCTCATTGTCAATTATTCTATTGACACAGTATATTTATGTACAAATTAGCAGTTTTACACGTAATCTTAAAAAAGTAGGTTTTTTAGCTGCAGAACTATGTAAATGTGATTTACAATTCCTCACCAAATAAACAAATCGTAAAGCATACCTTATCAAACTCTATAGTTAAAGCAGCTGATTGTACACCACAGGGCAGCTTCAGAATCATCTCCATTACCCCAGGTGATAACTTATCTTTGGAAGGTGAAACATGTATCTTTTTCACAACATCTGCCACAGCCCTACGTTGTTGATTAACATACACTTGGAGAGTATGAAAGTACACCTTAATATACCAAGGCACAACTTGGAAAATATCAACTTGCAACTCACATCCCTCATTAATAGCATTAGTGCTCCCTGAGCCCTCACTTAAATCCGTGGATCTCAAGGAGATAGCAATAGCACCCCTTTCATTCCCACTGCCCATTAAAAACCTACTAGCATGCAGTGGTGCTTGTTGATTCAACCAAACTACAGGAATCTTCCATGTAAGACCCAGATCAAATGGTTGAGAATCAATGTACTTGTCAACTGAATATTCATACATAACAGATGTGCTCTTGCCATGCAAGTTATCCATTTCTTCATACACCTTGTCTGGATTAACAGATAGTTCGAAGCTATGTTCAGATGCCAAATTGTTGGCCCCATATTCAGCATTTTCCTTTTGCAGATCCTTCAATTCACAAACTAGACCCTTATCAAGTTGAAGGTATACATTACTAGACTTGGCAAGAATACATTTTCCACCGACTTTCCTCCCAAAAATTGAACTAATAGACCAGTTTGATTGCATATTAGTCTTACCAGCATAACTCTTACCCTTTTTCCAACCACTAGGCTGAAGAACTACTGTAAGTGTTTGTTCTAGTACAATGCCCGAGTCCACCCCATCAGAATCAGATTCAGTTGAGATCAAGTGCAACCTCTGAGAATGATAAAAGCCTCTGTAAACAGACGGTCTGTCCATTAATGCAGAAAGACCGGACTTGTCCCGACAAGGAAGCAGCTTCAACCAAGGAGTAAGGTTCTCAGTGCAAACAGCCTCACGAGGCAATGCACCATACCTCAGATTGCCAGAAGCTGGCCGAAAGGCCCACTCAGGAGCAGAATAAGCAGAAGAAGACTCAAGGAAGTTAACTGAAGCACAGAAAAGACCAGAAAGTGTGTGGGTTAAATTCTTCCAATAAGCATCAACCAGAGATTGAGGAACATCAAAAACAGCCCATAACTCAACTCCTGGGGGCTTTGCATTGTTGCTTGATATGGGGTCAAAACCACCCCACTGTTCATATCTCCAGCGTCCTTGAGTGAAAGATAATTCCATTTCTTTAATTCGAAGTTTTGTAACCTATAAAAGCAACAAATTTTCATGAACAAGATCCTCTTTTCATCCCACTAAAAATTGATGGATATAAAGCCTGATACAGGTTCTTAAAAAATTTCAGTTATTTGAAGCAATTGACCTTAAAAGGTTGTATGCATGAAAGGGAAAATTGTAGAAACACTCCACCAAACCCTAGAGCTGACTAAACATAATCCTGAATTTAAGATCAAAATTGGAAAATATCCAAGCAGATGGCGGATTCAAATCACAAATGAATAAACTTGTAGCTGTAGAGGAGCACAGTAGTTTAAAAGAAAGGGGAAAAAAAAAACCACTAATGTCCATTTAACTTTTACAATTAACGAGCCTACACTCACAGCAATCTACAGGATCCTAACCCAAATCCCATCACTCAATCTAACTAAACTGAAGTGGGGTTTTTTCAATTAGCCCTAAACCATACAATTATAAAATTTTATCTTTTCTTAAATACCCAATTAAAAAGAAAAATAGCGTACCAACTGAGAAATGGCTTTGGGAAATAGGTGATGGTGGCGGCCATGAGTGTTAGAAGGAGGAGCTCTGCTTTCAAAGTGAAAATGGGACAAAACTTTCCGATCGGGCAATGGCTTTAACAACAACTCTTCAGAAAATTCTTCTTCTTGAACAAAAACCGATCCAAAAACGAGTGTAGCATAAGATAGTTGAAATAGAAGTAGAAGTAGGAGATTTAGCAATAGATTCAATTTTAAAGTTTGCGCCATTTAATTTGGGTAAAGGAAGAGTGTATTCTTTTTCATGTGATGGGGCAATCAGAATCCGCCATGACCACGAGGAGGGCACCTTGTTGTAGACTCGTCTGCTTGCACAACTCAAACTACTGGGCTTGGTTTTTTATACCATTCAATCGGCCTTTCTGACTCCCTGTCGATAGAGTCAGCCCATTTCTTTTGTCTCCCTTCCAATCAAATAAATTAAAACAACCTTCATATTTCTAATAATTTTACATTACATTACCAATATTACATATATGCCCACAAAATGATTTTAAATTAACTCATATTTTTTATATATAATTTGCTACTACATTTATTTTCCTTTTAATGCTAATTTGGGGACATAAGATGAAGAATGTAGTGGGCATTGTTACATATAAAGGCACCCTCGGGGAGGTGTAGGATATCTACTCCTATCAGAACAATAATCATAATGCATATAATGCCTTCTCACATTCCACCAATAATTGGAAGAATAGCATTCGTGGGTGCGTATGCCCAGTCAATCTTTGTTCTGCCTCCATCTGTTGCCCAATCTGATCCATCCCACAAGCTTGCTTGTATTTGCATTGGATGTGATGGGTAGCCTATTCCAACATTTCTTCTGTTCCTGAACACTCTAACAGGAATGTCCTCCACATAAAATCTGATCATATTCATAAACCATTTAAACAAATATATACGTATAGAAATACATTGATAGATGGAGAGGGCTGAAGACTGAAGAGAGCTTACACAATCTGATCTGGGTTCCAAAGAATTTTGTAAGTGTGAAAATGAGCTGTTGGGTCAAACCAGAGGTGAATTTTTTGTTCTCTACCCGCTACACCATCTATAAAAACGTTTGTTTGTAAGCTAACCGGTTTGCCCTCTCTGTTGCCCAGGAATTCGAAGTCAAGTTCATCATTCCCCCCATTATTTTCTGACATTAGCTGCCATTGAATTACCACATTCAATCAATTTATATATACCTTTGTTATATGCATGCAGCTTACAATTTATCAACAATATTAAATGAAAAATGATAGAAGAGGAATGGACAAACTTAGGGCTGGTTAGAGACAGAAAATAATTTCAAATGAAACAGATGAAGAGTCAGCAGAATGGCTAATATACTATATATTATACATACATAGAAAGCTGTAACAACTCCTGCCGAATCTCTGCCTGGTATCTTCAGCCTCGTATGAAAGAATCCAGAACTATAGTATTGCTTCGATCCAAACCGACAACCTGGGTTCTAAAGAAACTTTAGACTCGACTCGACTCAACATTTATACTGATTTTACTCGCAAGGTAATGTATTAAAAGGAAAAAAAAGAATAACCAGAAAATTAAGCATGCCAAAATGCATATTAACATGTCATGAATATGAAGATAATGTATTAAAAGAAAGAGAGAATAACCAGAAGCGAGATCCAGAGAGAGTTGAATTTCTTTTCCTTGATTTATAGGCCAAACATGATCGTTTCCCCATTGAACGTAATCGTTGATCGAAGCTAATATCAGTATCAGTATAACTATCATCATCACCACCACTGCAACCAAACTGTGCAAACACTCCACCGAGCAGAAAAAAAAAAAATGAAACGAAACCTACTACTACCACCGAGAAATCCATTCGTGTTATATCCATTTGAACTATAATAAGCAAGCATTGCAATATTGTGTTAATGAAATAATTATACAGAGCATAGTACGAAATTTTGGAGGCAAGCAGCTTCCCATGAACCCATAAAAATGCAAAGTGAAAGGGTGTGAGTGGCAACTTTATAGCTTACATTGACGAATTAAATTTAAGAATTCATGTTTTTTTCAAATATTACCAACAAAAACAACTTTATATTTTAAATTATTTTACAATAAATGCCCACAATATGATTTTAAATTAACTTATATTAAGGAGGATTACCGAAACAAAGCTTTTTAAATTTTGATGATATTTTAATTGATACTTTTTGTTATGCTAATTTGAGGACATAAGCTGAAGAATATAGTGAGCATTATTACACATAAAAGCACTCTGGGGGAGGTGTAGGATATCTATCTCTATCAGTACAATAATCATAATACATATAATTCTTTCTCACTTTCTCATACTGCCTTTGTTGGGTAGAGTTTAGATTCCAATATTCATTTGTATTCCACCAATAATTGGAAGAATAACATTCTGGATCAATGTTTGAGGTTTGAGATGGGCAACCACTAATGTCAAATTCTTGGAAGTTAGCTTTGAATGGTGCGAATGCCCAGTTAATCTTCGTTCTGCCTCCGTCTGTTGCCCAATCTCCATTCCACAAGCTTGCTTGCATTTGCATTGGATGTGATGGGTACCCTATTCCAACATTTCTATTATTCTTCAACACTCTAATGGGAATGTCCTCCACATAAAATCTGATCATATACAATTTAGTCAAATAAAAACAAACATAGAGATTAATACATTGATTGATGGATCAGGGCTGAAGAGAGCTTACACAATCTGAAATGGGTTCCAAAGAATTTTATAAGTATGAAAATTAGATGTTGGGTCAAACCAGAGGTAAATTCTTTGTTCTCTACCTCCTACACCATCAACAAACACGTTTGTTTGTAAGGTAATTGGTTTCCCCTCTGTGTTGCCCAGGAATTCCAAGTCAAGTTCATCGTGCCCATAATTATCTTGTGAACTTAGCTGCCAAATTTAATTACCACGTACATTCAATCAATTTATAATGCTATAAGAGAGAGACAAATTTAAGGCTGAATCAACAAATGGTTAGAGGCAGAAAAGAATTTCAAACGTAAACTGATGAAGAATATACATACATAGAAAGCTGTTATAACTCCTGCAGAATCTTTGCCCGGTATCTTCAGCCTCGAATGAAAGAATCCTGAACCATAGTTTAGCTTCGATCCAAAACCAGAACCTGCATGCAACGGTTTTAAAGAAACTTTAGACCGAACTCAACTCTATATTTATAATGATTTTACTTGTTGCAATGTATTGTGATTCGCAACACCAGGATTTTTGGATTTTGCAGTTTAATCACTTACAGGGAAAACTCGATCGGTTGATTTCTCGAAATGGTAGAATTTCATTGGCACAAAACTAGCTACTTGATTAAGTCGACATATAATATAAAATTAAGCTCCATGGCCACGAAAATTTAACTGGTGGGTTTCATTTTAGCTCCTAAATTCTGTCTACTTATTACTGATGTGGGGAGGGTTGAGAACTGAGAATAATATAGTTCTGTAAAGTTAACACAACAATATATAAACTGAGTTCAAAAATTGTTAAATGAAAAAAAAAATAAAAAATAGATTTATATCATTTTATATATAGTGGATGATCCCTTCTATCATTAAATTAGTAGATGTCGAATCTATGATGAAGAAAAATGTAAACATTTGGAAATAATGGCACTTTAAGAAAATAATAAACTTAATGAATAGAAAATTCAGCATTGCCAAAATGTAAATTAATCCGGACACGAAGATGATGTATTGAAAAATAAAGAGCTTAACCAGAAGATCTATCCATAGAGAGCTGAATTTCTCTTCCTTCATTTAGGGATCGAACATGATCGTTTCCCCATGTAATGTAATAGTTTTGATCGAAACTAGAATCAGAATCACTATAATAACTATCACTGTAATTGCTCTGTGCAAATACCCCACCAAGAAGAACAAAAAATGAAAGCAAACCTACTACTACTAAGAAATCCATTCTAGTTACACCCATTTTTGAACCTTACCGAGCATTGCATTTCGTTACTGAAACAATTTCGGTGAATTTATAGAGAGTTTAGCACGAAATTTGAAGGCAAGCAGCTTCCCATGAACCCATAAAAAGGCAAATTGAAAAGGGTGTGAGTGATAACTAGCTTTGTTTTCTCCACACGCTATCTATTGATTTCTCCATGTTATCCCCATAACTAATCATATCTATCACCTCTCTGCTGTATTGTTATAACATAATAGTTGAATTTTGCATTAAAGATTTGTATTGTAGATTTAAAGTTTGTTATGGGAGCTCGGAAAAAGGAGGTTAACGGTTTAACTTAACGTGTAGGGAAATTATAGGGTCTGCAGGCATGATGGGCTTGACATCACAGCCATTGGGCTTTTAATGAAATCACACGACTCTTAGGATCAAAAGGGTGTGCGCTCGTCAGCCCATCATTGCTTCAATGGTCCATACCAACTAGTTTGTTTTTTTGTATTTTATAAATAAAAAATAATATGTTTATAACATAATCTTACAATCCTAATGTTGTAGCACAGTTGGTACTATCACGTCAACTGACGACTTTAACTAAATATAAATGGCTATTTCTTAGAGACAAACGACCGTTCATTTATAAGGAATGATTATTCTATTTATAAGGCATAATTATTCCTTCATAAAAAATAATCATTCATTGTAAGAGAATGGCTATTCATCCCTAAGAAACTATCTTTCATATTTAATCAAAATCATTTAGTGTCTTGAATATACTGAAAGCTGACGTGACAATTATTAACTCAACTGCTATATTGAGATTATAAAAAAAGATAGTGAGATTAGGTTGTGAAGGTGGTATTATATTTTATAAATTAAGAAATTCCAGATAAATGGTCAAAAGGCTCTATATTTCACACCAATTCGATGCCCAATCTCCTCCATTCCGTATGCTTCCCCAAATATATATTTTCTGAGACGGAGGATTTCCTCCCCCTAACTCACTGCAGCTCTTATATACTAGTATCAATTTATTATGGTACTTTGTCAATGCGTGTAATATGTGTTTGTTCACAATTGGTTGATTGTATCATACATTCACTCCAAAAAAGATTCTCGATTATATTTTACACCCAAAATTATGAATTGATACAAAGAAGAAATCCGTACAAAGAATAATATTGCTAGTATTTAATCTAAAGAATAATAATGGATCATTTTAAATAATATGGCATTCCTTAAAGGACCAACAGTCAACAGAACAATAGTCATGGTCTCCAGGTTTCTGCAGAAAAACTAGGATTGCATTCCTCAGTATACTATACAGAACAGGGAGGTGCAGCTGATTCATGTTACTTTTTACATTTATCAGTAACAGAAGTTTTTTCTAGACCTAGCTAAATGAATTCCTTCGTGTAACTTTGAGAGGAAAAATCAACCAAAATCTGGAAAACATCAACAGAATACAAGAGACCCCGTTGTGTTGAATTCCTAATTAAAGTGGCATTGCCTGCCTATGCTACTTTCTTTTGCAGTACTCACATTCTTGAACAGCAGCCTGCATGTAGAATATGCGTTAAAATACAGGATCTGTCATCAAAACAATATTTTTTTTTTTCAAATTGATTCTTATCACTTTCAAGAACATTGATGATTTTCAATTTTTCATCTTAATTTTAAGTGTGTATTCAAGAAAATGACCGAAACATTCATAAAAATACAAATTAAGAAATATTATTACCTTGAGATGAATGTCCATGTGAGGCACTTTGCAACAAGAAGGACAAGTATGAGGGGTTAATCGGAGAAGGTAACAAAACCGCCAATATATTGTTAAAAGGTGGTTGCACTCGCGACAACAAGTACAAGTACGAGGGGTTAATCGGAGAAGGTAACAGAACCACCAAAATATTGTTCCAAGGTGGTCACAGATGCTGCAAATGGTGAAAAATTAATATGGGCATTTTTTCGGTCTCTAAAGCAGAATGTGATTTCTCAAGTGATTGAGTTTACTATCTAAATTTATGCTAATTAGACTGCAGAAAAAATGCACAATAGCACAAATGACCAGAACTAAATGATTTTTGACCTAAATCAATGAAGCTAAAAATTAAAAGTAGAGCAGTACTACAAGTGCTGCTGATGAAAGATTTCAATTTCCAACATCAGCTACAATGGTATCATTCAAAAACTTCGTTCTCAAAAACAAAAGAAACCATGAAAAATGGAAATGCTCACCATATTAATATCTATTCTTGATGCATAGAAAGGATTTAAAAACAACAATTATCTGTACATACCTATGTCTATATTGGGTGCAGGATGTCCAGAATGCAACAAGACCATTAAAAATGTTCCGAAGAGACCTGAAGACCTATAAACAAGATAAAATCCAGTAATCAGTAGATGATAAAGAGAAATTAGTTTGACAAAAAAAAAACTTCATTCCAAGTAGAAATGAGACACTAACCTGGGAGAAGAGATCATTCCAGAGAGAACCCCAAAGTGAGATTTGGGATGAATTTGACTAAACTTTACTAAGAAGAGTAACATCATTCATGCTGCTAGCAATGTTCTTGAAGGCAATGACAAAAACTGTATAGATGCTACAGAAGAGAGAAACCAAATGATTTGCCAACACAAGACAGCCTCGTGCTGGAAAGAGAAATAATATCCACATCGAATGAAACAGTGGGCATATCATTGTTACTGGGCAGAAAAGAGCCAACATTAGCTTCCAATGGAGTAACAAGAAATTACATGTTCTATACAAGCTGAAAATAAAGTAATCCCTAAATATCTATTTTGTTACCCCTCTATGAAAACGTATCTGTAAATAGTTTTACTTTGATCTTAAAATAAAGTTCAGAGTGAAATTAATTATACCTAAACTTGCTAGACATGAATAGAGAAGCTCGAATGGTGAGAACAAAACCTCAACAAAATCACTGATCATGCTGAAGAAGGGGCCAATCCAAACCCAAGTGGTGATGTAGAATTGTTCTCCCATTTCAGCAAAAATGATCCACATTGGTTTTACAAATTCAATTATTTCCCCAAGTGGGTATGTCAAAGGTTTCATGAGCAGCGAAACGGACAATGTTACCATGCGCATCATTGTTAGAAACCACTTTATAGCCTTCTCAAGGTTATGAAGGAACAACATTGTTCCTAGATATCTAATTCTTGAAATCCCATCCCATTCTTCAATCCATTTAAAAAGTGGCCCACAGAGGTGGGATGCGGTTGCCTTGAGGAGAGGTATATTCTTATAGAGATCATAAAACCCGATAACAACAGTTATAAGGGAGATTAGTATATAAAAGGTTCTGAACAAAGGCGGCATCCAGGGACTATATACTTTACAGAATAGTGGATAGGATTGAAGAAAGATGACCCAAGAAGGTAGGCCTGCCTCAAGCAAAGCAAGAAGTTTTAAATCTGGAGTGATTATCTGCCGTAATTTAAATGGAAGATCAGTATCATTGAAAGTGAACAGTAGAAAGGTGTCCTTATATTCCATAGACTCAATGCTACTATTCATTTCCACGTTTTGTTCTCTATTCCCATGTGTTCCAGCCACCTGACAGTCCCTACTAAGTATATCATTTGTGTCAATTGGACATTCTCTAACATCAAAGAATACATCTTCTGAAAATAGCTCAGCTTGAGATGCATCATTAAACAACAATGCTTTTGCAGCAACAGTAATTTCGTGCGAACAAAGGGAAGGAACTTTGTTATGAAGAAGGACCAGATTGTTCTGCAGTGTTTGTGTTTCGGATTCAGTGCCTGTGAACCATGATGTTATGCAGGCCAATGCTTGGTCGATGCCATTGAATTCCCATTTCCTCAAAGCTTTTACTTCTAAGGCAAAGGATGTATCATCCTGTTGTCATAAATAAACCATTAAGTCAAGGTACCACCTACTAAACTGATATTTTCTTAACGCAGATAAGCAATTAAGATATATATGGTAGGCAATTCAAATGTCAACCAACTCATATAGTATAAATTAAAGATTTCCAAGTTTGTAATAGATGTTTTATGCAGGCTTTATTAATTGGGTACCACTGACATTGTTCCAAAATTCATAATGCAGAGACGGATGTGTTATGTGTATGTGATCCATATACAAGCTATCAAGGAGATGGCAGTGCTACAATAATGCTCAAGTACCTGGAGTTTGTTTACATAGTTGATACCGCGTACATCACTCCATGCAACTTCGAACACAATAAGGCCGTGTAAAGCTTCATACAAATTCATCGCAGAGAAAGGAGCTTTTTCTCTCAAACGGGCCATGTTCATGATGGGAAACCACTTGTACAAATTTTTACTTTCATGGCTGGGAGATCTGTAACCTAAATTTGGACTCTTATGCAGAGTTCTATGGTTTATAAAAGGTGACAATCTGTACTGTAGACAAGCAGAAAGTGAAATGACTCAAAATTTGCATGGTGTAAATTCACGAATCACAAAGAAAATGTGCAAATATTTGACCTTGGTGATCATTAACTCCCTTATGAAGGCTGATCTTGACTGTTTGTTCTTCCGCCATGACTGATTGTCCACCAGGATAAGAAACTTATGACTAACAGGTGCAAAATACAGGAATGCCTTAGACAGGTGAGATTTCACATACCTACAGCAGAAGATTAATGTGATCATCACAGCCACTATTTCCTAATAATTGATTCTAAGAGATAATGATTCATGTCATAGTATCAGCATGCATCAAATAAAAGATGAAAATGCATTAATTAAAATTCCCAGCTAATCATAAGAATTGAGAATTACCCAATTTGCAAACTTGTCAGAGGATGAAGATGAGGAAAAGAGTCCATTCTCAAAAATTGCTCAACAGAACCTCTAAATGCCTCCTACTCTCCAAAGAAATCCCAACTTATTATAACTGGAAAACTTGAAGAACGCCCCTTCCTCTGAACAAGCAGACAAGCTAGCTTGCAATGTAGCAATTAAAAATATAAATAAATAAAAAATAACTATAATCTGAAAAGAAATATATATAGTTGAGTTAGTGACCTTAGCGTATGATATAGGCAGTGAAAGCGAAGGCAAAAAAGGAGAATTTGAGGAGACAAAAGGAGACGATATAGGAGATTGAGCATCGTTTGTTGGTTTCATCTGAAAATACGGACGTCTACTCAAATATCCGGCAGTGCAATTCAAGATTAGGTGAATGCTCTCCGATTTATGAGGCCGCCAAATTTGGAATCAACTTATTAACGCTAAATACTAAAAATTGAACTCCTCTCCTCCCTAACAAACTTTTAAATTTAATGTTAATATATTTGGTGATCATTATTTATTCTTCTACATTCTAATCGATACCCTTTGCAATCTCATTCCTGCTATATTACAACATTAATCAGGTACGTAAAACTAATTTATCTTAAAATTAGTTCAAATGAAATGTGTATAACTAACTCCCTCTAGATAGTTGGGCGGTTCGCTTAGAATTCTTGAGTATATTACTCAAGTGGTCATGAGTTCGAATCCCTACAACTACTAATAAGGGGTAGTCACTAGAAGCTTACCTGACCATTAACTTTAGAGCCCCAGGGATTAGTTAAGGTGCGCACAAGTTAGCCCGGACATCCACAAATACCCCCCCCCAAAAAAAAAAGTGTATAACTACCTCTAAGTAGCTTGACGGTTCACTTGTGATTCTTAAGTGTATTACTCAAGAGGTCCCTACAACTACTAATAAGGGATAGCCATTGGAGGCTTACCTAGCCATTAAATCCAAGGCTCTGGGAGACTAGTTGAGGTTCTACCTGTTTCATTACCTCTCTTTTTGGACTTCTTTTAAAAGAAATTGAATCGTAATAACTATATAGTGATGATTTCTCTTATATATCCATAGGGATAAACGTATTTAGGATTATAAATTAGGAATTGATTTTCTTGATTTTAGTTCCACTTCATGATATTTCTAACCGGCCGCTGAAACAGTGCATGATTGGTCATATTTGGTCGACCGTGCGCCGATTTGGCTATTTTCGACTAGATCTCTAGCTATCAACAGCTAGAACTTCGATTGTAGATCTAGCCGGAAATGATCAAATCGGCACACGACTGATTGTGCACCATTCCGACCACTGTCGTAATCGCCTGTGGTAGTGGCAAGTAGCCGACAATGGCTTGGAGTGGGTGGGGGTGATTTGATTAAAAATTAAACTGGTATGTAGCTGGGGTGTTTTAGCAATCTCTTAAACGTAGGGGGTTAAAAGAATTATTAAAAAAATAAAAAATTATTATATTAATATTTAAAAATGAGGGTAATTTAGTAAATTACATAACATACCCACTAATTTATTCCTCCCAACTAAACATATTAATATAATATAACCACAAATTTATTAAAACCAACCAAACACATTTCCTCAAACATTCATAATATCTTTCCATTAATATAACATTCTCAGCAATACAATATTTCCTTAATCAAATACACGCCAGCATATATCTCAAGGATACACATAATCATAATCAACTAAAACATAAAAATAATAATGAATTGAAGGGTATGATTAATTTTAAAATAAATTTAAAAAAAAAATTAAAATTTTGATTTACATATAAAATGGTGAAACTCCACAAATCATCCGTAAGGTTTGCTTTAATTTCAAGCCGAGAAGAGGCCGTGGCTTTTAAGTTTTAATCACAAACCATATAGCTTTATTTTATTATTATTATTATTTTATTTTATTTTTTTGGACTTTTTGTTTGATATTTTACGAGGGTGTTAGAATTGAGAATTGATTGGGGAAGAGAAGTAATTAGAAAAAGCCGAAGTATGTTCAAGAGATATGTTTTATACCATGTCAAAATTAGAAGAGTAAGAGAGACAATTAAAAAGAGTCGAAGTATACTTGAGAAATATCTATGAAAAGGTAAAAGAGACAACTAAAATGGTTGAAGTATGCTCGAGAGATATGTGACAAAAATTTAATCTAATTATATTGAATTATGTTAAGTTGTTGTGAATTGTATGTCAATATAAATCTATTTATACAAAAATGTGATAAATATTACAATAATGAAACAATCTCGACAATAAATTAAATGAAATAATATCTAAATTACAATAAGAATGAGATTCCATATTCGTATGTCACTAAAGGAAAAAAAAAAATTGAAATTAAGACAAACTTAAGGGTGGTTTGAGAAAATCGCTATTAATATTTGTATAAAAATATCAAACTCCGAACGTTGATGACTTCAAACACAAGTTATAACGGATATTCAACTGAAGTGAGATACAAATGTATAATGATATTTGTATGAAAATATCAAATGTATGATGAAGATAAAGATAAGATCAGATGATTATTATTTAGTATTTTAATTTATTCGATAAAAGAAAATTCCAGGTGGGCTTATATAATTTAAACCCGGTCCATGAAGGCCCATTTCGAGGTGACCGTATCCGCAGTGAGTGATAAGGAAGAATCCAAAACAAATGAGTCAACTATTAATCCTCAACAACAAAGTACGCATCGTACTCATCGTAAAGTAATAAAAGTAGAAAACGACTGCATACCCCAATCACACCACCAAATATCAATTCATCCACATTTCCACGCATCACCGCACCAGCCGTCAAATTCAATTTCAACCGTCAATCACGATTCGCAAATCTCCAACCTCAAATCAAATGATTCTTGCTCTTTTTCGGAATCCAAACTTTTTTTATAAAATCCAGTTTATTCACGCGCTTAATTCCGATAATCTCTCCCCACACTCTTGCGCGTAAGAGTAGCTACAAACACGCTCTCTCAAACAGACATCTCCATAAACAAGGGCACAGATGTAATTTTAAAACCAGATATTTTCAACGAAGAGGCCCTGGATTTTGCGAATTTTGTAACGACGCGAGTGTGGATGCTATTAGATAAATAGCGTGCAGAAAACGCGAGTTCGTCTTCAAACTCCCTCTGGCGGTGAATGATGGCTTATTTGTAGTGGCAGAAGAGAAGAGAAGAGAAAACCCAAACCCTAACCAGAGAGTCAAAGAGAGAGAAATCCTAGAAATCTGTGAAAATGTCAGCGACTGGAGGTGGTGGTGGTGGTGGTCTGGAGGAAGACAAGAAGCCCATGGATCAGTCGGCACACATTAACCTTAAAGTCAAGGGCCAGGTATGATAAATTATATGTACATTTATAATGTATTAAGGTTTATGATCCTTTTCTTCGATTCTGAATTTAGTCGTTTGATGATTTTGGTTTTACTGTATTCTTACATAATGGTTCTGTTTCGGTTTTTACGTGATTAAATTCGAAGGGACAGGACTATTAAAATTTTGTGATGCTTGTTTAAGATTAGTAGTTTATTTATTAATGGGATATGCGGTTGTGACTTGCGTTTTCTTTAGCCCTGTTTGGTAGAAGTGGATTCGAATTCCGACTTTTTGCTACATGAGTTGTTAGTATGTGAATAATCTATGTGGACAACAATTCTGCTATTCATGAAATTATTTTTTGAATTAGTTGATTGATTGGTTACAATACCTGTTGTGGGGATGGTGAGCCAATAATTTGTTGCGGTGATGAGATCAGATAGATAAGTAATTTAAATTTCTGAGGAGAAGGTTTGCGACTATTTAAATGGAAACATGAAAATTTGTTGTGGTGATGAGATCAAATAGACAAGTAATTTAACTCTCTGAGGAGAAAGTTTGCGAATATTTAAATGGAAACATAAATAAGTAGTGCACTTTTGTTTTTCAGATTATTGTTGGTTAGCTAAATTTTACATGAGCAAGTGATTTGACTTAATGATTTTATGATGATAAACTGTGATGTATGTCTTCATGCTTTCGTCAAAATCCAATTTTTTTTTTTTTTTTTAAAAAAAAAACTAGCTCAGAGCAAAGGTTTTCACAGCGTTAGTTCTTTTTTTTTTTTTTTTTTTTTTTTTTTTTTTTTTTTTTTTTTTGGAGGTGTGTTGCTTTGCTAATGTCTGTATTTGTGTATTGTTGCGGATGGGAATGAAGTGTTTTTTCAGAATTAAACGAAGCACCCAACTCCGCAAACTCATGACTGCTTACTGTGATCGACAGTCAGTAGAGTTAAACTCAATTGCTTTCTTGTTTGATGGGCGCAGGCTCCGCGGAGAGCAGACGCCAGATGAGGTATTTTCTTGAATGTGTGGTTTATTGGTTATTAATGTTAGATACTTTTGAATAAAGCATTGATGGCATACTCATTAGAGAGGCCTCAACTATAATTAATCTTGATTGTTTGTATGAAATTCTTTCAAACCTATTTCATTCCTGCTAAGTTTATACCTGTGGAGCCTCGTGAGCAACATCTTAATCAATATGATGTATATGAGTCATCATTGATTTTGAAGTATTTGATTACACTAGTTTGTCCATAGAATATATGTTGGCAGTGGTACTTACTGCTATTTGGTACTTTCTTTGGGAAATAGCTTGAGATGGAGGATGGAGACGAAATTGATGCAATGCTCCATCAGACTGGAGGCGGACGTTAAATGCAAGTTGGACTAAATGGAGAGCCTCGGTAGACTTGACGTCAAGTTTCATTTGCTACGTCTATGGATATATCTTATGTAAATGACATGGATTTTCTAATGAGCTTGAAAGAAAGTTGGTCCGGGTTTTTTTATTAATGATGTCCGTAGTAGCCTACTAGGAATCGTATTATATCATATCATATCCATCGATTATGATGGTTTTGTTTGCTACTATATAGGAGAATGATGTTCTTCAGTATTCACACTGCGGAATTTCGGTTTTGTAATTTCTTTTAGTTATGTGTGGTACGTTTCTGAATATATATGCATGGGTATATGGTTTTATTCTTGCAAGAGTAAGATGGTCTATAGGCGGAGTATTAAATATTTCTTATGAAATATAATACAATATAGTGTATCAATATCAATTTGTCTATGGGTATGTGGTTTTTATTATTAATTTATGGTTGTCTTTTACCATTTATACTGCGCCTGGTAGTTTCATCGTATACGATGTAGTGCGCCGATGAGCGGATTGATAGGAATTTCCAGACGGGGTATTGAACGAGTTTTTATCGATATGTATGAGAAAGTATATTTTGAATTTTTTGATACGGTGATATATATTTTACATATGATATGTATCAGGTTGTATTTTTATAAATATTGATAAAATTTTATTAATTTAGGTTGAAGGCCTAAAAAAATTCAGGTCGAATTTGAGTACTCTAACTCGGATCACTAAAGCCAACCTAAATTGACTTATTTTACATGGGGAAAATGAAGAGGATTAATGAAGAGGGTGATGTGTTGTTCATATAATAATGATAACTTATCTGATTAGTTCATTATTAGGTAGTTTTCATTATTAGGTAGTTTTTAGAATAATATTTTAAAAAAAATTAAATTTTTTAGAATAATATTTTAAAAAAAGTTAAATTTGATGGGTATTATAATGTAAAATTTAAAAAATTAATAAAAATATTCTTTATGTTTATTTATTTACTAAATACTTCTACAATAAAATATTTAAAGTTAACAAAAATATTTTTAATCTATTTATTAAATACAGACAGTCGGTTATTATCGTTAAAGAGTGGCTAGAGTTATTGTATTGGTATGTGACTAGTTGGATCTTATTGATCATATGTTGATATGATATTTTTTGATCAGATCCACCGTGGATCTGACCGAAAAAGGTTAGATTTATGGTTAGATCTAGTCATTGACGGTCAGATTTAGTCGCATTTGGTCATTAATGATGACCAAAGATACGGTCGTCGTTGATATCATATCTTGGCTGTTGTTGACAACTGTCTACGGCCAAAGATCTGATCGAAAAAGACTAGATCGGCGCACTACCAGCCAGATTCAGTCGATAGTGCGTCATTACACCAGATTTCGGTCAGCTTTTGGCAGTGGTGGTCGGAATCTAGTAAATTTGGGTTGTTGGGGTGTTTTTGTTAATTTTTAATTATTTTTTTTGTTGTTTAGTTAAATTAACAATTTTAGGGGTTTAAAAGAAATTGAATAATTTAGAATTATATTTTGAAAATAGGTGAACCAAACACAAATTTTGTGTCAACCTTATTAGGAAAACTAAAATAGTTTTTTCAATATATGTACCAAATGGAGTCATAGATATTGATATTGATATTGATCTTGAAAATAGATTTTTAATTTTGTAATTTATTTTGATTATGTAATACCATAATTTAAAGTTAATAATATTATAAAATTTGTTAATTAATCTTGAGGATGATATTAATTTTTAGAAAATTTTTATTATTATTTTTTTTTTTAAAATGTATCCTACAATATACGATATATTATTCGAAAAATTAAGATTTTGATATACCATATGGTACTTGATTTGACAACCATGCTATTGAATTCTAATTGTTGATTGATGATATTAAATATTTGTAGTGTGTAAGGCTTAGTATTTTTCTCTTAAATGCACTTTCTCTCCTTCTGTACCAACCGTCGTAATTCACTAATTAGAAACTGCAACTTAACAAAAGATTGGTACATTCGCATCCTCTGGTTTTCTTTTTCTTTTTTTTTTAATAATAATTAAAAAAAAAAAACTTGTTGACATATAAAGCACAAAACGGTAACGTTCCTGCATAAATATCACTAATTGAAACACTATCGTTTCACTGCAAGTAAAAACAAATCTCAACCACTAAATTAAAGCAGATCCAGTGGCCAGGATTAACTCAAGAGGTCAGACTATATAACGTGAGAGTCTTTACACAAAATGGTATTTTTTTTTTTTTTGCTGCTCCTTCTCTTGCGCGACAGATTTGATTTTTGCCTTGTTTTGAGAGTTTGTTTCAATCTTGTTTTGAGTTGCAAATCTGTGTAATCCTGGGTAAGGGCAGGTTGTTCCTTCAGGTTTAGAGATACTGGGTCAAGTCATCTCTAGGGATTTTTTAGGTTTGTGTGAGTGGGTTTCTTGATTGAGATTTGGGTAAATCGGTGAGAGCCTTCTTTAATCTATAATAACACTTTATTCCTAGTGTAGTGAGCCCCAAAATTCCTGGAGCTCAACATGGATGTAATCTTTCCTTTGTAGAAAGGTGAACTACTGTATATTTGGTGTTCTTGAGTTGATTGCATTTTGGATTTGGTATTGTGTGTGTACTTTGGGTTAATTGTGCTTGTGATTAGGCAGATAATTGATAGTGAATTTACATAACAATGGTATCAGAGCGAGGTTAGTGTTGTCAATCGTACGGTTTCTTGATTTTTTTGAAATCTAGGGTTTGGTCATAAATTGGGGATTTCTTGATTAAAGGCTTGGGAGAGTCTAGGATTATGAGAAGGAGAGGCAAATCTTGGTTTCTTTCTTGGGTCCTGTTTAGTAATCACCAAACACAAAAACAAACACATTCAGTCATGAGTACAACTAGGGTTGAGATCACCCATTACAATTGAAAAATTGACTTTGGAAGTTGGAAGAAGAAGATGAAAGCTTTGTTGTCCCACAACAAAGTGTCTATCGCGCTGAAGAAGAAGGCCGAAATGGATGAAAACGCCTACAACTTAATCATCATGAATCTTGCTGACAGTGTGCTGCGGAAGGTCAATGGGTTTGAACCCCAATCGGCCTCTAGGGGAAGCTTGAATCTCTCTATTCATTACAATCAACTCCTAATCTAGCATACTTAAAAGGTGCCCTATTTTCGTATAAAATGGATAGTAATAGTACTATTGAGGAGAACCTGGATGAGTTCTTGAAAATGACCCTGGTTCTCAAGGGTACTGATCAAGAACTCGGTGATTCCAGCCTTGCCATGATTCTTTTAAATTCTTTGAATGATGAATATCAGGTAGTACAGAATGCTTTGTAGTACACTGGCACTGTACCTAGTGTAGATTTAATTGTTGCTGGGTTAAAAGCTAGGGAGTTAGAACTTAGGGTTCAGAAAAGGAGTGGTAATAGCCTATTTGTCAAGGGTATGGGCGAAATTAGTCAAGTGGGTAGTAATCCTCATCACAGCAGTGGCTCTAGGAACAAAAAGAATGGTAAAAACACTAATAAATCCAAAGGGGAAACCCGAAAATGTTTCTATTGTAATAAGACTGGTCATCTAAAGATAAACTGTTTTGAGTGGATTAGGAAACAGAAACAGTCCAACACTGAGAGCAATTTAGCCACCATCAAATATAGCATTGAAGAATCAGATGTCCTAACAGTGTCTAAGGCTGATACCATAGGGGAATAGGTGTTAGATTCTGGTTGCTCATTCCACATGAGTCCAAACAAAAATTAGTTCCAAGATTTTGAACCAAATGATTGTGAGACTGTGTTTATGGGAAACAACAATGCTTGCAAGGTTCAGGGAGTTGGTAGCATATCCTTGAGGATGAATAATGGAAAACTAGTCAAACTTACTAAGGTTAGGTATATTCTAGATCTTAGGAGAAACTTAATTTCATTAGGAACCTTGGATGAATCTGGGTGTTGTTATAAGGCAGAAAATGGTTGCTTAAATGTCTATAAGGGTAACAGCATAATACTTAGTGGGGTAAAAAAGAATGGGCTGTACATCTTGAGTGGGGGTTACTGTTCTGATTGTTTGCTTATTACAAATCTGACAGACACTGAAAAATGGCATTAAGGTTAAGGCATATGAGCCAAAAAGGCCTAGATACTCTAAGTAAACAAGGGTTGTTTGGTAAGAATGTCATTAGTGATCTAAAGTTTTGTGAAACATATGTAATGAGGAAGCAACATAGGCTAAGTTTTCATAAGGGGACACACCAGGCCACTAACTGTTTAGAATACTTACATGCTGATCTTTGGGGGCCAGAAAAGATAAAATCTCATGGGGGCAGCAGCTATTTCCTGTCGATAGTGGATGACTACAGTAGGAAAGTGTGAGTTTTTTTGCTTAGATCTAAAAATGAGGCCTTAGATAGGTTCAAGAATTGGAAAACACTTGTAGAAAACCAGGTGGACCGAAAGGTTAAAGCCCTTAGGACAGATAATGGGCTAGAGTTCTGCAATTCAGAGTTTGATAGATACTGTAGTGATTAGGGTATTTTGAGACAGGTATTTTGAGACACAGAACAGTTAGGGGAACTCCTCAACAAAATGGAGTAGCTGAGAGAATGAATAGGAGGTTGTTAGAAAATGTGAGATGCTTACTGTTCACATTAGGATTACCTAAGACCTTTTGGGGAGAAGCCCTCAACACTGCATCATATTTAGTCAACAGAAGCCCCTATAGTGTAATATGTTTCACTTGTCTTAAGGAGAGATAGTCCAAAAGAAAGCCAAACCTAAACCACCTTATGGTCTTTGAGTGTGTAGCCTATGCACACACAAATGAAGGGAAGCCTGAACCTAGGTCACTAAAGTATGTCTTCCTCGGTTATCAAGAAAGGATAAAGGGGTTTAGATTATGGGAAAGAACATCACTAGGGGTTAAAGTAATAATCAGTAGGGATGTTATTTTTAATGAAAATATTTTTCCTTGCAAAACTACTAACCCTGATGCAAGTACCTCTAGCATTGGTCCTATGAGTCAAGAACCAAATGTAAGGACACAAATTGAGGTGGAGCCCTCAAGTATTCAACATGATGAAGAAAATCCATATCAAGAAACTGAAATGGCAGCCTTGGATCATGACCAGGAGGGTGAACCAGCTGAGAACTTAGAACCAACCTAAGAAGAACCCCTGGCACAGTATCAACTAACCAGAGACAGGGCCCGTAGAGAGGTCAGACCTCCAGCAAGATATTCCTATGCTGATCTGATCTTCACTGCACTAGTGGCTAGAGCTGAAGTACTAAGATCAGAACCTGATAGCTATGAGGAAGTAATCAGATCAAAGGACAAGGACAAATGGCAGGCTGCAATGGAGGAAGAAATGCAGTCTCTGAAGGTCAACAGAACCTAGTCCTTAGTCCCAACTCCAAAGGATCAGAAACCAGTTGAATATCGATGGCTATTAAAGGTAAAAGAAGGTATAAACTCTTCTGACCCTCCTAGGTATAAGGCTAGACTTGTAGCTAAAGGTTACACACAAAGAGAAGACATTGATTTTAATGAAATTTTCTCACCAATAGTTAAGTATAAAACAATTAGGATTATGTTGGCTGTAGTTGCACATTATGACCTAGAACTAGAGCAACTAGACATTAAGACTGCTTTTCTACATGGAAACGTAAAAGAGAAAATATATATGAGACAACCTGCTGGATTTGTTGATAAAAGACTTCCAAATTATGTGTGTTTGCTTCATAAGTCATTGTATGGACTAAAACAGTCCCTAGGCAGTGGTACAAGAGGTTTGATGCATTTATTTTAAGCATTGGGTTTAATATGAGTAAATATGATAGTTGCTTTTATTTTGCTTTTGATAATGATATGCCTTTGTATTTACTCTTATATGTGGATGACATGCTCTTGATTAGCAAATCTAAATCTAGAACAGATGGACTAAAGGGTAAACTTAAGGCTGAGTTTGACATGAAGGACTTATGATGTGCTAAAAGGATATTAGGAATGGTAATACATAGGAACTGAAACTGTCATGAATTAAGATTAACTCAAAGCTCCTACTTGGTAAAACTAGTTTCTAAGTTTAATATGGTTGAATCAAAGGTTGTATCTATGCCTTTAGCAAGTCATTTTACCCTTAGTAAACACCAATGTCCCAAAACAGATTCTGAGTTAATAAAAATGGAACAAGTCCCTTATGCAAATGTAATAGGGTCAATTATGTATGCCATGATTAGCACCAGACCTAACATTTCCTTTGCTATGTCATTGCTGAGTCATTTTATGTCAAATCTTGGGTCAGAACACTGGTCAGATCTTAAATGGGTTCTGAGGTATATTAATGGCACTTCTCATATTGGTTTGGAATATTGTAAAAGATATAATTCACTTGATCTTGTGGGCTTTGTAGATTCTGATTTTGCAGGGGATAAAAAGCTAAAGACACAAGAAAATCAACCACTGCTTATGTCTTCACGTTGGGAGGAAACTGTATGAGCTGGAAATCCCAGCTCCAGCCTATTGTGGCACTCTTCTCAACTGAGGCAGAGTATGTGGCTGTTGCTGATGTATTCAAGGAAGCATTGTGGCTCCAAGGAATACTAACTGAAGTGAATTTGATTGATGGAGTAGCCACAATTTATTCAGACAGCCAAATCGTCATTCACCTGAGCAAGAATCTTGTCTATTATGACAAGACTAAACATGTGGATGTGAGATTTCACTTCGTCAAAGATCTAGTTGCCCAAGGATTGACCATCTTGAAGAAAGTCACAACTGAAGATAATCCTGCTAATATGGGTACCAAGATCGTCACTGCTACCAAGTTCAAGCACTGCTTGAACCTACTATCTATCAAGTAACAGGTAGCAACCGAGCTGTGAAGGGAGTTTAGGATGGTGAGCTGCACTTAGGAATTCTGGGTTTTAAAAGTTTTGAGCTTCAAGGTGGAGAATTGTTGATATATAAAGCACAAAACGGTAACGTTTCTGCACAAATATCACTAATTGAAACACCGTCGTTTCACTACAAGTAAAAACAAATCTCAGCCACTGAATTAAAGCAGATCTAACGGCCAGGATTAACTCAAGAGGTCAGAGTATATAACGTGAGAGTCTTTACACATAACGATATTTTTTTTCTGCTGCTCCTCTTCTTGTGCGTCAGATCTGATTTTTGCCCTTGTTTTGAGAGTTTGTTTCAATTTTGTTTTGAGTTGCAAATCTGTGTAATCCTGGGTGAAGGCAGGTTGTTCCTTCAGGTTTAGAGAAACTGGGTCAGGTCATCTCTAGGGATTTTTCAGGTTTGTGTGAGTGGTTTTCTTGATTGAGATTTGGGTAAATCGGTGATTGCCTTCTGTAATCTGTAATAACACTTTATTCCTAGTGCAGTGAGCCCCAAAATTCCTGGAGCTCAACGTGGATGTAATCTTTCATTTGTGGAAAGGTGAACCACGGTATATTTGGTGTTCTTGAGTTGACTGCGTTTTGGATTTGGTATTGTGTTGTGCTTTGGGTTAATTTTGTTTGTGATTAGGCAGATAATTGATAGTGAATTTACATAACAAAACATTTAATAGAAAAGTGGCTTAGATTATATACGTAGGCAGAAGAATAGTGGCAATTGCACTTCAAGAGTAACATATTCTTAACAGCAGCTTGAAATCCTTGGCATATCCTTGGCCACTGCCTAACAATTTCGACTTCAATTAAGCTGGAGAGAATAACTTCAAGCTGGCAATTGAAGCCTTTTGTTGCTCTTCCAGCTGCAACACAGTTTGATAAGGAGGGAGTCAGACAACAGAAATCATCAGACAAAAAACAAAATATTTGAGAACACAGGATGTTCACCTGTCCAAATAATAATAGAAGAAGTCAGCATAAAGCAACGTTTGAACTATTCCTGAAATCCACGCTGAAAAAAGCAACAAAAGAAGAAATAGAATAGCTTAAAGAAGGATGACAATGGAAATTTCATGTAGCTGATAAAAACACACTAGATGAACAGGCAAACAGAACTAGGAATTACATCTCTAAAGAGATGAGATTTGAAGAACTTTCTTCAACACGGCACACTTGGTCTCCAAGTTCAACCGTTAAGGGTGTTTTCTCTGCGCAAAAGAATTAGCAATCAAGAATTTTTTACAAGAATTTTGTTGTGAAATGTATGTTACACTGGCCATATACACCTTTGTAAAGACACATGGCCTCTGTAGTACTTATCCATTCCAAAAGGTATGTTATTGTGAAATGTATGTTATTACATTAGTGTATTTTGTTCAGATAAAACTCAGATTAGGAGATAATCTGAACCGTGGGGACTGAGGGGAAAAAATCCTCAGCACAGCTTGATTTAAGAGACAGAATTGGACTAATGCAAAGGCATACATGAGGGCTCAGACAAGTACATGCATGTGAAAGTATACATAAATAACAGACATATGAGCACACACTAACAAATAATGAGAGAGACGTAAATAGCTTACGTATCCAATGAACAAAGTGTGGTTCAGTGAAGTAGCGGTAAATCCAGTTGAGAATGTATAATCCTCTGTAAGCACTGCATTAAGACAGAAATAACAAGTTTAAATAATATATTATGGGTTTCCTCTTAGCAACAGGCCAAGTAACATCTGTGCTAGCTTTAAGCTATGAAGTCTCTGAGACACAATTTCTGCAAGAATTAAGTCATGAAGTCTTTTGAGACACAATTTTTAACAATCTGATAATATTGTTCTTATGCCTGAAATTTGAGTATAAATTTTCAAGAAAAAATCATTAATGGAGTTCCTTGCCTTTATGACAATGTATATCAACCAGAACTACATTACATCAATTCATTTCTAAACTTAATATTTAGGTGACAAATAAAGCAACATTTAAGAAGAAAAAGGGGAAAGGATCAAAAGTAAATGACAGCATACCCAAGGAGAAAAACGTATTGGCCAGTCAAATTGTCAATGTTTCTAGTCCTCTGTAACAGTACAAGTTGAGGAAGTATAGCAACAGCTTCTAAAAACACTGAAAACGTCCACATCACCTGAGACAATTCATAAGCACAACACAATTTCAACAAATGAAAAAGAAAACGCAGAAAAAAAACAAAAAAAATACTAAACCTCTTTAAAAGTGAATTTCTCATGAATAAGAAGAGCCAAGAGAAAGCAAGGCAAAACAAGGAAGAAATGGCGGAAGGTATCTTGGTCTTTATTATAAGACCTTCGAACAATCTTATGATGCCTCATATACCAAACAATTGAAAATGAGCTACCCAAGAATATTAACTTCATGATTGTATTGTATAAGGATATAAAATCAGAAAATATATCCAAGTAACGAGTAGCAAAAACGACAGCGTATAGTTCTTGCGTCTTCAATGAAATACCTGCACACAACATTATTTATGTACCAAATTTCAAACATAACAACAACAATAATAATTCTGAGAGTAGTGTAATGAAATGTACCGGCGCAAGATTTAATGGTGTGGATCTTGAGGAGCAAGACGAGAACGCTGAACAGGTGAGTCATGTCACCTGCTAATCTGAATATATTCATCTTCGATCTGATCGAATATTCTAAATTCTTCACCACTAATACTATCAAGCACACAAGTTTGTTTGGTGAGAAGAGAGAAGGTGATGGAGGAAGTAGTAGATCTCGGGTGGAGTTGGAGAATTAAATGATATAATTTTATTTTTTTCCTTTTACCTAGTTTTTCAAGAGTAATATATAAGCAAACCGAAATTTAAAAAACGGTGCGAAAGGGAAAAATAATAATAATAATAATAATAACAATAATTCAAAATAATTAGTAATAAAAAGAAACATATGCTAGAGTAGGTGCTAATCTGACAGGGCGAGACTAACTATAAAAATATTAGCCACATTAGCAGGCATCTTCCAAGTTCAGTGGTTGGTAAGGATAAGATAGGATAGGAATATACTCCAGTTTTTTAATATATTAAATTATCCTTTGGATATCTGTGTACACATTCATTGCATAATTTATTGAAAACATATACGTATAATTGATAGTATAAAATATGTACTTTTTTTTTTAGAAAAAAGGCTCCTATTTTATAGTTACAAAGCGTATATCAGTTATTTAAAACCGCCAAATGTCTTGGCTTTATTGTTATAACTCACACTTGCCCACAACGCAACGGCTAATAACTGTCTTGAAACCCACACCACTTTCATGACCTTTAACATTATTTATTCTTCTTCCTTCCTTCTCAGTTCTCACAATCTTTTCATCTCTCTCTCTCTCTCTCTCTCTCTCTCTCAATTAATGTGTCGATGGCCCTTTATGCATTCCGCTACTGTTGTTTCATCTTTCTGCTTTATCTTATGGCCATTCGCGCCCACAATATTCCTTCAACTTTGGACGGACCGTTCAACCCCGTAACCGTACCGTATGATACCAGTTTACGCGGGAAAGCGGTTGATATTCCAGACACCGATCCTAGGTTGCGCCGCCGTGTCAAAGGTTTCGAGCCCGAGCAAATATCAGTCTCACTATCCACTAGTTATGATTCTGTTTGGATCTCCTGGATCACAGGTTCTCTTTCATTTCCTTTTATTTTTCTCATAACCTATCAATTTTGGAGCTCACGGATTTCATTCCGATGCATGACTCTAAAATTTTCTGTTTGTATTTTTGTCAATTCTAGTTACCTTCATTTAAATTTTTATTGCCACTAAAACGCTTCTATAGTGTTATAACATTCCACTAGGTTTTTGCAGAGCCCGCGTAAGAAAGCCTTACAAATGACAGACATATAATTGCTGCTAAATTCTAATACATGATGCATCCCAGCGTCCCTTTTATGCTGAAAATTGTTTTCAAAAATCAAATTCAGTATTCCTTATCTTGTGTGTTTACTGTTTAGAACACAAGGTTAAATTAGTTTAAAGCAGTTGAAACCTGAGCTGGAAAGGTCATTTGTGTAGTATATAGAAGTAGTATGATAATAAAGGCAATAATAGTGGTAATTGTGGAGATGCCTTGGTTTGTTTTTGTCGTCTGGCAACAAAATGAAGATTTTTATTATTCTTTCAATTTTGGTAAAGATATAAACCGATAGAATGAATCTATTTGACATGTGATGCAGGGGAATTCCAAATTGGTGACAGAATAAAGCCATTAGACCCGAAAACAGTGTCCAGCATTGTTCGTTACGGAAGGTTAAGAAATTCATTGAGTCATGAAGCGACAGGATATTCTCTTGTTTATAATCAGCTTTATCCATTTGAAGGCCTCAAAAACTATACTTCTGGAATCATCCACCACGTTCGACTTACAGGTACAATTTTGGTTTTCCATCTTATAATTTGGATTCAACTAGTGGTTGGACTTGATACCAGATGATGAAATGCATAGATTAAACAATTTTATGTTCTATATTCTTCATTGATGTGTATACATCATCACAAGGTTTTATTGTGTCAGTACAGGGTTGAAACCCAACACACAATACTATTATCAATGTGGAGATCCTTCTATATCAGCCATGAGTGATATATACTATTTCAGAACTATGCCAGTTTCTGGTCCACAGAGTTATCCAAAGAGAATAGCAATAGTTGGAGATCTCGGTCTTACTTACAATACATCAACCACAATCGGCCACTTGATTAGTAATGAACCTGATCTTGTGCTATTGGTTGGTGATGTCACTTACGCAAACTTATACCTCACAAATGGAACTGGCTCTGACTGCTACTCTTGCTCATTTTCACAAACTCCTATACATGAAACCTATCAGCCGCGTTGGGATTATTGGGGAAGGTTGAACTTTGTTTGCTCTTTCGTTTTATGGTTACTTTTTTTTTTTTGGAAACTTGTGAAATACCTTCTTTTAACTTTCAGTCTATTAATGTACCTTAGCTTATTCTATTTTACTTTCTTATTGCAGGTTTATGCAGAATTTAGTCTCTAAAATTCCAATAATGGTTGTTGAAGGGAACCATGAGATAGAAGAACAAGCTGGAAACAAGACATTTGCAGCTTACAGTTCTAGGTTTGCCTTTCCATCTGAAGAGAGTGGATCTTCATCCTCATTCTACTACTCTTTCAATGCTGGGGGGATTCATTTTATCATGCTCGGAGCCTACATTGCGTATAATAAATCCAGTAATATGACCAACCATCAATCAATTCAAGTTTTATTTTCCTCTTCACTTGACCAACTATATAAGAAGATACCATATAAATCTCTGTGTATTTTTCTTTTGCAGGTGATCAATTCAAATGGCTAGAGAGAGACTTGGCAAATTTTGACAGATCTATAACTCCATGGCTGGTAGCTGCTTGGCATCCACCTTGGTACAGTTCTTATGTAGCTCATTACAGAGAAGCAGAGTGTATGAGAGTGGAGATGGAAGAATTACTTTACTCCTATGGTGTTGACATTGTTTTCAATGGACATGTAAGTCAGGATAACTTAGAATAATGGAACTTTTAGGCAAAACATGTGAATGAAACTACTTCCAGTATATTTTTTAGCATTTAAGAAAGGCAATTTTCCGTTTGCACTGAACATCACCACAAAGGAAAATAAACATTGAAAGAGGGTTTGGATGCTATGGAGCACTGAATCAAACAATTAATTAATTGAAACATCCCTATACAACTTTATATTTAATTAACCCCTACATTGCTTGGAACTTTTCTCTCTCTCTCTCTCTCTCTCTCTCTCTCCATATATATATATATAGTGGAGATCAGATTCGTCTGAAACCTTTTCTTAGTTTTGTTTTCAAGTGTACTGAATTTTTATCTTTTTATTTGAAAATGTACCAGGTTCATGCTTATGAGAGGTCAAATAGAGTTTATAATTATACATTAGATTCTTGTGGTCCTGTATATATCACGGTTGGTGATGGTGGTAATCGTGAAAAGATGGCTATTAAACATGCTGATGAACCTGGTAAGTGTCCAGAGCCATTAACCACTCCTGATACGTATATGGGTGGCTTCTGTGCAACAAACTTTTCACATGGTCCGGCGGTGGGTAATTTCTGTTGGGATCGGCAACCTGACTACAGTGCCTTCAGAGAAAGTAGTTTTGGGCATGGGATTCTAGAGGTACTCTTTCTCTCTCTCTTGCTTCCTTCTAATTCAGCCCAAACTTAGTAATTGTAACATCTAAATTCTTAATGTCAGACTGAGTTTGACCTTATGGCCTGTGCTTGCAAAACGTAGTCTGAACTGCACTGTAAATAGTGTTTCTCATTATTTACCAGCCCCTCCTAGGAGAATCCATACAGTTGACGGGAATCAACTTTTTCAATTGAGTATGATTCCCAACTACTCATCTCTGATACCATGAGGCACAACTGGATGAAAAACATATATGTAAAAGCAAACTATCTTTTAGGGTCTGATATGCAGGGTTGCGGTTCTGCCCTCATTAGTCTGTTCCTTAAGCCGTGGAGAAAAATAAGTTCCTATTAACACAACTGAAGTCACCATAAGCCTAAAATCTGATGAACCTTTCCAATGTGTGAATTGCAGGTAAAGAATGAGACGTGGGCACTGTGGACATGGTACCGGAATCAGGACTCCCACAATAAAATTGGGGATCAAATTTACATTGTGAGGCAACTCGATAGGTGCCCTGTTCATTACACCCGACAGAAACTAATTGCATCTAGCTAAACTCAATTCCTAGTAAACTCTCTATGGTCTTTTCCTTTCAAGGGAGCATTACAATCACCTCTGATGAAATTTTTAACCAATGTGACCGATGGAGGAATCAATAATTATAGATCATAAAATTTTTCCAATGGAGCATTTCCTCATAACGTTTGGTGAAGCTGAAAGAGTTGTCAACAGACATTTCTGATACAGACGTGTAAAATTTCATGGCAGTACGATATGAAGAGTTGAAGAAGAGAAGGAAGAGACAGAATGTGTATACTCTCGGCATTAATGAGGTATTATTACACACTATTATTGATTTCATAACCTCATAACTTGATGCTTTTTCTGTGCAGCAAAATCATTTCTAACTTCAGGCCTCCTTTTCCTGAAGAAGAAATAAATTAATTTAGTTGCCGCTAGAGCATCCGCCTGTCTTTCTAGCAATTGGTTTTGTGTAATTGAGTGTTTTCTTTTCCAACAAAAATAACCAATAATCACTTGTAACAACATTCTTCTATCATTTTTTTTTAAACATTAATTTGGTATTAGTTGTGTGTTTGGTGTTTCTATTTTGGCCAACAGCTTCATCCATATTGGTTTTAAATTTTAATGTTGGATGGAATAAACATGAGTTGTTAAGTTTTGGAATTAGATTAGGTATGTTAGTTCCCTGTTTGATTTTCTTTTAAAAGCCACAGGTTGAGAGGATCATATTTGGGTTGAAAGGTCTAGACAAACATCATCATCAGTTTACCTATTTCCTCATCATATAAAGCAGTATCTTAATGATATTTACAACCCATTCTTCCTCCAATTAATAAGTTGCAATTATTATTTGCTTGTTTGTAAAAAGCTGCCCTGGACACCATCGTCAAGAATTTCCTTTATAACATCCAATATAGTTCATTATCTTTGATGTAGTTTAAAACACTCGTCTAACTGGCAACTTCAAGTATATATTTTAACAGTAATTGGATAGCTCCATTCAGTCTCCGTCACTGCCTAACTCAACCGTATATATTTCAACAGTAATTGGATAGCTCCATTCAGTCTCCGTCACTGCCTAACTCAACTGTTCCACCAACTTGATTAATAAACAAAATAAATCCCTCCAGATCCTGATCTTTAGCATTTCTGAAGAATTCTGATTTGCGATAAAGAGGAAGACGTTACTTTAATCAATCAAATAATTCTACTTGAAAAAGATAAGGACCCTGACCCTATTTTTGAAAAAGAAAAACCCGTCTCCATCTCATCTTCATCCTGTTTGGCTTTACCAATCAGTCCCCGCCATTGCATATTCTCTTTAATTCTTAAACAAGACAAAAGAAAAATACCAACACGCCAAAATACAGAAACACCAAATCACATTAACTATATACAAGCTCCAAATCTTCAATAAATCATTTTCTTGCTATATTCCAAAATTTATCAAAACATTCATCATTAAACCAAGTAAAAAATAAAAATAAACCACTAGCACAGAGAGAGAGAGAGAGAGCTGTTTACACATATTTTCTCCTAAATCAAACAAGATGATGATGGGAGACAAATAACAATGAAATTAACCTTTTCTTGTTTTGTTCTTTTTTCTTTACATATTTTGAAAAATCAAAATATGTCAAGTATTTCCAAAATGAAACCGTTGCATAAGGGACAATTTCCCCTCTGAACCCAAAGCTCCCTTGAACACAATCTGCAAAACGTATGTCCACATGGTATAAACGCCGCACCTTTATGCCTCACCATGCAAACGCAGCAATTATACTCTATCCCTCCTGCATTTTCTTCCACGCCACCTCCTTCTTCTTCTTCTTCCTCTTCCTCGTCATCTTCAGCACTCATTGAGTACCTAGACCCCTCCAACCCCATCTGTCTATCAGTCTCCTCTAGCAAATCCATTAATGACATCCTCACCGGCCGCGGTACTTCAGCCGAGGCTGTAGATGCAGCATTCGTTGTTGTAGCGGTTTCCGCCGCCGCTGTTTCTTCTGCTTCTGCCGCAGCAGCAGCCTCTGCTTCTGCAGCCTGTTGGGCTGCAACAGCCTCACGTGCGGACAAAGCTCTCTCCTCCGCCAACACCACTGCCAGCCGCCGAGTTCCCTCCCGCGCAACGTCGAAAGGGTCAACGTAGGTCTCGTCGGAATCGGGGTTCGATGACGGAAACCGCGTCGAGTTATGGCGGGACATCTGAGGCCTGAAGCTACGAGACGGCGGAACTTCACTAGGCATGGAAGTATCCTGCGTGTCATCGTTTTGAGTTGAGCCGGTTGAAATTGGACTCGTGGCAAATCTAGTCGAGCTCCGGCGTGTGAACAGAGGTCTGGAAATGAAAGCTGGATCTTCAGGCTGACTCATCGGCTGAGTTGACTCGCCCAAGTTATTGGAGGGGATTGTTTGTAACCTGACCGAAGAGCGCCGAGAAAGTTGCGACCCATGATTGACACTACTACCCAAGATAGGGATATCCGAAGTCGGAATAGGCACGCTCGAGGTCCAAGCAGCGCCGGCGCGCTTGAGCCGAAGCCGGTCCCGGAAGATTTTCCAACTTCTCCTGTCTTTGTGACCAACGTTTCTGTTAACAGGGTCCTCGTCGCGGATTATATCAAGAAGCGTGCGGCCTGAAGAAGTTTCCGGCGGAGGTGGGGGAGGAGGCGGTGGGGACAGAATTCTTTTATTAGCCAAGATGGCGTCAAGAGTCAAGCCGGCTAAAGGGTCACGCCGATCTGGCACAGCTGACATTTGGTCCAAAAGCGAAGGCCTCCTGCTTACAACACAACCACCTTCTTCCATTTAAACCAGAAGTCACAGAACTCGATAAAAATAAACTTTGTAAAAAGCAATAAAAACAAATAACTTGAGAAAATGAAAAGAAAAATCTCGGAAATCGCAGATGATGCGATGAATTCAAGAATTGGAAAGTTCCAAACTTGGTTTAGGTGTTAAGATTTATTGGAAACTGAACTGAAAAACATTTATGATGAAAGAAACTGCACATGAAACGAATTCACACTCACAAAGCTTGGAGATGTGAAAACAAACTAAAATTTTATATAAAGTTAGAAATTTTAATACATTTAAAAGTACAGAAACTAAACAAGCATTGGATACCTTACAGTTGAGAGCAGATGCAGAGCAGTAGATCTGAAATTTTTTCAGGCTTTCACTTATTTATCTGCACACGACTTTAAAAAAGAAAAAGAAAAAAAAAAACCAAAATATCCTCAGAAATTAAGGAAAACTATACGAAAGAGAGAAAGTGAAAACTAAAAGAAGATAATAAAGAAGACATAGGAGCACGCACCAAAAGAAGTTTTGTTAACAGAAAACAATCAAAGGTTTTCTGTGTGGGTTTCTCTCTCAACCGCAAATATTCCGAGGGGTAAGAGATAGATTGATTGAGATAGAGAATGGATGTGTGTTTTGAGAGAGATGGTTTTGGACAATGGAGCGAGTCTTATGGCTCCGTCTGTCTACGTTTCTTCCTTTCCCTTTGTTTACGGGAACCTTTCTATGCTCTTTGGACTGTGGTTTTACTAATTTGCCACCTTCAGTTTTTCTGTGTCAGTTATTTGTATTTCGTTGATTGTGGCTTATCTTATTCCGTGGATTCACGTTATAGTTGTCTTTATATTTTTACCCTGTCGGGTTATAATTGGTATTCAGTATTTTCTATCTTTTTTAACTAAAATCCAAATCAATTATTCCAATTATGGATTTAACTTTTTCTTACTCTTAACCAGTTCTGACTTAGGCTTGGCAATGGGGCGGGACGAGATCCCCCCCCCCCCCCCCCCCCCCCCCCCCCCCCCCCCCCCCCCCCCCCCCCCCCCTTAAAAATCACTTCTCACTCCTACTCCATTCTCATTCTAGGGATGATAAGAATTCCTTTTCCCACCCCAAAAGCAAATGTTAAAGACTTGTTCTCATCCTGTTAATTTTACATAAACATAAATTAATTTAAACATTAACAAACACAATAGTTAATTCTCGTCTACATAATAAATATTTAAATTAATCGTTTAAACATAATTAATTATAAATAAATATGGATTAAGGTTTGTTCTTGTTCAATTGTTTAGGGTGAGGGAAATTAGAAAAATATGGATTTATATAGGTAAGATAATTGTGTAATTAGGTAAAATATATAGGTATTAGAGAAAAGTATAAGTGTGTGTGTGTGTGTATATATATATATATATATATATATACACGAGGCGGGGTGGGGTGGGGCGAGGCAAGAGAAAGGCATCACCCACCCCCATTCCATCCCCGAGGACGAGGATTAAAACACCCCCCACCCCCGCCCCTATCCCCTAAAAAACCAGGGCTTCCCGCCCCATATGGGATAGGACGAGACGGGTCCCCAAAATTCCAAGAAACATTGTCATGCCTATTCTGACTTTTGATTGTTAAATATGAAAAAATTATAATTAAACTTAAAAAATAAAGGTATTATTTAAATGTAAAGTCTTTGTGCAATATTTAAGTGAATTGATGAACCAATATTGCTTGTAATCTGATCTTATTAGTGTGTAAAGGAGACTTTTTCCCACCCAAATAATGACTTAACAATATTTTCTCGCTTACAAACTTTTAAAATACAATTTTACTATCCAAATTTATATTTTGACGGTGAAGAGAAATCAAACTCATTCCAGGCTGTTGGGGTTTTTAAAAAGGGAGAAGTCGATGAGTCTTTTGGTGGTGGAAGGTTGGATTTTGGTGATTGAAATTAATTTAATTCAGGAGAGGTGGTTGTGCAAACTCTAATAGTTTGGTTGCTAACAATTGGCAGAGTCAACGGGAGTAGAGTTTGAAAGGTTTTGGTGAGTCAAGATCAGAAAAGAGAATGGTAGTGATGTGAGGTCGCAACGATATCGAAATCGAAAACAAAATATAAATTTGAGTAGTAAAATAGTATTTTAAAAGCGCGTAGATAGAAAATTGTCATTAAACCATTATTTAGGTCGGAAAAAGTTGTTTAGTCGTAAAAGAGCTGACAAAGCCTAACTAAACTCCAAGATTAGTTAGTTCTAACTATTATAACTATAAAAGTAAAAAAAAAAAAAAAAAAAAATGAATTGAATATTGGAATGATCAAATAGAAACGTAACTCAAAGCTGAGTATCACATTATTGGACACACGTTGAACAACAATTTGTTCGCACCTTGATGACTATTCTATAAGACAATTGTTTTTTCATGTGATCCTCTAGCCTACTCAAGTCAACGCTAATCAAAACACTAAACTATAATATATCTCTCATATATTATTTATTTATCAACTCACTAATATTTTATAAATTCAGATGGACCAGTAACCCTTCTTCACTTTATATATCATTTCTCCTTTTTTTTTTTTTTTAATAACTGTAACCATTTATATAAAGTTTAGGAGAGATTAATTTAAAATGGAATGGCAATTAATTGTGTATTATTCCTTGAAAAACACTACAATTTTAAATAGATGTAAAAAGGTTGTTTAGGTGGGTCAACACTTTCACCAGTTCAACAAGTTTACAACTTTGATATACGTAGTAATTGACCGACCATTAATAAGATTGTGGTGATGCCAGCTTTTTTATGGTCCTACCAATTATAATTAAATTTAGCCCATCAACTATTGAACTCAAACAGTATTATTATGCTGCAAATCTTTCATTAAAACAATGGATGAAGAAGGACATTTGTTGGTTTTAAAGCTTATTATTGGTAAGAGTGGGTTGGCTTTGGTTGACAAGACACAAAGAAATATATCTTATCCTATCTTTATTATTATTATGCATTTAGTATTTGATGACTTCAACGTTATTTTTTAGTACTTATTGAGCCACCATGCTTTCTTTTTTCTTCTAATTTCTAGCAACATTTTTGGTTATGGTCCTTATGGACAAAACTATAAGACCTTTCATTGGTCCACTAATCTACCCACTATGAATTTATTACATTTTCAGGATTTAAAAAATAAATAAATATATAGACAAAAACAAAAAAATTATTTTCATTTTTTTTGATAATCAGGAGTTCGAGTCAGCTTGTGTGCACCCCAACTAATCCTTGGAGTCTTTTGAATACCCTACAAGCCTAAAAGATTAAATAAGTCACAATGTTTGTGTACACTTTAACTAATCTCGAAAGTCTTTTAAATACTCTACAAACCCAAATGATCAGGTAAGTCATAATATGGTAAGTGGTTTTGAGATTCGAATCTAAAAAGTTAATGTAATGAGCAAATCTCTTTGATAGTCCAAGCAACCGCTTAGAGTTAAACTATTTTCATTTTCATTGTGTTACAATCTTTTAACAATTAATTATTTGATCCAAAACCCGATCGTAATTTTAGAAAGTAAATGAATTAGAGCTTTTCCATTTATATTTTTTAAAAGTTAAAACAAAAAACAAATGGTGAACTTTAAAATCCCTAATTAATCAAAGGAAGAATTTGCGGACATACTGTATAGAAAAAAGTTGGTAGAGAAATAACAAAGTACGAGGGGCTTAAAGAAATGTGTGAAAAGCGAGTCCTAAAATAAAAGAGTAGGGCATGAGTGTTGAATCTTTAAATGATAAATTAATGGCTATAATTAAGTTATCCTTCTCGTAAAAGTGAGTGCTTGGATTCCATCCAAGCAAAAGGTATAGCTATCCCATGGATTAGGTCAACCATTATACACTGGTTCACCCTTTGATGTGCTTCCTTCTTGTCCTATTTGTTAAAAAAAAAAAATAATAATAATAATGTAGAAAACGATCAATACACATGAACAAGAGTATGCTAATCGAGATTTGTACACTATCGCACGACATTAATATTAGGGAAAATCTTAAGTTGGATAAATATGTTACATCAATTATGAAAGAACTATAACAAAAATCTCTTTTAAGATTGATTTTCCCTTGATAACTTTTTTTTTTATTTTTTATGACCGAGAGTGTTCGGATCAATTTACACGCACCTCAACTAATCCTTTAGGGTTCTAAAGTTAATGACCAGACAAGACCTCTTGAATAATATACCTAAAAATCTTAGTTAACCACTTAATCACCCAGTGATGATTTCCCTTGATAATCTTAATTGAATTATAATCCATTTTAGTTTGGTCATAGTCAATTTATAAACAAATAATATAGACTCCACTAAAATAAAATAGTGGCAACCAAACTGTATCAAGCCATTTGTGGATGATCATTAGGTTCTATGTTCACTGACAATCCGATCGACAAACACAAAGAGCAAAAGGAAACGTGAAGGCTTAGGTGACACTGGCGTGATGTCCATCGTAGGCACTTCGACCCTTAAGTCAGCAAGATTAATGGGATTTAGTGAGGACTGAGGGCAGGAAGGATTACTGTACTGAGTAATGCTACATTTACACCACTCTTTTACACCATTTTTATTACATCATTATGTGGCATATGCCACAACAACATAAGTTCTATTATAATATTAAAAATTAAAAATAATTAAAAATTTGTGTAGTTGTGGCATATGCCACATCATGATGTAATGAATATGGTGTAAAAGAGTGGTGTAAATGTAGCATTACTCGTACTGTAATAATGCAGTTGTTCTTAGGAGTAGGAACTTTGAGAGCTAGGTGTTATGAGTGATTTCTGAATGCCTAACGAAGGGGTTTGCCCCAGCTTATATAGTGAATTAAAGGGGTTAGAATCATAGTAGGACTCTGAATCCTAGTAGGACTCTAAATCCTACTTAGTAGAGGAGTTTTACTTAGGAAGAAGATATGATCTTTTTCCTTTATCAGGTTAAGCTTAACATTCTAAATGAGATTCGAGATTTTGGAGAATAGGATTTTGTTTCCTATTTATGGAATGTTGTGGGCTAATGGGTTTAACCGAGTTTGGTTTAACTTGTAAGATAATCAAACTCATAGAGAGGATAATTTATAAGGTTGATTTAAACGTTGGCCCAAATCAGAATTGGGCTAAGGCACGGAGTCGTAAAATGTTTATTTCGTTATTTGGCCACGTCAGACCCGATAAGATTTGTGACCTATTGTAGATGTAAAAATCTACCTGTACGGAAGGGGAGTCTGATCCCGTGAGGTTGAGGCCACTAGCGATCCGCTGCACCTGCACACGTAGAGAAACAAAGGCGTAAAGCGAACGGGAAACACGGGGTAGTGTTTACCGTAGGCACTCCTACGCTCAAGTCAACAAGGCTGAAAGAGGCCAGTATAATGAGGGCTAGGGAGTAAAGAGGTTACCGGAAGTCTAGTCGGGGACTGTGACTACGGCAGTGTTGTGAGGCTCTCAAGTCAGAGCTTCGGGTGTGAAGGTGTAATGTAATGTCCCTTGTGAGAGGGCTGGCCTCTGTTTATATAGTAACTGTCTGGTCTCCTAATCTTGGTGGGAGTAGGAGTCATCGTGTGACTCTGATACAAACCCTAGAAGAGTTAGGGTGGTGGTGAGCTGTTTTACCAGCGTTTGAATAGGAAGGTGATCTGAACAGGAAAGTGACTTCGAATAAGAGATTGATCAGGAACAGGAAAGTGATCAGTGGGGTCGTGGGCTCTGAACTCACCTATAGGCCTAGGAAGTGAGCTGGAA